GAAACCTCCGAGGTCAAATACATTTTGCAAACAAACTTTCCTCAGGCAAAGGCAGACAGGCATCTTTCCGCAGGAGTGTAGGAGCCTCTGACGCACTCCTGTGCATGCCTTGGAACCCTGGAGAGTGGGCCAAGGAGGTGGGTGGAGAGCAGCAGTTTCTTGACCAAAGCACCAGGACTGTCCTTTGCCTCCACCTTTGGGCTCCAGTGTCCCCAGGAGGAAGGGCTCTGTGTGACAAGCACCTGCCTTCCCAGAGCCAAGGCCTGGACACGAGCTGAGCCAGAGGCATGGTGACTCTGGCAGTGAACAAGCAGGGCTCTTCACGCTCCATTTATTTCTGCTCTCTTTTGCATCCAAATAGTGCCGGGGACGGTGTCCCGCATGGATGGGAAGAAGGACTTTTAAACACCATCAGCATCCTTTACCTGAAACACTCAGCCTCAGAAGCGTTGGGAAAATGTTATTCTTTCCGGTTTTGAATATTTGCACATATGAGGTGTATGCAACACTAAGGTGAAAGTGTAAAATTTTAAAAATGATCTGTAGGAAGAGACACAAAATACCCGTCCCAGCCCGATGCTTTGGGCAGCCTGAGCCCACCGTCCCGGCCGCTTCCTGCGGCAGCTCTGGCGTCCTCTTTCCTGAGGGTCTTTCGTTGTACTGTCCTGGCTGCCTCTATGTCCTGAATGGATTCAAAGTGCTTCCCCTCGTGGTCACGTTGACTTTGAGAGGAGCCAGAAGCCACGGGGTGCCAAGCCCCGCAAATAAAGTGGATGAGGACACAGCCTGCCTTTCCACTGGCTGGTGCTCCCCAGCAGTGGTCACTATCTCTGTCTGTCTATTTTATTTTTTAAACAATATCCTGTAAAGAAACTCAGGAAAGAGGACTCCAGAGCTGCTCCAGAAAGTGGTGAGAAGGGTGGGACGAGTGTGTTTGAAGCTTGAGGGGAGGATTTTGAGGGTTCATTTCTTTGAATTAAACATTCACCATCTATTTGATCGCACCTCTTGGGGAGGGGACCCCACTCTAAACATGACATTCAGGTGCGACCCACGCCTTTCTCCCGTGCACAGCCCAGGGTATTTCCACAACGCTGGGACCTCGAGTCGTCCTGTACCCCGCCCCAAGAGGGAAGAGGGGGACGTCCTGCGTGTGGTCCCACAGCAGCGCTCCCCATTCCGGATGTGGGAGCATTCGGACTCTGGGTTTTCAGATCAGGGATTCTCAGCCTGAGACTCCATGTCTCCCCAGACAACCCGGGAGCCTGAAGGACCCGCCGCTCTCCCAGTGGGGATGGCCGGGGAACAGGCGCTATCCCACTGAAAAACTTTAAGGACTGGATTTAGGAGGACAGATGAAATGCCCCCTGATGGGATCATCTTAGAATAGCGCCACGGCTCTCGAAATCCTTTTAGGTGCTTACAGGAGCCATGGCTGCTCACCATGGAAAAAAGCAAGAAGCATAAAAATGACAAGAAAATAAAAATAAACCCGTGCCTGGGGGGTGGCCAGGGCAAGGGGCCGCCCCAGCCTCCCTGCCTGGGTCTGTAGCGGGGAGGCGACAGCAGAGGGCTGAGTGAATCCCGCTCGGTGCACAGCGAGCACTGGGCCACCGCGGCCTTTTCCTTGCCATCAGGGCATCGCTGTGGCTGGGCATCGTCTTGGCCCACGTGATCTTTACCGCGTCCCCGTCCAGGTGCCCTTGCGTCCAGTGGGGGTCCGGCCCGCAAGCCCACAGGCCGCCTGCACAGTCGGGGAGCCCACTGTGGTAGGGATGGAGCCCTGGCCCTGGTGCCTGCCTGTGCAGCCTCGGAGGACACAGCACGAACCGAGCAGGACACAGCAGCCCTGCCGGGGGCTCTGTCCCTGGCTGAGTGAAGCCCACTCCCAGCCTTCTCTCTATTCCGGGTCTCTCCTCACACTCTTGCTGATTCTCGAAAGTTCTCTCCTGTGGCCTGGGTTGAAAACCTGAGTAAATGTTTAACTATTGTTGTGCAACCAAGCATTTCTGAGGAGCAAGTAGCAGGTGACAGCTTCTCCTAAGGAGATGAAAAGACGAAGCCCAAGAGGCTTAGGTGGGAAGGCTCCCTGAGCCATTAGGAAGCCAGGCAGAGCTGCCATTCTCATGACGATTGGAGAACTGTCCAGGACGTGCGCTGGGCTTAGCTGCCTATGCAGAGCTTGAAGACAAACAGCTTGGCCAGTGCCCACGGAGAACAGGCAGGACAGGATGACTCTACCTCAGCCTAGCATTCCCGAAGCTCTGGGTTCCATCCCCAGCACCCCAAAATGAGAAAAAGATGTTAGGACCCATCTCGGTCCACCGGTCAGATTCCCGCTTTCCCTGAACCCACCCGTGCTGCCCTCCGAGCCTCACTCGGAACAGCTTTGGGCTGGGGGACCAGTGACGGCGCCCTCTCTTTTCAGGACAGTTCGAGTCTGTGCTCTGGGGCGTCGGCCACTTGAGTGTGGGTCTTCTTAAGCCATTTCCTTACTTCCTTCAAATGGGGCTATTTTGCATGGACACGGTTCTTCCTGGAGGTGGATCCTACACCCACCCCCTCTCTGTACCAAGCCCCCTCCTGGGCGCATCTTGCCTTCAGTTCTGGGGTGTATTTATTGATGAAGCCACACAGTCACAGCCCGTAGTTTACATTAAGCTCCTTTGGACACACAGAGTCCTAGGCGTCGGCCGCAGCGGTGCCTTGCGGGAAGTTTTGCTGCCCTGAGAGCTCCCGTGTGCCTCCCCATCTCTGATTTTCATCCCAGCAGGGACCGTCTGCTCTGGGGCCACCCACTGACGGTTCCCGCCCGGCACCTGCCACGTAACAGGTGCCCTGCACATCCTTCTCTTTGCATATTTTAATAAAAATAAGATTCTACTAAACATACCAGACTGCAATTTGCTTTTTCCAAATATTGACACTGTGTCTTGGCCATCTTCCCACATCAGAACATGGAGCGCTCTCTCTCTCTCTTCAGCTTTGCATTGTGGGGAATTTCCAGCACACACCCAAAAAGAGAGAGACTGGACCTACCATGACATTCCTGTCCCTCCCTTTGTCCGCTAGTGACTCCGCCATCTTTCCCATGCTATTCAGAAGCCAGTGGTCCGTCACCCGGTCACTTTATCTTAAATATTTCTGTGCATCTCTAAAAGACAAAGACCGTAAGAAGCATAATCACATCCGGTCCTCACCCCGACACATTCACGGGATCTCACTAGACAGTCAGCATTCAGACTGCCAAGCGCCTTGTCGCCTGCCTCCCGTTTGATCCACGGCATGGAGCTGTTCGGCCCCAGATGCGGCCGAGTGCAGGTGCCGCCCTGGGTGGACCCGCCTGGGAGTCCTCAGTCTGGGCCCCCTCCCTCTGTTAGAATTGTACCCACTGCATTTCATCTGATGAAAACCCTGCGGCTCACTTCTGTACTTCCGCAGCCAGGATCGTGCCAGTGACAGCCCCCTGGGCGTTTAGTGTGTTGTTCTGTCCTCTGAATTTCCTGTTGAGATTTGACCGAGTTCCAGGTCAGTTTGTCTGGGCAGTGGGCTCACACGGGTGGGCAGGAGGGAGGGGTGCGTCCTGCAGGAAGCGTGCTGTCAGGCCGTCCTGTGTGGTGTTCCCTCCACCGCTGCTCATGCCTGGGCCTGCGTTCAGAAGGTGCTGCGAATTCTGCCGTGAGGTTCTTCTGTAGAGAGAAACCTCCCTTGTCAACCTTCAATTACCCTGAGCTACAGCTTATGTAGGACAGGCAGGATCAATGCCTGATTTTGCCCCTTTATTTACTAGTTTTCAGAATAATGAGCCGCCTATGAATATTTGAGTGAATACATGAATAATGGATGGTGGATGAACCAGCTAGGTTTGGGAGCAGGAAGGGCTCTTCACTGCGTTGCCCTGGAGGGTGTCACGTGGGCACCTGGCTGACAGCATGGGGTGGCCAGGTCCCCGTCTGCACAAGGAGGACAGGGAGCAGCCCTTGCTACCTGTCAGCCTGCTTCAGTCAAGAGCAGAGCTGACTCGGGGCGTGGTGTCCCACGCCGTAATCCCAGCACTTGGGAGGCTGAGGTGTGAGGCAAGCTTCAGCCCAGCCTGGGACACTTAGCAATTTAGTAAGACCCTGTCTCAAAGTACAGAGTATGAAGGGTGGGAAGGGTGGAGTAAAACCCGGTGTGAAGGCATCGGGTTCAGTCCCTGGTACCAAAAACAAATGGAGGTGATTCAAAGCCAGGTGCTAAACATACAGCATCTTGTTAGGTGTGGCAGTGCCTGCCTGTGACCCCAGCCCTCAGATGGCTGTGAGTTCGAGGCCAGCCTGGACTACGTACGGAGACCCTCACTGTCTCAGAGAGAGAGAGAAGAAAAAGAAAAACCCCAGAGAGATCTGGATTCTCCTGCCCTTGCCCAACACGCAGGAACCCTGCCCTGTGGTTAAAGGGGAAGTGTCCCCCACACACTCACGCATGTCCCCACTTTGGGGACTGATTGGATCACATGGGTTCCACCTCCATCGATGATAGGATCACATAATGGGGTGGTGCTCTGGGGAGACGGCGGAAGCAGGAGGGCCCTCACTGCAGCTGCAGGTCATGGAGCTGTGGCCCTGGGTCAGATCTGGTCCCAGCCCTCCCTCTGCCAGGCCCTTCCTGTCTTCCTCTGCTTCCTGGCTGCGTGGGGTGAGGTCTCCTCCGCTAGGCCCCTCTGCCACGCTGCTCCTGTTTTGGAGCCAGCTGACTGTGGACGGAACCATCCGAAGCTGTGAGCCGGGGAACCTTTCCTTTGGGCTTATCGGGCTGTTTGCCTCAGTGACGGACGCAGACTTCACATCCTGGAAACCGCCATCCCAGGAGGGGGCTGGGCTGCGGCAATCCAGGGCGGCCTTCAGGCTGAGGCAGCCTGAGAAGCCCTGGTCACTGACACAGTGTGGAGGGACCCAGGGCTGCACACAGGCCTCCTCCCCCGAGCGCGCTGACCTCTCTGCCCTCTGTGGTCTCCACAGGTGCAAGTGCAACCTGCACGCCAGCCTGTGCTCGGTGCGGGAGGGCAGCCTGCAGTGCGAGTGTGAGCACAACACCACCGGCCCTGACTGTGGCAAGTGCAAGAGGAACTTCCGCACGCGCGCCTGGCGCGCCGGCTCCTACCTGCCGCTGCCCCACGGCTCCCCCAATGCCTGTACGTAGGTATCCCCGGGACCAGCGGGGGCTGCCATCACCCTGCCCTTCAGCCCTGGAGCTGTGCGCACACACGAACCCATGCACACAAGTATACACACCCACACACACAGGTGGACTTGTACAAGTGCACACTGGCGGGCATGCACACACCAACAGACAGATGTGTGCACACACACACACAGAGTGTCAGGAGCCTTGCAGCCCCCTCTAGCTCAGCCACCCTGCAGACCTCTCTGCTGCCCTTCCCGCCCCGCCCTGCCCACAGCTTCCTTCCTGGCTCGAGTCCCCTTGACCCTGGATGCAGGGCAGCCCCCCTCCCCCCACAGGATGCAGAGAGTGAGGGGGCCAGACCTCCCCACTCGTCTAGGCGGGTGGGACCCACCACTCTGCCCCTGGTCCCAGATGTTCATGGGGCACTGGGCGTACATCACACGGCGCTGCATGTCCACTGCCCCTGCACCAGCACCTGCACCCTGGCCCTGGAACCAGACTCCTGGTTCCCCAGCTGCAGCACCATCCTCTGATTGCTGTCCTGAGCTCCTGGTCTGGCTCTTGACATGCCCCCCGCCCCTCATGCACGTATGCCAGGGAAGCCGTGCACAGCCTTTGGGGTCCCCCTCTCATCTGTACCCTGAAATCATGGGTCCCTGGAATCCCGGGTTGCAGGTGGCCCTGATGCTGGCCCAGGGCTCTCACCACTAACACCTTTCAGATGCCACGCATGCTGCAGATGGGTAACTGAGGCCCAGCCAACCTCAGGATCCTTCTGGGTCCATATGAGCTGCAGCCAGACAGAGGCTCCAGGCTGCTTCCCGGACCTGATGCCAAAGCCGGTGCAGGGCCGTAGTCTCTGCTTCCGGACGCCCGCCTGCCTGGGCCCCCCCTTCCACTGGTGAAAGATTCATGTGGCTTTAGGCTGATCAAAGCGGAGCACCACGGCGGGGCCGTGACAGGCCTGTCGTGCGTGGGCCGGGGCCAGTGTGGTGACAGGCCTTTGAAGGGGTGACTTGTCAGACACCTCATAGCACTCGGGGGTTTTCAAAGGCACCGAGACAGCTCGGGGCACTGGCGGCCAGGCGGGAGGTGGCCTCGCTGTGTCCTGAACCTTTGCTTCAGTTGCTGTCACCCCCGACTGGCTGGCACGCCCGCCTCCTCCCATCTGTCCGGCAGCTGCACGCCCAGCTCCCACTCCCAGCTCTTTTCTTCCACCTGCACAGCCTGTGGGGTCTCCTGTCCCCCCACAGCAGGTTCTGTCACTGTCCCCCCTCCTACCCCAACCACTCCTCACATCACCAGTCCCTTCCCTCCCCAGTGCCACCTGCTCCTGCCTCGCCCCTCACTGCTGCCCTCTCTGAATCTCCCTCCTGGAGTGAACCCTCTTGATCTTCCGCCCCTCAAAGGCCCCTGCTCCATCTTTAGTCCCCCCAAAGGCCCCTGGGTGCTCTTCTCCCCGCCCCCATCACTTTCTGCCTTGGGACCCAAACAGCAAAATCCTCTCCTCTGCTGCTGGATCCTCTGTGTCTGGGTCCTGCCACCAGCACCCCGGGACCTGGGCCCTCTGCCCTCTGGCACCCACAGCCCCCGGGGCCCAGCTTAGATTCTCCCCATCTCTTGGGACCCACCTCTCCCCTACATCCTGAGTCCTTGCCTGCCGGCCCCACCCCCCCTGCCCTCCATGTGCGACAGAGCGCCTGGGTTGAGCATTGAGTCCTGGCCCCCTACTCCGGGCCTCCCTGGCCCATCCCATTGACTGCAGCTCACCAGGAGGGGCCCTGACACCTGTCCCGATGCTGCCACAGAGTGCCCTGCGTGACAGGGAGGCCCGGGCAGTGGGTCCTTCCTCCCCTGTTGTGCTGATTCCTGCCTGGGACCACAGGGCCTCTGGTCAGGCCAGGAGCCCCAGGCTGGGGCCATCCTCTGCCCCTCCTGCCCGCTGTCCTATTGCCCATCCCATCTCCTGAGGCACCATGAGGACGAAGTGGCTGCTGCAGCCCTAGGCAGGGTTTCCGGTCAGCCCATCGGCCACGCTTCCATTCCCAGCCGGGGCCACAGTTTCCCCAACCGGAGGCCGAGGGGGCTGCAGTTAAGCAGGAGAGGAGTGCTTGGCACTTATCATGATGGGAAATAGCACATCCCAATAGGGAAATCACAGCCCCAAGACTCAGTTTCCCTGTCCAAAAAGTGGCTAATAGCAGCCCCGCCACTCAAGGCTGCAGCAAGAGAAACAGGGCAATCCACCGAGTCCAAGCGGGGTGATGGCCGGGGCCCTTCCCCACACCCCAGCTGGCTCCCCACCATACCCATCTCCATAGGAGGCTGTCGCCAGGCCCCTGGTCTGACCACGGCTGTGAACCTCTTGTCTCCCGGCAGGTGCAGCTGCAGGCTCTGCCTTCGGCAGTAAGTATGGGACTCTTGGGTGACCTGGGAGGGGCTGGGCAGAAGGGAGGACCCACACTGTTCTGGGCCTGGCCTCTCCACTCCCGCTGATCGAGCCCATCTGCTTCTCCCCTGCCCCTCCCCGGAGGCTTCCCGAGTGCTGCTTTGGAAAGCCGTGGGTCCCGTGACCTTGATCAGACTCCCTGTTCCTCCTGCACTGCCCACAAGCTCCTGTCCCTGCACACTGGTTCCAGCTCAGCCTCCAGGGCTGGGACACCAGCAGGGCACCTGCAGGAGGAGGGCAGAAAGCCCTGAGAACTCAGGGGGAGGGGGAGGGAGCAGGCGAGGACAGGACACTGTGGTCTCTCATTTAACCCCACCAACCCCACTCCCTGGGGAGACCCATCTTCTCCTCTGAGACCCAGCAGGAGCGGCCATGCAAGGTCAGCACCCATCTCCAAGGTGCTTCTGGTACACATCACCCCACTCCGCCTGGGCTCTCTAGATGGGGACCTCCCTGACAACTGTCCCTCCCCCACTGAACTGGGGTGCTCTTGGGCAGAGAGGGCACCGGCAAGAAAGTGACCCTGCCTGGAACCTGGGTGTGCACAGCCACAGTTACAGGAAGTGGCTTCTCTAGGGCACCGGCCCACTGACCCTCCCTCCTGCCCCCATCTCTTCCCAGGCAGCAGCAGGTCCTGGAAGGACCCCGCCCCCAGAGGCCCTGTGGCCACGCGGGGGGCACCCATGACTTCCACCCCCTCCACATCTACCACGCAGGCACCCACAGCCCCTAGCACTCCACAGCCCACAGGTGGGTGCCAGGCTCTAGTCAGTGACCTCTGCTGTCCCCTGCTGCTTGTAGCCAGCGTCCCTGCCTTGCTCTGGTGGGATGGCGGGGCTCACCTCTTAGAGTAGAGAATGCTAGTAGCACCCTAAAGCCACCAGAAATGGGCTGAGAGGGCTATCAGGAGACCCCCTACCTAACCAAGCCCCAACCCTTCCTCCTGTCCCTTCAAGAGCAAGGGTCTGAGGCCGGGGTGGCCCAGGGGACAGGGCCCCTGAGAGGAGGGTGCAGCAAGGCCACGCTGACATTCAGATGGAGGTGGCACCCATCTCCCAAGGGTGCTCAGCTCCAGGGTCTGATGGGGGAGCTGGCTCAGGCTCCGCCCCCAGCTGACCACCTGGCAGGGAGGATTCGGGGCGAGCGGAGCGCGCAAAGGCAGGAGGAGGCTTGGGAGGAAGCAGCGCTGGGCACCTGCCAGCACCTGGAGGCCGAGTGTGGGGCGGACCCATTCGCGGGGTCTCAGCTACAAGATGGGTTTGGGAACCTGGCTGATTCTAAGTCCCCCTCAGAGGCACATGTGTGGGTTCCTGAGGTGTGGGGTGCTGCAGCAAGAGTTCTGGTCTCCCCTGGACTTCCTGGAGGTGTCCTCCCAGGCACACCCCCTGCAGATGTCTGGGAGACTGCAAGTAAGGGTCCCTGCGCCGAGTAAGCTTCCTGGAGCACACTGCCCCCTGCAGGAGAGACGTGGAAACTAAGGACAGGGACCCCCTTATTGCTGAGGCCTCCCAGGCAGGCCAAGGGGACCTGCCCAGCCTCTCCAGGTGACAGCAGCTGCTTTGACCAAGTCTTGGGCGCCTCACCGGGGGTGAAACCTAGTGACTCCTCTTCCGTCTTGACAGGCCAGGGCCTGGTGGGTTCCAGGGAGCCTCTCAGGGTGGACAGACAGGGTCACTCACGTTTCCCAGCCTCCTGAGACCTGTGCTTCTTCTTTCCTTCCTTCCTTTACTTTGTGACCTGTGCTGGGCGGACGGAAGTAAAAATAGTCACACAGCACGTGGGGTGCAGAGTCTGGCTCCAGACCGGGTCCGTCGGGGTGCAAGGCCAGATAGGCATGCCCCATCCAAGTCCGAAGTGGTCAGGCCTGACAGCAGGGGGTGCTCTCCGGTGGCCACCAGTGGCCTGAGCCTTGTGTGTTGGGGGGTCCTCACCGAACCTCTGCCTGGAGCCCTGTTCCTAATAATTCCAGCCCCGAGTGGTGGCAGCAGGGGTCTCCCGGCTCAGTGCTGTACCCCTGGCCCCCTGCTCCAGGACAGGGAGGCTGCTGTCTCCCTCAGGCCACAGGGGAGGGGATCGAGGCGTAGGAAGGGGCAGCTGGGTTTGCACTGTGTCGATTACACCTCGAGGAAGCTGTTAAGAAAAGAGAAGCAGAGGCCCAGGGCACCGGCACTGAGGCCTGAGGCCTGAGGCACCAGGACCCCCGTCCCCCGTCCCTCTGCCACCCATCGCACTGTCCTCAGTCCACGGGAGGCTGGGAGGTGGGGCTGTCCTTAAGCCCTGGCCTGCACAGCTCCCTCTTCCAAAGGAACAGCCGGGCCTCCATCTGCTCTTGGCACAGGCTGCGGCCACCTTGAGACCGTTCCTCCGCGCACCTGAGCCTGTCCTGGGGGAGCCCTGCAGGGACGTTCCTTGCCTGACTCCGGCCCCCAGAAAGGTCCCCACCTTTCCAGCTCCTTCCAACAGGTGCTCTCTGGCCAGAGGCCAGCTGGGCCCCGATTCCCAGCCCAGGGGCCTGTCCCGCCTTGCAGGGCGGTGCTGGGCTGAGCCAGCTAATCCTCCTGTGGAGTGGGGCAGCAGAATGCCTTCCGGGCTGCTTTTACCGAGGCTCTAATTAAGCCCTTGCCAATTTGGGTCCTGCGGCCCCCTCTCCTCCTTGAACACCGTATTAATGTCAATTTGATGTCCAAAGGCTCCCGGCTCCCAGCTGGGAAGTCTGCTGTGCTTTTTAGCTGGGAGATTTTCTTTGTCTCTGCCATCAGCCCTGGCGTGGGTAATCCCTTTAAGGAGCGGGAACAGCAGACCTCTCCCCGGCCCTCTGCTCTGTCCTTTGAATTCTCCATGCATCTGTTTAGTCTTGGCAATGAGTACCGAGCTTGAAGAGGGTAGATGCATGCTGGGGTCCCTGCTGGACTCAGAGCACAGCAGGGGTCAGAGAGGTGGGGGAGTGGTGACACTGGAGGACACTCCTGTCCCTGGGTGGGGGCTGGAAAGAGGCTGTCTAGGTCCCTCCCAGGGACACTGAGTGTCTTGGGCAAGACACACCTTCCCTCCTCTCTGCAGCTCAGCCAGACAGCACAGACCTGGGAGCAGACACCCTCACTCAGGGGGCCCAGACTCAGGGGTCTTCCTGAGAGAAGGACTACCCCAAACACACAGATTCTCTGTATGGGGGCCCTCCTGGCTGGCTTCGGTGTCAGCGAGCTGTTACAGGCTGCAGTAGTGTAGACGTTGCCTCTGTAGTGTGTGCGAACCTAGCTCTCGGGTAGTGTAGACAGCTTCTCCCTTAGAGGGTCGTTTCCTGTCGGGGGCCTGTAGGGCCACAGGGACGTCGCCCCTCATGTAACTTGGTTTCTGCTTTTCTTCCCCCTCAAGACCTGACCAGGCCATCTACAGTGGCCCCCTTGGGGCAGAGCCCCCGCTGGCCCCGGGGGTCCTCCCGGGCAGAAGGTAGGGGCGGGGCTGGGCGGGTCCTTCTCGGTGTAGGCGCTCCCTCTGTAGTAGTGGAGGTGGTGGGTGTCCATGGTGGAACTCCGCTGGGCGGAAGGCCTGGTGAGCTCTTGGCAGAGCAATCCCTACCTGCCCGGTGCTTCCCGACTAAAGGGACCCAGGGGTGCACCCAAGTGCCACCCCAGCCCCTCTCACCCCCCCCCCCCGCCTGGGTTTGGAGCAGGTGGAGATGCAGGAATCCCTGGCACAGGAGGGCAGGGATGGGACAGACAGGGCTATAGGGGCATGACTGTGGGCAGGAGAGGAAGAAGGCAGCATAGGGCCAGCTGGGGCAAAGGCTGATGCTGTGGACAGTGTGCCAGGCTGCAGGAGGTGCCAGGCCCCGGGTCGCAGGTGGACATGCCCAGGAAACCCGTGGCCAGGCACCTGTTCCCAGGCCGAGTCCCTGCCCCAACCAACGCCCCTGCCGCTCCAGCTCTGAGCAGCGAGCCAGGCTTTGAGCGCCCTCTGCTGGACAGTGGCTGCAGGCCGGCCACAGTGTGATCAGAGGTTCTGGGCAGCCTGGACCCCCCTGCACTGGGGCATCCTCTCATGCTACGGCGACAGAGAGAGCAATGACCATCATTTCCCTGCCCTGGACACCCTGAGGTGCCACAGTCTCCCAGGTGGCAGTGGAGGCAATGATGGTCCCAGAACAGTGGTGCTGGGATTCTAGGCTGGGGAAGGCAGGTGCCACCTCCATTCCCAGCTTGGTGATACTTGCAAGTGGCTGCCAGGGTGGATTCCAGAAGACACCTGGCATCAGCAAATGTCTGTGGAGGAGTTGGGGGACGGAGAAGTCATGGGGGTCTAATCCAATTGGATGTGTTGAGGGTCCCTGAGAGGGGACCAGGGGCTGGCTCCGCAGGGGCTGAGGGGCAGGGTCCCCACCTCAGGGCTGTACCGCTATGAGCAGCGACAAGGGTGCCCCAGAGCTGGCACTGGGTGCTCAGAAGCCTCTGTCTAGCTTTTCCCTGGGTGTGTGGGAGCCGAGGCAGACAGAAGAAGGTGTTTCTCATCTCTCCAAGCTGTGGGCACCTCTGCTGCTGTCCCTGCCCCTGCCAAGGGCTCCAAACTTTTCCAGCTCAAGCCCAAATCTCCTCACGTGATGCCTGTGGAAGAATTCCCAGGTAAGAGGAAGCCAGGCCGGCCTGGCCTGCTCACCTGCCTGCCATAGCTGGGCCAAGGTGACACTGAGTGTCTCTTCCCTCTGGCCTTCCAGCCCCAGGGGAGCGGGGCACAAAGAATGAGTCAGAAGCCAACCTGGGCACAGGGCAGGCACTCGGCAGGCAGGGTGCTGCTGGAAATAGCCTGTCCTGCCTCCCTGGGGAGGTGCAGCCTGGGGGCTCATCCTGCCTGGCGCAGAATCTGGGACGCTTGGGTCACCAAATCTGTCTTTGGGACACCAGAGGCTGCCTGCCTCCTGCCTATCTATGCAGGGACAAGGTGCAGGGGCAGGTCTGGGAGGCCGATGTGGGGTGCCCTTGGCCGTCACAATGGCCATGCTTCACGGCTGTTTCTAGGGTCCCCCGTGTGTCCAACCCTGCCCCTTCTCTATCTGGGCCCTGAGAGCCAGGCCCCAGGCACTTCTGGCACTTGCCAGAGCAATTGGGCAGGGGTCAGCCTAAGATCCATGGTACAGTGGCACTGGAAGATGCCCATGATGGCACAGAGATGGCGCCCTTGAGCCAGCCAAACTTATGGAAGGCTCAGGTTAATAAAAGGAACTGCAGGGGCAGGGACAGCAGGCATTTTCCTCCTGTCTCTCTTCCAAAGCAGCACAGAGGAAACTCCTGGCCCATCCCATCTTACCTAGCCTCCTGCATGCATTCACCCATCCATGCCATTCCTGGGGATGCAGTGGTGATTGCCAGAACCCCAGCAGCCCTCCCTGAGCTCAGAGTCTGGGGTGTGACCCTGCCCTTCTTGCAGGAATCACTTGCTAATCTCCCTGGTGCATGGGCACCTTCAGAGAGTGCTTGGCCTGGTGCCAGGCCGGGCAGGGACAGGTGCTGCCCTTGGCCTCCCCCAGTTCTTCCAGCCCAAAGCTGGCAGGCCATGGAAGCGTACGAGGCCCCAATGCCTTCCCGGTCCTTTTCCAAAGGTGCCTCTCTCCCTGCATGTCCCAGAGTGGGTGGGTCTTCCCTCCCCCGGTGCCTGGTCTCCCTGGTGCCTGCTGACCGCTGGTGTTTCTCCCGCTCGGCTGGCCCAGACTGTGAGTGCTATGGCCACTCCAACCGCTGCAGCTACATCGACTTCCTGAATGTGGTGACCTGTGTCAGCTGTAAGCACAACACTCGCGGCCAGCACTGCCAGCACTGCCGCCTGGGCTACTACCGCAACGGCTCGGCCGAGCTGGATGACGAGAACGTCTGCATCGGTGAGCAGGAGGTGCAAGGGACGGGTGGCTTCTAGGGTCTGCCTGGCAGCTAGGGCTTCCCACTGGAAATCAGGAGGTGGTCCCACCTGGTGAAAGATTTCTGGGTTGTTTTGTGTTTGAGACAGCGTCTTGCTATGCAGTTCAGGCTGGGCCTTGAATTCACTGTGTAGCCCAGGGTGGCCTCAAACCCTCGGAGATCCTCCTGCCTCAGCCTCCAGAGTGCTAGGACGACACCTACTGTGACATGCTACCATGCCGGCCTAGGTAAAAGGTTTCCAAAGCTCCTTTGACGCTGATGGTGCCTGCGAGCACTTTCTAAGAAGGGGGCTGGTGTATCCAGCAGTGGGCACCTGGCCTGCTTTCCTCAGTGCCCTGCTCCAGGCCTGGCCAGGGGATAGGGAGGGAAGTCCTTTCGCATCCTGGGCATAGAGAGGGACAGTCTCCAAAGCTCATAGTTCCTGACCAGCACTCAACAGTCCAGAGAGGCACCCAGGTGGCACCCCACATCCCCACCCCCATCTCCCCAGAGGCCAGGCCTGGTCCTCAGGACCTCACCTCCACCCAAGCAGCACCCCCTGCAGAGCCCAGCTGTTGGCCTCAGTCAGCAGTGGCCTTCAGATAATTCCATCAGCGCTAAGGTGATCAAAACAATTGCGCTGCCAGGCGCAGGGGCCAGCTACAGGGCCATGGCGAGCTCTGGATCCGATTAGAGGAACCCTTCCCCACTCTGGGCCCAGCACGGGGCTCAAGGGAGGGGGTTCGGGGAAGCCAGCTGGGGCAGTGGAGGAGGGGCACCGCGCGAGGCCTCCTGGACAGACGCCTGCTGGCCCAGATGAGACTCCGGCCACCTGCCAGGCCCTGCTGTCAGGGCGGGAGGGCCGCGAGGTGTCGGGGCACAGGCACAGCACAAGCCACGCCGCGCCAGGGCCCCCAGATCTGGCCCCCTGGCGGTGCCCCGCTCCATTGGGCTGGAAGACGCAGAGGCAGGCGGTGCCTGACAGTGCCCGTGCCCCTATCCGCCCAGAGTGTAACTGCAACCAGATCGGCTCCGCGCACGACCGCTGTAACGAGACCGGCTTCTGCGAGTGCCGCGAGGGCGCAGTGGGGCCCAAGTGCGACGACTGCTTGCCCACGCACCACTGGCGCCAAGGCTGCTACCGTGAGTGCAGACCAGTGCACTGGCCGGGGCGGAGACGGGCGTGGCTCGGGGCAGGGCGGGGCTTGGGCGAGATGGGCGGATATTATAGTAGGGCGGGGCTTGAAGTGGGCGTGGCTAGCAATGCCTGGAGCCGGCCAAGTGGAGATGGCCGAGCCGGGCATGGAGGTGGGCGGGCATGGAATGCCTGGGGCGGGGCTAGGGGTGGTCAAGCGGACCAGGTGGAGGCGGGTGGGGCTTTGGGTAGGGGCGGGTCCGGGTGGAGACGGAAGGGCTGCGGCAGGGGCGGGGATAGGGAAATAAATGGGGCGAGGTCGAATGGAGATGGGCGAGGCCTGTGGCAGAGTCCCCCGCCCCGAGCGCGGGTGGGCAGGGCTTTGCAGCAAGGGCCGGGAACAGGTGGGACGGAGTGGGCCAGGATGAGTGCTGGAGCAGGGTGTGCGCCCAGCCGCCGCAGCCAGAGACGACTCGGGCTGGAGAGAGCTGTGGAGGGGAAATCGAGGCATCACGGATGCGCAGGGCGGTCGAGGGAAAGGGTAGGGAGGAGCCCGGCCGCCCGCCGCTCACCGCCCCTTCGCCCGCAGCCAACGTGTGCGACGACGACCAGCTGCTGTGCCTGAACGGGGGCACGTGCCTGCAGAACCAGCGCTGCGCCTGCCCGCGCGGCTACACCGGCCTGCGCTGCGAGCAGCCGCGCTGCGACCCGGCCGACGACGACGGCGGCCTGGACTGCGACCGCGCGCCCGGGGCCCCGCGCCCCGCCGCCTTGCTCGGCTGCCTGCTGGGGCTCGGGCTGGCGGCGCGGCTGGGCCGCTGAGCGCGCGGCCCGGTGCTACTGCGGCCCGGCCCGCCCTCCCCGCCCTTCTGCTTCCCTCCCCTCCCCTCGCCCGCCCTGTCCTACCCGCCTTTCTTTTCTTTCTCACCTCTTACGCTGGCGGGGAGACAGGGTGCTGGGAGAGATGCTGCTCGCCCAGCACCCCCAGACCCGTTGCCCCAGGACCGTCTCAACGCCCACTGCGCCCGGTCCTGGCCCTCCACCAGCCGGCAGACCTGACTCCAGATGCCTACAACTCCAGTCGCTGACTTGATTCTCTTTTATATTCTTTCTTTATTTTCCTTTGCAACCCACCAGACCCCAGGCCTCACAGGCCTGGTCACCAAGGAACTGACCGTCTGGGGTTAGGGTAGAGAGAAGGGTCGGGTGGGTGGAGATTTCCTTTTGTAGAGAACTATTTTTGTTTGTATTAACTGTCCCCTGTCAGGAGGGACTTGGGTGGGCACTGGTCACCGCAGTGGCGGACGATGTATAACCCAGCTGAGTATAAAGAGTGTTCACTGCTGCTCTGGGGCCTGCCTGCTTTCTGTGTGTGTGTGGACAGTGGGCAGGCTTGGGGTTTAAGAAGGAACCCACAAAGCATCCTTATAAAGTAGGGTATGGGGGCTCTGGGAGCCTGAGGCAGGAAAATCACAAGTTCAAGCCCAGCCTGGGCAATTTATGATGGCTCTGACTCAAAATTAAAAGGGCTGGGGATATAACTCAGTGCCAAGATCCTGGGCTCAGTCCCCAGCAGTATAAACACACACACACACACAGTACCCTTAAACAATTTACCCTTCCAGTACAACACTGCCCCTGGGTCTGAGCAATGCCCCAAAAGCCTCCTGGTGGCCAGGCTGCCAGTGACCCTAAGGAGGAGTTTGCCTTCTCTTCCCATCCCCCTCCAACCCCAGAGAGTGGCAGTATTTTGCTGTGTTTTGTTATAGAACTCCAGGGTGATGACTCTGGGAGACTTCTCAAAGGGTCTGAGCCCCACTCACAGATCCGTACTGTCTCCCAGGGGCCCTGAGGTGGGCATCATCACAGACCTGTGGGGTGGGAGCCCCAGGTCCAGTGTCAGCTCACTCAGAACCCCTCTCAGATGGAGAGGCCTGGGGTGGGCCAGCCTGGCTCCTAATTATTTCCAGGGCTCCTGCTGCCCCGCCTCCCAGCCCTGGCTTCTGCCAGCTGTGCCACTTCCCAGGCAGGTTAGCGTGGCCCTGGTCCCTCTCCCAAGTCCATGAAACAGAGCTAAACCCGAACTGGACCAAAGGTGGCCTTGGGCAACCGCCAGCCAGGGCTGGATGGATGTACTTTGAGGATCCACGGCGCCCCCTGCTGGCAACTGTCATTTCTGCTGCCCGAGACAGTACAGTCTTGAGCCCCACAAGAACAGCCTTCCGTGGGGTCCCCCGTGTCTTTCGGCTCCTCCTCACCTTACTCCTTGGAGCACCCTGCTTAAAGGGCCCCCGAGCACCTAGTGAAACAGAACACACCTCTGGGCTCCTTGGGGAGTGGGTTCCCTGGTCTGGCCTGGGTGACAGCTGGCCCTTCCTCAAAGCCCCTCACCTCCCAATTTCAGCTGACCATCAGGTCCGGCTGCTGTCTTGAGGCGTGGGGACACTCGGGGGGGGGCACAGTGGGCAAAGCACAGCCACAAGCTGTGATCATACCAGCCAGCAGGGCAGCCAGAGGGCAGACCACTCCCACCACTCCTGCTGCAACCCTGCATCACACTGGGGGTGTCCTAGGTACACTTGGAGGGCCTGGGAGGACAGGCACCCCGCAGACACCTGCCCCTTGCTGCCTGGCCTATCTCCCAGCCCTGCTGCGTCAGCATCCCTGGGACCAGCCTGTGCCAGCATGGGCGGCCGAGTGCACTGTAAATCAGCCTGGCAGCCCCAGTCTCCAAGGACGCAGCTCAGGCCATGACCTTGGCCAGAGGGTGGCAGAAGAGCTGCCAGCAGCCATTTGGAAAACTCTGCCATGCTCCAGACCGCAGGAGAAGGAGAAAGCAAGGTCACTGGAGCCAGAAGGCACAGAGCAAACCGCCCTTGGTCCTTACAGCTGCTATCTGGCATCTGATTCCCCAGGGGTGTGGAGGAAAAGACTCCATTCCACAGCCGCTTCAGGCACCACCCCTGCCCACAACCCTGGGATTGTCTTTAGCCCTCGCACCGTGCATGTGGAGGGCTGGGGAATTCTTTGTCCCCCAGCGTGGGTAAGTTGGATGCAAAACTGCCCAGGTTGAAGTTATGGCTTTCAGAGGAAGAGATGGCTGTGCCCACTTTGCAGAGGGGCAAATGGAGGCTCAGAGAGGCCCAAAGTCACTGTTCCTAAGAAACAGGAGCAGCCCTCTGAGGGAGGTATCTGCCCACTGCCACCTGCCTCTGCCTCTACCCTTGCCCTGCAGCCTCCTCTCTGTGAGCCAGACCACGCAAGAAGCCCTGGGCTCTGCAGGACGATGGTCCTTGCTTGCCCACCCCGCGCTGCCTGCCTGCCCTGTCACGTGGCCCCCTAAATAAATGAGGCTGCTGTGTCAGCAGTTTCTGCCTGCCTGCCGTGCCTTACAGTTACGAGGCATTTATGGGCACTCGGGGAGCAGTTGCGGGCGTCTCCTGCAGGGTGGGGTGACCTGGGCAGGACAAGCCCCTCCTTTGCTCCCCGCCACACGGTCCTCCGCTTCTCCCGAAGGACCCCTGCCTGTCCCACACATCTCAGGCCAGAAGAGCGGAAGCAAAGCTTTCTGATTTATTTGCTTTCTAAAAATACAAATCAGAAGGCGAAAGCCAGTTAGAACACCCAGAAAACACAGTCCTGCTCATTTTTAAAGTAAAATTATTCTTATTTCTCCATGCAGTGCTCATAACTGTTCATACTCTGTGATAGGTATTTCCAGCATTTCTCCATAAAACAAAGCCCACACACAGACACTGCCCCACCCGCCCATTTCAGCATCTGTTACCCTCTGTGCTGAGGATGGACAGCTCTTGTTTTGTAAAATATTTTTCAAATATTTTTTCAAAATATTCTCGGAGGGCTGCAATGTGATATTTTGATACATGTGTACAATGCGCAATGATCAGAGGGTAATTACCACATTTATCACATCAAACATTTATCATTTCTTTGTGTGAGGAACATTTAAAATCCTCTCTTGTAGCTATTTTGAAATATAGAATACATTATAAGCCTGGTGTGGTGGCGCACACCTGTAATTCCAGAAATCCAGAGGCTGAGGCAGGAGGGTCGCTGCCATTCTAAGGCCTACCCGGGGTACATAGAGAGTTCAAGGCCAGCCCAAAATATAAAGTGAGATTTTGTCTCAAAAAGCCCCTAAATAAATAACAAATTATCAACTTCAGTCGCCCCAATGTTAGAGGACATTAATGCCGACTCGGGCACAATCGCACTGACAGGTGTTACTTCAAGAGTCTCCACCACCATACTGAGCAGTAGCTCTGTTTGTGGTTTTGGTTTTGGAGACAGGACCTCCCTAGGCAGCCCAGGCTGGCCTTCCACTCAGTGCTCCTGGCTCCGCCTCCCAAGTGCTGGGATGACAGGTGTGTGGCACCACCACGCCTGGGAGAGTGGGCTGGGTTGAGACTCCCATTTTACAGCTGCACACACTGAGATGCCAAAAGTGTTCTGGATGGGAACCTGAGCTACAAGTCCCCAAAACAACTCCAGGTGACTTAGTCAAGGAAAGAGTACCCAAAGGGTCATGGGACCCTGGGACAGGCGTCACCACAGCTAAAGGCAAGACAGACTGGGAAACCAGGAGCTGCAGCCAGTAACCCGGCCAGGGTGGGTGGGAGTCCTAGAGCCCCAGAGGCTGCCTGGGCACTGCCCTCACCCCAGGTGTCCCTGCCCGGCCACCATGTGCCCTGCATTTCCTGCTTTTTCAAGAGGAAGGGGACAAGGAACCTGGAATCACAGCCACCAGTGTCACTCTGGCACGACAAGCTTGGCCTGGGTTCCCAGTGCCCCCGGGCTGTGTGCCTGGTGGCTGGGGAGAGCTTGCTGCTCTGCAGACAACCAGCCAGGTAGGGACCTGCCACATCGTACCCCAGGTGGCTTCCGGCCACAGGACACTCGGTGGCTGGCTGAGCAGGAGCCCTTGGGATCCAGCCAGGGGCAGCTGGATCCAGCCACAGTCCGGGAGCTGGTGGTACCTCCCACGCTGCCCTGCAGAAAGGATAGCTGCAAAGGCCATCAGGTGGCAAAGGGCACCGGCTCTGGCATCAGCCACTCTGCCACGCATCTGCTGCGTGATTTTGCCCATTCCTCCGTCTCTCTGTGCCGGCCTCTTCTCACGTAGGAAATGAGACACCCAGGGTTGAGTCTAGGTGTGAAAGAGTTAAATCGGTCCAGAGTTTAGGACAGTGCTCGCCATGGACAGCCCCAACAGGGCCTCCACTGTCTCCCCGATGGCCCCGTCTCCCCACATGAACCTTGCCCTCAGCCGGCGCTCTGCACCTTGGTGTGCACTGCACTGCAGGGCCAGGTGGACACACGTGGGAGTCAGGACAGAGCGCCCAGGGACCCCCACAGCCCGTCTGACGTGACGTGGGCAAAGCGGGCTGCAAGGTTCAGCTGCAGAGGCCTTGGGGCCTGAGGTACCACTGGGGGCTGCAGCCTACACGTCCAGGCCCGGGACAGAGACAGACTCCGTGACCCCGTGACCCCATGACCACATGTCCACATATTCAAAGTCCCTCATGTCATGCTATGGGACGCAAGGCAGCCCGGCCATGACAGGGAGACCCTGTGCAGACCGCAGCCCTGAACGGTGAGATTCAAACACAGCTTGGACTCCCCTGGTGGGCGGCTCAGGTGGGGTGGCCTGTGGCCCCTCAGATCCTGGTGTGTGACCTAAAAGGGGTGCAGGCTCTGGCAGGCACATCCCGTGGGTCCCAACAAGACCAATGAGATCTTCAGTTGTGTTAAGGAGGGAGGAGCCAGCAAGGTGGTACATGCCTGTCACCCCAGAACCCTGGGAGGCCGAGGCAGGGAGACTGCAAGTTCAAGCCCAGCCTGAATTTAGGGACTTAATGAGTCTTTGTCTCAAAACAAAACACAGAAAAAGAGCTGGGGACGTTGCTCAGTGTGAGGGTCCCAGGAGCAATTCCAGTAACACACACACACACACACACACACACACAAGGCTGGGGCATGGGGGCCCACGCCTGTAATCCCAGCTACTGGGGAGGCTGAGGCAGAGAGATCTCAAGTTCCAGGTCACTCAGTGAGACTGTCTCAAAGCAGAATAAAAGGGCTGGGGATGCAGCTCAGTGATAGAGCGCTCGCTTAGCACGTATAGTGGCAAAAAATTAGACCTGTCCCCCTTCTCTACCTGGGGGCACAGCTGGTCTGGTGCAGGTGGGCAGGAGAAAGGGCTTCTTGTGCTCCACACCAAGCCGAGTAAGTGTGGCTGATGGCAGTTAACTGAATACTCTGCAAGCACTCGGAGAGAAGATTTTTTGGAAGTTTCCCAGGAGAAAGAAATGCTAAATGTACCGATGTGATCTCTACCCACCTTATACACCTGCTGAAATGTCACCCCAAACCCCGAAACACGTACGATTACTCTGTGCCAACCAAGACGAGCAAGTGTTTTATAAATAAATAATTGTTTAAAGTTGTTGAGCAGGCAGAGGTGGCAGGGGAGCATGCCCATCACAGAAGCTGACAGTGGCAGGATGGCAGACGTGGGTCCAGCCTCAGTCACAGCTGCTGTGATGGGGCTCGAGCCGCTGCTCTAGAGAAGACCTGGCACAGACACAGGACAGTCGGCCCGAGAGCCGTCACCCAGGAGCGAGAGCGAGACAGACCAGGAGCCCAGCCTGTGGCTCGGGTGTCCTGAGGGCTGGCACCGGCCCCTTCAGGATAGGACAACCCTGTCGCTGCGCAGTGTTCTGCCCACTTTGTCCTCCCACCACCAGTGTCCTGGGCACTGCCAACCGCTTCACACAGCTCCTCACCGAGGTCTCAGTGTAGGGTCCCTTCTGGGGTGTCCCTGACTGCACCCATGTGCTCTATTTCTGTATAAAGGACAGGATCTAGGGAAGGGAAGGGGTGTGGTGGGGACGGGGTCCCTTACACTGAGCCACCAGTGTATGTGTGGATGCACATGTCTAGGAGGAGAGGAGACAGTGCTGGTGGCAGTGAGAGTGGCTGGCCGGCACAGATGACAGCCAGGTGGGGCTGCGGTGAAGCTGGGCACGGGTGCACTGTGATGAACAAGGGGTGCAGCGTGCGACCTGGGCAGGGGCTAGGGCCAGGGCCGGCCAGGCAGCAACCCCGGTGAAGGCAGGCTGGCCAGGACGGCAGATCCGCTGTGCCACGCACTCCTGGGGAGGGTCTCTGCCTGCAATCCTTAGAGAACAAGCCTGGCTGGCCCAGCCTCCCGGGGTAGCTACATTAGAGGTGACCGCCTGGCACGGGCTGGCCGGAAGTGACCGCTTTGGGGACGTGGTGGCTGCAGGGATCCACGGGTTCAGTTCCTCCCGTGGCCGGCAGGAGCACGGTGCTCTGTGCATTTCAGAGCCTTTGTCCCCACCAACAGTGGGGACACTTAAAGGGGTCCAGGTCATCCGGAGCTACCCTGGTGGCTCGGGGCTTTCAGTTGCCCCCTGATGCAGGGCAGTGCCTGCCGCGTGGGTGCCGCACTTGGGGCTCCTGCATGCACATGTACACATGCACTCCCACACATCACGCACACACGTGCACGAACTCACATGCGCATGCACACGCGCAGACATGCGCAACTGTCCTTCCAGCCACCCAAATGCTTTCCCTAGCTCCCACTTGGCCCTGGGACTCCAGATGCAGGAAGGGGAAGGGAAGGTGTCCTGAGGCCGTGGGGACCTGGGACAGTCAGGCTGAGCCTGGGCGGGAGGTAACTCTAGGCCACCCTTGCCTCCCACATGGGCAGAATACCCCGGGCAGGATGCAGTCTGTGAACTCCGGACCTATCCACAGGGTTTGTGTTTTTAAGACTGGCTGAGTAACTAGTGTATCTTCTGTAAAATGATTTTTACTATAGCTGTAATTCACCTTCTCTGTAAAAATTAAAACTGGAAATGTCAAAAAGATAAAAGTTAGGGGTGGTGGTCCCACTTGTAGTTCCTGTACTGGGGAGGCTGAGTCAGGAGGTTCCCAGTGGGTTGGATTTCAGCCAAGGCTACAGAGTGAGTTCAAGGCTAGCCTGACCTAAATATCCAGACCCTGTCTCAAAACAACAACAAAAACCACACAGAGTACTTAGATCTGAGAGTAGCTGTGCACACTTGTAATCCCAGCACTCAGGAGGCTGATGAAGTAGGAGGATCACTGTGAGTTCAAGGCCAGCCTGCAGTACATAGTGAGAACCCGTCTCAAACACAAACACACACAAAACACAAAACTAGAGCACAGCAGGTCCCTAGGGCAAAAGTGCTCCCTGTGATCCTCTAGTGCTGGACACGTCATTACCTGTATCCAGGGAACCTCATGAGCCTGCTGGCTCTGGATGGCTGTGGCTCGTCCCTCGTGAGAAGGGACCACTGTGGGGTGGGGTGGGGGTATAAGAAACCTACAATTGGGGCTGGGGATTTAGCTCAGCGGCATAAGCGCCTGCCTTGCAAGCAGGCAGTCGTGAGTTCGATCCCTGGTACCGATAAAAAGGAAAAAGACAAAAAATAAATAAATAAAAAGAAACCTACAATTTCTGCTCAGCTTGGTTGTGAACCTAAAGCTGCTCCATTAAAAAGGTATATATATATATATATATATATATATATATATATATATATACATACACACACACACACACACACACACACACACACAAACATTACCGCCTAACCCGTTACCACTGATGAATGTCAGGGCTTTTCCTAACATTTCTTAGCATACGGCTTTTCCCTTACAACGAGGAAATTATGCTAACCACGAAAAGGTAGAAATCCTTGAAATAAAAGGGGGGGGGGACCTTCTCAGTAGGTACACGGTAGGTATAAGAACCAAGCGGGGATTTTCCAACCAGAAGCTGCAGGACAGAACGCACAAGTGTCCCTGCCGGGCTCGGCAGTGCAGGTAGGCCCTGTGACCTGAAGGTGCCACGAGAGCACAGTCCACTTCCTAACTTGAGGACCCGTGGCCCCTCTGACTCCAGCCACCCCAGGAACTTGGTTTCAGTGAATTCCCAGGATGCAGACTTGCGGGCTCCCAGAGCTCGTACTGTACCTCCCCCCTGCATGCACAGAGAAGGTGACAGGAGACCCCGACAGAGAAGGGGCGGTGATGGGCACGTCTGACAGCAAAGCCAAGTCTGCAGGCCTGAAATGGGGACGGTGAGGACAGCTCAACCCAAGGGTGGACAGCTGGGGACCCGTAAAGTGGAGACAGCCGGGTGCCCCGCCTGGCAAGCCAGCAGCTAAAGGGACCACACGCCACCGCGCTCTAGGCTTCCATGTGGCCTGGGGGTCCCACACTGGGCACCTTGGGACCTCAACCAGAGCCTGCAGCCTGGGTTTTAGGGCTTCCTGGTGAAAAGGGGAAGAGGACTCAAAGCCTGACCACCATTTTGGGTGGAGAGAGTGAGCCGCCCCCAGCCACCTGCCAACGCCCTGCGCCCTTGCAAGCTGCACTGCTGGCCTGGGCTCCCTCTTGCCCAGGGCCACTGCACTGGTGAGAAGCAAGGGTTTCTGGGTAGGTGGAACTAGGTGGGAATTGCAGTGTGCTAGCTGTTGGCTTAGGTTCTGTCTGTACCGTGGGGTGGCGACAGTGGGGAACTCAGCCGAGGCAGACATGGAATATAGATGTGTGCTCCTGCGACTAAACTCAAAGCCTAGCACTGACTCCTGCAGCACGTGGCTGTGGCCACAGCACGCCACAGACCAGGGTGAGACCCTGCTGGCTGTGAGCTCACAACCGGGCCACCTAAACCCAGGTAACTCCCAGCTCCCCTTTGAACAGTGTCCAGATCTGAGCAGCTCGGCCCTCCTTCCCTTGAGAACCTCCCCTGGACGGAGGCAGACACGCACCGAGAGTTCCTCCCCAGGACCCTGTCCTGAGGTGCCATGTACTGGGCACTCCAAGATGGCACAACAAACATGCTGGGCTCCCAGGGCCACTGCTCTCTCCTGCATGCCACCCCATGACATCCCTAGGAGCGAACTGGAGAGGGAAGGGCTGTGTCCCAGCCCCATAAAGTGACAAAAGCTGTGGGGAAGCCCAGGCCTTGGAAGCTTTTGCTCCAGGCCGTGAGCTCCCAGGCTAACAGGTGTCTGCAGCAGTGTGATCTAGAAACAAAGGCCCCTGGGTCCCAGGGTCCCTGGAGCCTCGGCTGTGAGGACCATGGCTCCTTAGAAGGTGCATCTCCGGCCCTGCTGCAGACCCCGGCTCAGCAGGCACGGCTCCGGCACTGGGCGGGGCGGACGTCCCATCCCCATGCACAGCAGCGCAGGTGACGGTCACACAGACCTCCAAGGTGGGAGGAACCCTGTGTACATCAACTGCTGTACAACACTGTCAGTTCTACAAAAGCTGAAGCTAAATTTCAGTTTCCTCCTTCAATGAATGGTGAAAGCCAGGCAGTGAGGGCCACCGCGTGGGTGATCATCCTGCAGCCTTTACATCCTTGCCACGGCGGCTATAGCACACACCTCTCTGCTGGGCCACTGGGCAAACTGAGGGTCCCCTTTTGTCCGCGGGCGCCACCAGGCCCCCCTGGGTGACTTGCTGCACACTAGTGGGGTGGGGCAGCCGAGCCGGCTGTGCTATGTGGGGTGTGGGAGCCACCACCCAGGCTCAGGTCAGGCACCCACTCCTCAACAGGCAGAGGGGGGCTGAGCGGCAGGCATCCCACCCTCCAGCTCCCTGTGTTTCCAGGAGCTCCCATCTCGGCCACCTGTCCCTCCGGCCTCACCCTCCCCACCCGGCTGCTGTAAGCTGCTGGCTCTGCAGACGCCTGAACAGGATGGACAATAGAGCTGGCCAAGAGCCTGCACCATGTGCTGAGAGGGAAGCAGGCGGAGCCGGGGGCTGGAGAGTGAGCCGCTCACAGCTCACAGCTCACAGCGGAGACAGAGCTCCGCAGAGCCGGGAGACGCCGTGTGCAAGTCTTCTGCACTCAGTCACACGTAACTTCCAGCCCAGCTTGGTTTTGCTTCTAGTTTATTTCATCTTTTTGTAAAATTTAGGTTTTAAATGGGCAACAGGACTACTGTTTGCCAAATTCTAGCTACGAATCCATGAAGTCCAAGTTACAGCAAGAAACTGGTCATCTGCACAACTCAGTTTAAAAAATAGTTTAGTACACATTTGTTATAAAATTTATTTACAGGAGGTTATTCACATTTATCAAATCTTCTCCTGATAATTCACAAAAACATATGTAAACAAACTGTGCACAATAAATCCAAGGCAGGTTCTGTACACAGCAGCACATCAAGTTTTGCAGTAGAAGGGCCACCATTCCTGTTGGAACAGCCAACACTGAAGGAAGGGCGCTTTCTTTGGGTGCCATGGCAAGGGGGCGGGGGCTCTCGTCATCCTGCAGACCAACCCCACCCAACGGCGCAGTGCTGCCACAGCCACAGCATCGAGGGCCACAGCTGACACGCGGCTCCCTGCAGACACGCCTGACCATGCAGTGAGTGTGCCCCAGCTCCCATAGGGGACCTTTTCCTGAGGAGGGCTGACCCGGGACAGGGCGGGGCGCTCACCCCCCAGACCTGGCCCTCAGGGGCCAGGGCTCTGGCTCCAGCTCCACAAACTGGGGGAAAAAAGACCAGTTTTCCCGCTCTTTTTGGCAAAAACAAGTGAAGAAGCGCTGACCCAACAGACGAACAGATCCTGAGGACAAGGATCTCCCCACTGGCCAAAAAGCTGGGCCGCAGCATGGGGAGCTCACTCCAGGGCGCGGCGAGGCCGTGGGGCCCCAGCTGTTCTCACGTCTCCTTTTAAAACCCAGTCTTTAGGGCCACCCCCACCCCATCTCTGCTAGGTGAAGCACTGTGCCAGGAGAACAGGAAAGGAAACTTCAGGTAACTGTGAAATTCTTGCCAAAGGTACAGTGAGGAAGCTTGTACAGGACAGAATGAGGTTCGCCCCCACCACATCCCGGAACAAACTGTCCCCCTGCAGGGGGAGGGGCGCACCCCCGCTCTTGGTGCAGGCCCAGAGGAGAGGCACGGGGACAGGGTGGGGCAGACATGGGCGGCAGAGACCCTGCGCCGGGACGGCGGGCCATCACTTTCCGGTGAGGTCAGTCCCAGCCCGGGATGTGTGGACACCAGGACCTGCCCTAGGCCAGCGGCCCTGCCCTCCTCCCAGCCTCCTCTGTCTCACAGGCAGGGGACCCCGTGGGCTCCCCTGCTCTGTGACTCTCCTTTGCAGAGTGGATCTTCCCAGCCACCAATGTCTCTCTGGCCTTCCCGGAGCCACCTGGAAGTCAGAATGCCCGGGCAGTGTGACATTTGCTGGAAAGCAGCAAGCTGCCCACAGGTGGCAGCTGCCCCCAGCCCTAGCCACCGAGGCCCGTTTTTCATGTGGCAGCTGCCGTACCTGTGACTGGCTCATCGCAAGCTGGGGACACCTGAATGACAGGCCAAGAATTCAGTTTTAAGAACTGTGGCTAGAGAGCCATGTGCACACCAAGACGGTGATGGGCGCGTGTTACAGGCCGCGCCCTGGGCCAGGAGCCTCGCACAGCCTCACTGAAAGCCATGGCCGCGGGCACCAACCCGACGGCGCTTCCCTAATAGGCACAGCTAGGAGACCCCTGGCCCCTGGTACTCAGTTTCCCCACATGAGCCAGCCTGTCAGAGAAACCTGTCCCGTAACAACAGCTGAAGGACCTGCCTTCCCTCTCACTTCTAATACAAACTTTGTTCTTTAAAAAGTGATTAACAAATAAGCAGGGAAAAGAAAAGTAGTCTACAAGATTAAACTTTAAAAGGGTCTTGTTATTTGCTGTACACTGCAACTTTCACAAATCCACTCCACTGTGCATCTTCGGCTCTGCAGCAGGGCCAGCGCCGACATTCAGAGTGGAACCTTGGCCTCAAGGGCGCCACCGGACGCCCCCGACGGCCTGGAAACCTGTGCAACTGGCAAAACCTACTCAAGGCGACCGGAGCTCAGGCACAGGACACGCCTCTGCGCTCCCCACACAGAAACAAGCTCCTTAAGGAAACCCTCATCACCTCATCTGGCGGCCCTAGTCCCAGTCACCCTCAGTTCCCAAGCGCCCACGGCTGACAGTGCCCTCTGTGGCTTTACTACAAAAGCTTTCTCCTCTTGGAACTACAGTTCTCCTCCGGTCTCCTGCTGTCCCAGGCCGCGTCCCTCTTTGGGTGGGAAGTCGTGGAGTCACAGTTCTCCTCCTCACCCTCACTGAGGGCCCAAGCGTCTCTCCTGTGACCTTGTCTGCCCTCCTGGTCACCGCTCTTCCATCTACCCCAGGATGTGTCAGTGCCGGCAGTGGGAGGCTCACCCTGGGTCGGAGGTCTGTGGTGGCTCTGAGGAGTGACGTTAGCAGCAGGTGGCTGCAAGGCATCTCCCAAGTCCTGGTGGGTCACAGCAAAGGCCAGTTCGCCCCACGGAGGCGCCGCTCCGGGATGCTGGGGGCTCAGGGCCTGCACGTCTCTGAGGAACGTCCCCGTCTTGGCTTCGGCCTCTAATCTCCGGAGCAGCCGTGGGTCCCGAAGCCGGTCCCGCAGAGGTGGCCTTTCGGGGTCCCTTGCGGTGACAGTGACAGCTGCCTCACTGGAGTCAGAGGGGCTGTGGCAGAGAGAAGCAGCGAAGGAAGTCTTGGCGAGCCCAATGTCCAGCCTGCTGCTGGGAAGGCCACCGGGGGGCCTGGACACCTCGGGGGTGGTGGTAGGGGGGTGGGTCAGGCTGCGCTGCAGCACAGCCTTTAGTTTCAGGATCTTCATCGCGTCGTGTCTGTAGTTCTTGTCACAGGTCTTAACGATGGCACCGCGCTTCTGAGCATCCTGGATGAGTTCGTTCCAATGCTGGTTTTCCTGGAGACGGACAAGAGAAGCAGGAAACAGTGACACACCGTGGAGCAGGCCCGGTGGGCACAGGGCGAAGCCTTCACCTCTGAACAGCTAACAGGGAACCTCCATGGTCAGACAAGGCTAGAAGGGAAGAAGCAAGCTCTGGCCCGTGCCCTGTGCAGCTAGGAAGCAAGCTGTGCTTGCTACCGAGAGCATCCTGTCTGCTTAAGTCCCTGGTAATCAAAGTTACATAAAATCTAGGTTCAGTTCCTCAGCTGCACCAGTCCCACTACAGTGCACAAAGGCCTCGAGCTTCTGCGGCCACTGCTCGGGCACTGCAGGCCTGGCGGCAAACTTCTCACTAACATCCTAACCTGGCGACAAAGGCGCCAGAGACAGCACCCATTTGTGTTTCTTTCCTAGAGGAGCTTCTGAAGTGAAAAGCCGAAGACCCCGGCAATTAACTGCTGCTTTATGGCCACTAAAACTCTTTAGAAAGAACAAAGAATGAGCAAAAAACAAAGAGAGAGAGAAGAAACCAAAGAATGGAAGGGATCACAGGGGACGCCTTCCCTCACCGCCTTCCCTCACTCGAGCGGGCTCCTGCGCTATTCCAGAGGCAGGCTGGGAGTGGGAAGGCTGCACAGTACCCCTGGCTGGGTGGCCTTGGTCACCACCCGACATCTTTGAGCCGTTTCCTCACCTGTTGATCGCAGCACTGCCCCGTAAGCTGTGCTGGCCTGTGGCTTCATTCCCACCCGCTGAGGCCCAGAGAGCTCTGCCTGAGGCTGGCACACCGCAGGCAGGCGCCTTGCTACCCTGCTAAGGTTACCCAACCTCGGCCTTTAACCCAACCCTGCAGGCACTGCACCAGACTCTGAGAAAGGACTGTTCAATTCTGGCTTCCAGAGGAGCCAAGTGCTTTAATGTCCCAGGCCATTTTCACAAGGAAAACTGAGCTAAGCAATCAAAGAGAAAGGGAAGGCAGAACTTAAGGAGCTGCTAAGCTGGGGGTCTTCACACCGGAGCCCTGCTGCCCGCTCTGCGGTGCTGTCCCTGCAGTGAGGCCCACACCTGAGACACCTCAGAGCTCTGCAAACTGCAGCACACCCCCAAGCTCCACCTTCCCCGGCCCTTGGTGGGAATCCTGCAGATTCCGGACAATCCTCCCACACCCCAGCAGCTGCGGTGCCCTCGAAGGCCCTCACACCAAGGCAGCAAGACAAGGTCATCTCGAGTGGTGTTTACCTTCCCAAGTCTAACCAGACCAAAAGCTGCCACATGTTTGTAATATTCTGCTCAACTATACAATGAGACTTGTAATAGGCTATTCGCCAGAAAAAATCACCGAACAGGCAGACCTCATTGTCACAGAAAGGGTACATTTTTTTTTTCTTTTTTGTTTTTATTGGTACCAGGGATCGAACTCACAACCACACACTTGCAAGGAAGGTGCTTATGCCGCTGAGCTAAATCCCCAGACCCCTAGAAAGGGTAATTTTTAAAAAATCCTTTGAGATACAGATTCACAGCAAGTTGCAAAGAGGGGTTTCATTAGTTTCCTTTATGAGAAATGCTTTTAAACTTTCAATTTACATATTAATTTTTATGACAAGGAAGCATAGTAACGACATTAATACAAAGGCTCTAGTTATAAAAGTAGATTATGCAATTGAGCAAGTCGGGAAGGAAGAGAAGGAACACTGCTATCTCGCTATTCCCCACACACAAGAGGAACGCCAGTTCCACCTGTCACTGCCTTGCCCCTCCCTCCCTCCCCCTTCCCCCTCCCAGTGTAGACACAGGACTTGGGGCCTAGCGCCAGACCGTGACTCTACCACTGCGCTCCACCCCCATGGCATTACGTTAAAATGTCACACTTTATAATACACCACAAACACAATCTTTGGCAATAACTTCAATTTAATGAAAAAAGTTTCTTCCTATCAACCTAAAAAATAATGACATAAAAATAAGGAGCAAAGGGCCAGGCACAGAGCTCAGCCACGTAAGCACCTGCCTGGCAAGCACAAGGCCCTGAGTTTGATTCTGGTTCAAAACAAAAGGCGGGGCATATAACTTAGAACTTCTTTTAAGAGGTACACAAACCGGGGCTGGGGATTTAGCTCAGCGGCATAAGCGCCTGCCTTGCAAGCAGGCAGTCGTGAGTTCGATCCCTGGTACCAATAAAAAAAAAAAAAAAGGAAAAAGAGGTACACAAACCACAGAAGCTAAACCTACAGATTCAGAGATGGAGGCCAGAGTTAGGGAGATGGGTGCCCCCTGGTGGCACTGGGTTTGGGCGGAGGAAAAGATCTGCTGAGTCAGCCCCTCTCCTTCAATGACCAATCAATAAAATAACCACTTAAAAAACCAAAACCCAAACCTGAGATTCCTGCAGCCCTGCAAAGCCACCTACCATCAGGGTCCTCAGGTGCCCCAGGATAAAGAGGCTGTACTTAGCGCGCGTGATGGTGACGTTCAACCTCTGCAAACTCGCCAGGAACCTAGGAACAGAGAGACAGTCACTTTCCCGGACAGCCCCCGCCACATACCTTTAACCACAGGGCAGCAGCGAGGGCAGCTACTCTGGGGCTGCGTTCATGCAGGCTTCTCACTCTGTCCCACCCTGCTCCCAGCGTGGAAGCAAATCCCACTGACGCCAGCAGGCGGCCAGAGCCCTGCCACTGGCTGCAGGGTCGGATTCGCTCGGCTCTTGTTCTGATGTGGATAAGCCACTGGGGACTCGAAGAGCCACCTTGTGCACCTGAACACACACCAGTTCCTCCATCTTTAGCTGTGGCTGGAACGTAACCTACCACAGACACAACGCTGAAGAACACAACGTCAGACAAATGGACCAGCAGATCAGAAATGGGACGAAGGCCACACTAAAGCTAGCCGGGAAGGCGTGGACTAATTACTAAGTGATCTGATGATGACAGCAGGGCAGAGAACGAGTGCTTCAGCTGCCATTTACTTGACAGTAACTCGGTGGATAACCTGACAGTCCCATCTGGGGCAACCGCGAAGAAGCAATCACCACACCGGGAGTCTCAGGCCTGAAGGCTCTAGGACGCCTCGCTTCTCAGGAAGCACGCTGGCAGCAGCGAGGGTGAAGGTGAGGGGTAGAGAGGGACAGGAAGTTGCTGTACCACATGGACAGGACCAGGCGAGGCCAAACACACGCTGTCCAAATCCAATTACTCTCTTGCTCGCTTGTCAAATAAAGACAGGAGCCGCAGTAGCTACTAAAGCAGACCTAACAAGGGCTACCTCCCAGCTTCCCAGAAACCTCCATCGAGTTTTATGGGAGGAAGTGAACAGAGGATGGAGGAATTGGCCAGTGAGCTATGGCGGGCGACAGGCCCGACCTCGGATTAAAGCAAGCGAACAGCAGCGAGGGCCGGTCCTCACCCGATGGAGCCTTGCGCAGTGTTCGCTCTGACACAAGTGACAATGATGCAGTCCTTCTGGCGACCCTGAAAGGCATCCACGGTGTCCACCTCTGCCGGGCTGTTTACAGAGACAAGTTTACTTCAGCAAGCATGACAGTCGGCAGGCAGCTCCTTACATGAGGGCAGCACCGCAACCCTCCTCATGCCCCGGGGCAGCCAGTGCCCGTCTGCTCGCCCTCAACGCTCTGGCCACTGCTTCTCAGCGCTCCACCGCTAGTTTCTATTATCTGAAATCACACAGAGGGAGCTGTAAAACGTGCCCCTCTACGTGTGGCTTCTTTGTCCTAGAAGAACACACTCAAGGCTCAGCCCCTGGGGAGCAGGTGACTGTGCTTCTTTCCTCACAATTCAGTGGGACCAGACCACAGACCCTTGGGCTACTTCCAGTTCATGGCTGCTATGACCGTGCTGGCCGCCCTGGGTGTCCATGGCTTTGGTGTGACTTGTTTTTTTCAGCTCTTCTGGATTTGGAGTGAAATTACCCAGACGGTGATTCTGCCTCTACCCTGGAGAGTGTCTGCCACCCCACCTCTGCCCCACAATGCACGCAGCTTCCAACTCCCCACATCCTCCCTGCTCGCTGTCTGATGATGACCACCCTGGCGGGTGTGTGGGTTCTGCTATGCTTTTGATTCCCACGTCCCTCAGGACCAGTGACAGAGAACATTTTCCCATGCGCTTATTGGTCCCTTGTGCATTTTATGAAAACTATTTATTCAACTCTCTTGCCCAGTCTTAAAACTGCGTAAGTGGAGTGCTTTCTATGGCCCACACAAAGAAGATCTTCCCAGCTACAGAGTTTGCAAGCATCTGCCCCCATTTCGCTGGCTGCTTCCCAGCCTTCCCTTCCTCCCCTCTGCGGTGCATGGGGAGCGCTCTACGCCTGGCCTGCGTCCCCAGTTCTTTCTGCTCGGCTGATGGTGTCCTCTGACAACTGAGTTTCTCACTCTCCTGTAGTCCAATGCATGGCCCTTCGCCTTGGTGACCTCTCTAAGATTACCCTGCCACTTGCCCATGCTGCCCGCCTATCCCTGTGGGGCGCCACTGAGCCTTCCAAGGTTCCCGGGTGTTTTCTGCGTCCAGCCACCACATCCCGTGGCTTTCCATGAGAGCCTCACATTTCTCTGCTGTTTGTTTCTACACATTTCATCTTCTGGACGCTAGCATAAGCAGAACTACTTCCTTTGCAGGCTGCTCTCTGCTGGTGCACGGCTGAGCAGCAGATGTATAGCACACAACCTTGTGTCCTGAGCTGTCACACCTGCTCATTAGGCTAATCTCTGGTCCACGGCCTCGTCCGAGTGCTCCAGAAACATGATGATGTCTCACTTCTTCCCTTTCCTGTGTTAACTGCTCTGGCTACAGCTGCGGTGGATGCGGAGGTGCAGGAGCAGACTCTCCACCATCTCAGGCAGAGGCTGCTGGGCTGCCGCTGGGCCCAATGCTAGCCGTGAGGCCTCACGGACGCCTTTTATTAGGTTAAGAAGTCTCCTCTGCATTGCTGGTTTGCTCAGTGTTCTTACCAAGAGCGAGCCCTGGGTTCCGCTGGACGGTTGTGTGGGTCCCCTCCTCTTACTGTTCTAACAGGAGCATCACCCTGATTGCCTCTGTTGACTCAACTTTGCTTCCCGTGGATCCCCTCACTTGGCTGTGATGCACAATCCTTTTGCTATGCTGCTGAATTCAGTCTATTACTTCGTGTAGGACTCTGCATCTGTACTCAGAAGGAACGAGTTATGCACTGGGCGGTTTCCTGGCGAGCCCTCCCCTGGCTTTGGTAAGAGGGTGAATATTACCCTCTTAAAATGAGTCAGCACGCTGGGGCGGGCAGGAAGACTGAAAAGGAAGACAGGCGTGCATGGGTCCACACCAAAGCTGCACGTGACCACTAAGGACTGAAAACATTTCTAAAAATAAACCGGGGAGGGCTCTCGTTTTGAGGAAGAGACGGCGTAGTTCTGGTTTTAGTGCCTGGCAGAATAAACAGCACAGTCTGCCTCAGGCATTTCTTTATTGCAGGTTTGACATGGACCCTGTATCGCACAGGTCTGTTTAGACTTTCTGTTTTTTGGTAGAGTTACTTCTGCTTATGTGTATTTCTAGGTTAAGAAACTTTTGAGGTAACAGATTACAGATCCTGTGCTACTAGCTTTGCTGCATAGATAAGAAGACAGAAACAACCTACCTCTGTACCTACTACACCTCAAGACACCGGGCGGTCTGCACAGCTCTTTCCCAGTGACTTCACCAGGTTTTCGAGCATCCAGATTCAGGTCAGGGAGATCTGGGGGGTTTTCTGGGCAGCCCTCCCGTCCTGCACGGGGCTGGCTTCCAGGAGCCTGCCCCGAGGCGGCTAGCTGGTCCCCGTGTTCAGCGGGGAACCCCGCTGAGTCTGTGAGAGCTGGAGGCCGGGGTTCCGTGGTCAGAGACACTACCATGCGGTCACGCTCCTTTCCCTCTACCTCTGATTCCACGGAAAAAAGGAGAAATATACCTAAGAATAGCTCACCCTTTCCTGTCAAACTCTCTGTCCAAATCCTTCTGGAGCATCGTCTTCTGAGCCTTGTAATGCGTTATTATGCCAATGTTTCGGAAGTTAATCTCTTTCTTTTTGTCCTTAATGAGTTTAACTATTTCCATCACCAGCTTTATTTCCTGAGCGTTCACATACGAGCTAAACAAGACAGGAAAAAAACAAAAGCTTACCGAGGTCCAAGGAGTTTACTGCCAGCGGGCGCCAGTTAGCTCACTGCCCAATGGAGGGAAGGGCAGGCAGTCTCTTAGCCAGTCAGTGACGGCTGAGAAACACACGGATGCATGCAAACCACCCAGTGCCACAGGAAGCCGTGAGAGCAGAATTCAGAGCTGCCGAAGCTTAGACACCCTGCCCGTCTGCTGAAGCAGGGATGGCCACGCTGAGCAGGCCACGCTTACCACAGGCACGGACTGCTAACGGACTCAGCGTCTGCTGTCCACAGATGGGGAAGGAACAGCAGATGCCGCAGCCCGTGGCTGAGGATGCTGTCCACCCGGGCAGCTGAGCAGCAGGGCACCCCAAAGGCCCAAGAGCACCGTCCCCGCCCTTCCTGCCTCGTCTCCTAGCTCCTACCCGCACCCCACTCCCCAAAGCGTGTGCTCTCCATTACCAAACCCCAGTGGACAGCTGCACCCGCCTGGTTCTCCTGAAGCTGGCTGTGTCTGTCTGACTATCGTTCCACACCTGCTCCAGCCCTGAACCTGCCACGTCTTTGGGAAGCCACTCTCAACGCCCCCTCCACAGCTCCATTCCCACGGGCCCCTTAGCAACGCTCTGCTGCAGCCTGCTGGGGTCGCGGTCGGCCTTCAACTCCCCCTGGGCTTTGCTTTTGCTGTGTTTAGTGCTAGGGGTCTGAGCACCGGGCCGCACCGGCACTTTGCTTTTACCGAGAGACAAGGCCGAGACTCCCTCGAGCACTCTCCTTCCTCAGCCCTGCAGGGCCAGGCTGCCAGGCGCACTGGGAGCAGGCTCCTCCTCAGTACGTCTCTCTCTCTACCAAGGCCCCGCTCCTGCCCCCAGGACCCTGCCTGCTTGGCAGTCCTCTGGCAGGAGGTGGGACTTGGGTTCCGCTCCCTCTAGGGGGGCAGAGGAGGTGGCACTGTTGTCTGTGTGCACGAGGGCCGTCCCGTCACCACTGCTCAACTCTCTTGCCAGTCCCCACTCCTTCCACATTGCTGCCACCTGGAAAGGTCGCCACCTCTCTCACCATCCGTGACAGACAGCCACAACATGTCCCATGCGCATCACGCCAAACCCTTCGGGTTGCCCTGCTTTGCCTCCGCCCGGCCACAGCCACCAGCATGCTGTGCTCCCCCAGGCCTGGCCTGCCTCTGGCCCTCTGCCCCCAAGGCCACAGTGCCCTGGCCAGAGGCCCCTGCCTGGTCCCCTCTCCACGGGTCTGCTCCCCCACAACCTAACCCTGGCTGCTACTCTGCTCTGCCAAAGGAGCAGTGGCAATCCAGGCCCAACCCAAACCCAGGAGGAGTACGTACTCATTATCCCGTCTCTCGGAGCCGTCGCTGACGTCGAACACGAGGTAAGGCTGAAATGGCCAGTCTGACGAGCATCGAATGGATTCGGTGGACCTGTGGGGGAGCAGTCACCGTGAGGCCCCAGGTCACCAGCACAGAGAGCCTGACCACAATTTGGGAGGTGCGGGGTGGGGGTGAGGGTGCGGGCAGGGCGGGCTGGGGATAGTATGGGACAAGAGAATCTGCTTTATAGGTAGGAATCAATTAAAAGGTCCCAAACAGACTGTGTTTCTAGTCTAGTGCTATAAAAAAGTGGACTTTAACAATTACGATAGGAAAATCACTCAAAACACAGGTAAGCTGTGCAATCCCGTGCACAGGCCGATTTTTAGAGGTTTGAAAAAGAGAACCAACAAAGGGTAGTGTGAGCGGACTGGCAGGTGGACAGTTACAGAGCACCTGCACGGCGGGGTGGGGGCCTGGGCCCCATTCCAGCCCAGGGACAGCAAGGTTGCCGAGGACTGTGCCTGAATGGCCTCCAAGGGGGCTCCTCCCTCCCCTGTCTGCACCTCACCCAGCTAATAGATTACTCAAAGTGTGTGTGGGGAGACTCAGGAAGCAGGAGAGCGGCTGCTCCTCACAGGCAGTGACACCTACACCACAGTGAACTTGCGGAATGCAGGGACCCGACCTGTTTGTCTTCAGACTCTTGTTATAGATGTAGTTGGATGGGAAGAGGCAAATGTCTGGGTGCATCCGGTACTGAACGGTGAGCTGCACGACCGGCATCCTGCTGATGGCATTCTGCTCCACGTTCTCCTCCAGCAGCTTGCAGAAGCGTGCCATCATCGACTGGTCGTAGCCATAGTCCTGGGCTTTCTGTGGGGACACAAGGCGATTGGCTCCCGCAGCCCATGTACACCTTCTTCCTGTGATGCGAACGTGACAGCCCGGCAGCTGGGGCGAGGGTTGGGCAGCACAGTGAGTCACCTGAGCTCCTTGGTGGGCAGGCGTGCTCTCCACTCCTCCCCGTGGACACACCCGGGGAGCAGGGGGCTTCTGGGCACCGAGCTCAGGCACCTCACCAAAGACTGGGCTATTGCCTTAAGCGATTCCAATCAAAAACAGTAATGACAACAAAACCCACACACGCTCTGTAAATGAAGGAAGTGCTCTGAAAATGACCCGCTGTCTGGGATCATAAGGGCCACACTGTGTAAAGGATGTGTTAGAGCTGCCACAGGCGCACACATCCCGTGATCCCAGTCCTCTGAGGCTGAGGCAGGAGAACACAAGGCTGAGGCCAGCCTACAAAAGACATCCTCAAAAATGAAAACTCAAAAGGCTAGGGGTAAAGTGAAGCTCAGGGTAAAGTCTCTGCCTGTCAGGTGCAAGGCTCTAGGTTCAACTCTCAGAAAAAAGTTATGTATTGGTACAATCCACTCCACTGCATTTCAAAACCCCAGTCTAGGCTTATTCAGATCAGCGCACAGCCTCAGCACCCGCCATGAACGCTTTACTAGCACAGATTCATCAGCTCAACAAGAGGTCGCCTGGCCTCAGTCTCAGTGCTTAACTTCCCACAGGCTGAGTTCAGTTAGTTCCCTGCCTTTCTGCAAACTTCACTTCAAAGGATGCCAGGGGCTCATTTCCTCGTGCTACAGGAAAGAGTTCCAAACTGGAAACGTGCTCCGAAACTCCTGTCTACAATCTTCAGCAGACTCTGCATACTCAAATGCCCCTGAGCAGGCAGAGACTCTCTTCTGCTTCTGTGTTACCAAGACCACCAGACACTCCTCTGGAGCACTGTGTGCACACGTGTGCCCTCGGGGAAGCCACCACGCAGGCGCAGGCCTCCAGTCCACAGTGCTCACACTGCCCCTGTGCAGGCATGCGGGGGCACGCCAGGTGTGCACACGTGTGCCCTCGGGGAAGCCACCACGCAGGCGCAGGCCTCCAGTCCACAGTGCTCACACTGCCCCTGCGCAGGCATGCGGGGGCACGCCAGGTGTGCACACGTGTGCCCTCGGGGAAGCCACCACGCAGGCGCAGGCCTCCAGTCCACAGTGCTCACACTGCCCCTGTGCAGGCATGCGGAGGCACGCCAGGGACAGAGGGACACACCTGGCCTTTTCTGCTTATTAAAACTCCAGCAGTACATCTCTTTTCTCAGTCATTCCCTATTTTCCCTCCAAATTAAGAGAGAATGACGCACAAAAGAGCCACCCTCTGAAAGCCAGGAAGGGCCCCCAGACTCGGCCTGAAGCCAACTCACCATGGAAATGACCGTGGGGGGCAGCTGCTTCGGGTCTCCCACCAGGATGAGCTTGTTGCAGCGGTGGATGAGAGGCGTCAGGGTCTCGACCTCACAGGACTGCCCTGCCTTGGGAAGCAAGCACAGAGGGCAACGCCGCCTCAGCCTCCGCAACTCATGGATTCACAAAGACCTCGTCATTAGAAAATTTCTACATTTTACACAAAAGTCTGATTGCTTTCATTAGAAAAAACAATGCAATGAACCCTTTAAACACAATTTAGGAAAAAAATAGTTTAACACATATTCTGAGCTCAGCCACCACAGGTGCCACCCAGATTGCAGGGAGCCCAGTCAGGAAGAAGCACACGCCCGAGTCCAGGGCCACACGCCTGGGTCCAGGGCTGCGCTGCTGGCTGGGCACACGGCCTGCTGGGCCCGGCTTCCGCCCTCTTCGTGCTGAGGGACTGACTCATTTCTTAGGTGCAACTATCACATCAGGGTGTCTGTGCCCCCCCCTTCTCCAGCAGGCCTCCCCAATGCCAGCTTTCACTCCTCTTTAATTCAGTGGCACTGTAACCCTTTCACCACTCACTTTTCCTGGTCTTTCATTTTAGTGAATTTTTTTGTTTTGTTTTTGTCTTTCTGAGACAGGGTCTCTCTATGCAGTTCAGGCTGGCCTTGGGCTCACAATGTAGCTAGCCCAGGCTGGTCTCAAACTCACAACCATCCTCCTGCCTCAGCCTACCTAGTGGTGGGATTACAGGTGGGAGCCACCACACCCAGCAACTCTGTGAATATTGGTTTTGTTTTGGCCTTTAAATTAAGTATCTACGGGGCGTGAACATTAGCTCTTGTATCTCCTGAATTGATTCTCTGGGTCTCATGCTCTGTGACCTTTCATGGTGGCAGACCGTAAGTAGAGGTGCAGCAAGTCAGCTAGGGACACCCGGAATTAGCTAGAAATGCTGCCCAAAGCCCTAAGTAATTCTAACAGGTGACTGTAAGTGACCTTGGGACAACTTAAGCACAGGTTACACACAATACTCAAAAGGTATCCAGGAGCATTTCAAGCAGCAGCTAAACAATCATTTGTTTGAAACCATCAGGCATCTTTAAAACTGCAATCTCAGTACCAGAAAAGCAACATCAATTGGGGGTCATCAGCAGCGTATTTCAACGTGAGAGAGCACAGCTGAACGGCAGGTAAAATCGGATGCCAAAAACTGTTCTATCAACACTGCGTCACCCACAGCGCATCTATGACCTCCTGCAGCACTATCAAAAGTGCACAGCAACCGCTCACCAACCTCGTCAACAATGACGCAGCTGAAGGGGATGCCTCCTTGCCCCCGAAAAGCGGACTCGAGCAACAAACCCCCGCTGGTGCTCAGGGTGCAGCAGATGATGTGGGACTCAAGTATGATGTTGCTCTGGGTTTTCTGCGGGCGTCCTTGGACCTAGGAGCACAGACAGAGGTGGACCGTATTCAGGGGACACGGACTCTTACTTCTGATAAGCTTCTTTTCACTGTGGAACAACCACCATTTATATGTATGACAAAAATAAAGTAGGTAAAACTTTGGGGTAAACATCACATCTAGAAGACACCAAAGAACATTCAAAGTAATCGGTAACTATCAAAAAGAATATAGTTATGTACAGTCTAAGCCTAAAATGTAGCAGCCTATTTTAAGAAATGACTCAGGATTTACCGTGGTCAGAGCGGATGGCAATCCTTGTAGACAGGCAAGTAAGCAAGCAGAGACGAGCTGACTGCACTGAAGTGCAACAACCGAGGCCAGCTAAGCTGGAGTACACACATGGGAGGTAATGCTGCTCTTTGGTTTTTTGTTTTTTTGTCTTTTTCCTTTTTTATCAGTACCGGGGATCGAACTCACGACTGCCTGCTTGCAAGGCAGGCGCTTATGCTGCTGAGCTAAATCTCCAGCCTCCTGCTCTTTGTTTTATAAAAGCTAACACCAATATAAATGCCTGTGGAGCGGGTGTGGTGGCCCACATCTGTGATCCCAGCACTTGGTAAGCAGAGACAGGCAGGTGCTGAGAGTGCCAGTTCAGCTGGGCAAAGTCAGTGAGTCCAAGGCCAGTCTAAACTACACAGTGAGACTCAGTCTCAAAGACACACAAATGTGCACACACATGTGCACACGAACAAATATCCCGTGTACCTGAAAAATATTTTACTTCCACAGATGAAAAACAGCCACGGTCTACTTTTACTGTGCAGTGCACCGAGGTAAGAGCAACTGCACGAGAGCACACTCAGGCTCCCGCTGCTGCCGCTGAGAAGCAGCTGTGCCAAATCGCTGCACCATGCCATGCCAGCCATGGCTCTAGCACCGGTGGGTGAGCGGTGGGGTGAGCAAGTGGTGGGAAGAGGGTGGTGCTGTGGCCACCCCACAGGACCCTTCTCCCCAGGGCTTGTCTCCTGAGGAAACTGCCAGGCACGACCCATTTAGTATGAGCAGCAGCAGTGAACATCACTGCTGGAAAACCGACTTCATCTGAAAATGTGCGAAGACTGACTTTGGGCTCAGTTTAAAAATTTTAGTACCAAGCCTCCACACAATGTTTAGTGTCAATGAGCAGTGGATGGAAACAGGCATTAATACCTGTATTTCAGCTCACAAACGCTGATACCATCAATTGCTATTCCTTTGCCCTGGGCCAATCTGATTTCACCTCGGCTGCATTTCGATGACTCGGACATCACCAGCTCAGCCTCACTTCAATCGGCCTAATTCCTACCTGGTATTTTTACAGTTACAGAGTATGGGAAATAGCTGTGTAGTCAGCAATCACTGCATCTGTGGGTTCCACATCTGTGAACTAAGTCAACCAGAGTGAACAATATTCTAGGTGGAAAAACATATCTGAGCTAGATGTGGTGACACACGTCTCCGATTCCATCTATTTGGGAGGCTGAAGTGGCAGGACCATGAAGCTGAAGCCAGCATGGGACACTCAGCAAGAGCGTTCCCGAGTAAGACTTAAGAAGGGCCGAATGGAGCTCAGCGTCCCCTAGGTCCAACCCCACTGCCCTCCTGGCCCCTGGCCGCACTTCCTCATGCCAAGCCCTCTGCTATCCCTCTGCCTACAGCTGGCTTGCAGCTTGGCAGGGCCCTCCTGCTCCCTGAAACTCCCCCACTGGCCTTCCTTCTGTCTTACTAGGGGACACCCATAGCCTAGCTCTGCCACCTAGTCAGGTGACAGCACCTACGCACACTTTCTGCTGAGAAGCAGAGAGAGCACACTGAGTTTTCACACTCACCAGACCTGCAAAAGGAAAACAAAATTCAGAATCATTTTTCTCTCTGAAATCTAAGATCATGATATGAATTTATTCTTAGTTAACAGAAAGTAAATATAGTTGTACCACTCTTCACTTTAGTAGGCATTTCCAATTTTTCATAATAAAATTTTACAAATATAATTGAGCAGAGCTGACAGGTTGTATATCTACTCTATAAATTAGGAAATAGATACCAAAATAAGGCTACAGGGGAACTACTCACCTCTTTAATTTTAGAAGCAAGTTCTTGCCTTTCTTTGGAAACTCTAGCGATTTCTTCATCTAATTCTTGCCTCTGAAAAATTGGAATGCTGTTACTAAAGCTCAGCTAAGCAAACCGGAACACCTTCGGACACCCCGGCCCGCAGCTCAGGAGCTTGCGGCACCTCCAGGGGTGGTGGAGCCCGGCCCGTCTCAGCACCCACCATGTACCACCAGGCTGGAGGCAGCTCTGTCGGCATGCGATGCAGTGCACCCTCCCCTCCTTCCCGCTAGTGGTTAAACAAGGGTGACAATCACGCCCTAGCATTCCTCCAGCTATGGAGAAGGGGCCAATGGACTCCACTCCTTAGACCAGGCTGGAGCAGCCTGCCCACCCAGGGCCTAACGACACACAACTGAGATCCGTGCTGTGGGAAGGTTTCTAAGCTGGGATGCTGGAGCTCAGAAGTGCTGATACTTGTCTTCTCCTGGCGAAGAAATTCACGACAGAGAACAACACGTCAAGTATGGAGAAATAGTACCATTTGGTCTCTGGATCTAGCTACACTGAAGCTGACATACACCAACTTGTAAATTCCCTTTAGTTTTATAAAATGTGAACTGTGTTTAACGTGCATAAACTTAGCATAGCTTCAATATAATTTGGCCTATAAGCCAAACCCAACACATTTGCTTTTATAAATAAAGTTTTGCTGAAATGCAGTCACATGCATTTGCTTGTAGGTCCCTACGGCAGCTTTTGAAATACAACAGAACTGAGCAGTTGCAACAGAGGCACCACGGCTATGGAGGGCACAGTGTTGACTTTCTTGCTCTTTGTAAAAAATCAGTGCCAAGGTCGTTTCAGCAAATACTTTCATGTATGAGTCATATCATCCCTCGATGAACAAATGATAGCACCTATTTATCTATTAGCTCACATACCAACCAGTAGCTACTAACAGAGCTGGAGTCTAGAAACATCTAGACGATACCTGTATTTCCCGTCCCCCTCGGCATAAGGCCCGCTGGCGGGAGAGTTCGTCCAACTGGTGGTCCAGAAACTCTTTTCTTCCATGCATCTCCTGGACATGAGAGGGTAAGTCTTTTTCTAAGAAAACAAAAGTAAAGAATTATACACCAATCCTAGTAAACACAGACATACGCAAACATCGTAAGAAGGAAACCAGTTCTCGGGGTTGGGTGCTTCTAAGATCACACCACTGTTAGTACACAAGACGTTTTCTTGCTAAAGAAAAGCAAACAGAAAGCACACTAGGAGAAGCCAGGTGTGTGGCAAATGTAACTCCACTCTGTACCCCTCTTCCGCTCTGTCCCGTACATAGGAACTCTGGCCGGTTTATTCTCCCCACACCTGGTTGGTGCATGGCCACAAGTCCCTGCTTCCCGGTCTTTACCTCCTCTTGGCAAATGCTGCTCTGTTCCCCAGACACAGCCGTCTGATCTCCAGACGAAGCCGTAACAGCTGCCCAGGGCCACCCTCACCCCACACCTTAGCCCTGCACAGCTTTTTCCTGGGGACCTGCATTTCTGACCACGCAGGTGGCGCGCATCTGCCCTGCTCTTGGCCATTGTGGGAGATTCTCTGGGTCTGTCACAACAGCGGCACCCAGAGGTGAAGGCCAGGGGCTGCAAGTTTAAATCCAGTCTGGACAACTTAGCAAGGACCCTGCTCAAAATTAAACTTAAAAAAAGAAGGCTAGAGGGGCACAGGCTCGTGTGAAAGGCCTGGGCTTAATCCTCAGCATCTAAAAAGCAAGTAGCACCCCCTCTCCTCTAACACCCATAAAGCCCAGCAGAGTCACACATGCCAGAGCCTTACTTACTCATTCTGTGGTTCACCTGGCTGTCCAAACTGAATTTCAGGACCTCGTTATTAATAGATTTTTCTGGACCCAGTCGTACTAAATTTATATCTCCACAGTTTCCTGTTGATAAAAGTCACACTTGAAGATAATGAAGACGTTACTGGTAAACCCTAAGCAAATATACTGACAAGCAGAGAAGGCGGTTACTGCCTCCGCCAAGCAGACCCCAGGGACAGCACAAAGCCCTCCTGGACACAGGTGTTTGGTTGGCAGCCTCACCCGTAGGGCACAAAGGCTTCTGTCCCCAGTGTAAGCCACGCAGTCACAGCGACACCACAGAGCTGACTTCCACACCACTATTTCTCAAATTACGCCTGTGTAACGTTTCATGGCCAAAACAGACTTGGAAGACGGTGAGCTAAAGTGAAGCAGTTTTCGTAACCACAGAATATTGCACTTCACCGTCTTGAATTTCTAACGCAGGATCTTATCTGACCACCAATCTTTCTATGCAGCACTGCAGCACACACACGGTACAATTTTGACACTATGCTCCATGTTACACTGCTGCGCCTCTGAAGGAACCACGAGGACAAAAAGCCCACAGCTGTCACAACGTTCAGCCTGCCAGCGTGCTGGCTGCCTTTCAACCTCAGGTCACAGTACATTCATCCACCCATTTCCCACTGTCGCCAGGCAGAGTCCCCACAGTCAGTAGAACTCAGCAGCACCAGACGGTCTGCTCGCACATACTCCTGCCCACAGGTGAGGTCCACGTGGCCAACGTTCACGCACACCTGTCCACAGGTGAGGTCCCTGTGCTGACACACGTGTTCACGCACACCTGCCCACAGGGGAGGTCCACGTACCCGACACACATGTTCACATACCCACCCACAGGTGAGGTACATGTGGCTGACACACGTGTTCATGCATCCCCACCCACAAGTGAGGTCCACGTGGCCGACATTCACGCACACCTGTCCAAGGTGAAGTCCCTGTGGCTGACATGCGTGTCCACGCACACCTGCCCACAGGTGAGGCCCCTGTGGCTGACATGCGTGTCCACGCACACCTTTCCACAGGTGAGGTCCCTGTGGCTGACATGCGTGTCCACGCACACCTTTCCACAGGTGAGGTCCCTGTGGCTGACATGAGTGTCCACGCACACCTGTCCACAGGTGAGGCCCCTGTGGCTGACATGCGTGTCCACACACACCTGTCCACAGGTGAAGTCCATGTGCTGACACATGTGTTCACGCATAACTGCCCACAGGGGAGGTCCACGTGCTGACACACGCGTTCACACACACCTGCCCGCAGAGGAGGTCATGTGCTGACACACATGTTCACACACACGCAACCTGAGAGCTGCAAGCACGCAGCTGTCCACAGCATTAGTTCTGATCTCTTCCAGCTCACTCTCTGAAGCATGACGCAGTGCTGTCTGCTCACCACTTACTCCAGGGTCTCTAAACCACTTTGCTCACAGCACTCCTGCCCAAGGGAACCCTGTGGAGCCTCCCCATTGTCCCCCTTAAGCTCTGGCTGCCAGTGAGCTTGCAAACCGCAAGGAATTCCCTGGGGCCCAAAGTGGTGAGTGTGGGGTCCAAGCCTGCAAACCCAGAGCTGCGGCAGCTTCCCAGTGAGTCGCATGGAGTGGGGTCTGATCCGAGGTCGGACTCTTAAGTCTATTGAGGAGTAAAACCCATTCAGTAAACTCAAGAAGGATTATCATTGAACCTTTCTAATAAGAATACAGACAGACGCTCTTGGAACAGGAGCCTGGATATCAATGCCCAAAGAGGACAAAGGGACATGGGAGAGGGGGAAGAACAAGAAGGAAGTGCATCCATCTTGGCCTGGGCTCTGCTGAGGAAATCACCAATTTCCTCCAGACTTTCCATGCACCGTGGGCTTAGGGCACAAGTGCCCCAGGTAAAGTCCAATACAGCTCCAACCACACTTGCAGCTAAGAGTTAAAAACGAGAACACCATGAACAACTTCATCCCCAATACACATGAAACTCCAAGTAGAAAGTTTTCTCCTAAAATTAGCAAAACTCTCAAAACAAAACTTGAAGAGCTAACATTACAACACATAAGAACTTACTCATGCAGTCAAAATACAAAACAAAACACTACTAAAACCAAACGGGCTGTCTGTCTTAAAACGTTTCAAGGGTAAAGCTCTCCCCGGTTTCTTTTCTTGCTGGTAGTGGGGATTGCACACCCCTGGCCCGCCCTCCTTTTTTATAGCCTGTAACTTCTACATTCAAATGAGACAAAGGTATTTGTAATGACAAAAGTTACATGCTGGCCTGGCTTAGGAAGCAGTGAAAACATGTAAGTATTTTCACTTTGGGCCCAGGATTTAGCTCAGTGGCCTAAATGCCTACCTGGCAAAGTGCAAGGTTGTGAGTTCGATCCCTGGTACAAAAAAAAAAAAAAAAAAAAAAAATCGGAGCTGGGGATTTAGCTCAGTGGCATAAGCACCTGCCTTGCAAGCAGGCAGTCATGAGTTCGATCCCCGGTACTGATAAAAATGAAAAAGACAAAAAAAAAAAATCCACTTCTGGAAACACACATGCCCAAGACCAGTGACTGACGAACGTTTGAAGTCTGGCCTGCAGTATGAACTGCATGTTTCACTGAAATACCGTCCACTGCCACGCGCCTCACAGGTGCAGCAAAGCCCACACAAAGCCCACACAGCACCGCCCCTCCCGCCGCAGCCTCCAGCCTCCTCCACTGCAACCAACACACGCTGGTCCTGGCCGGCAGCACTGCCACCCTCACCACCACTCAGGTCAGCTCCCACGATTTGGAAAGGCTGCCCGGAGAGCTGTGTGCGCATGAAGAGAGGCAACTGGGAACGCTGTGCCTCGGCGTGAAGTACATTCCGTTTACTCACAGCAGAAAGCACTTTCGTACTGGTACAGTATGAAAATGCTCACTTAATGAAGTCTGAAATAAAACCCTTCCAAGGTCCCTCATCTCCACTCTATTCCAATGGGCAATGTGACATGAGCTCGTACAAGGTAGGAAAGCTGTCGCTGTCAGCATGAGGGACTCTGTTACCCAGAACGAGTGTTAAGGGTGAGCTCAAGTGAACAGACATGACTTCACACCTCCTCTCAGGCTTCTGCTCCACCACTACCACCTTCCACTGTTAAGGAGTTTCCCCAGAGAGAAGCTGCCCCTCTCTAACACTGGGGCACTCCGGCCTCCCTACCTGCGACACACAACAACAGGTGACCCAGCTCACAGGGCCATCCCGAGGGCCAGCCACACCCCAGGAGCACACGGTAACCACGCACAAGGGTCATTCATATGTGGACAGCCGGCCGACACCCAGTGTATGCCTCATTCCCCCCATCATCCCCTTCTGTCTAGGTGCTTCGGTCACTCTGTCTGCAGTCCATGGAGTGGCAAGCAGTGTCCAGGCCCGGGGGCCTCGGGGGAGCTGTGGTGACGGGTCAGAGGCTGCCTGCTGGACCTGGTCAGCATGCAGCTGCATGGCACTGTCTGGCCTCGTCTGCCCCACTCCTTTCAGCTACAGGTGCTTCTGCTCAAGTCCTGCCTTTCTCCTACCGCTCAGCTGATCCCTAACTGCTCCTCAGGTTTCACTGGGGACATCACTTCCTCTAGAAGCCCTCCCAAGCCTGCACGTGGCTAACACGCAGGTCCGTTCTCTGGGGTCTGAAAACACCGTGCATGGGTCTCACCTCAGCAGCTCGAATGCTGCAGCACAACTGCCCGCTGACCCACAGTCTCTCATCCCTGCTGAGACCTCTGTTTGGCTCAGTGTCTAGGCAGGGTAAATGCACAACAAAACACCTGCTACAGCGATCAGTGGGGAAGTGAAGGCCATAGCCCCATACAAGCCTGGCTTCGTACCACCCGCATCAGAGCTGGCCAGCCCTCACTTAACACCAAAAGCAAAACAAATTAAAAGCCCAAGCATCTAATCCCAGCACTTGAGAGGCTGAGGCAGGAGGATTGTTGCAAGTTCCAAGACTAGCCTGGGCCACAAAGTGAGCTCGAGGCCAGCCTGAACTGCACAGCCAGACCCTGTCTCAAAAAGACAAAAAAAAAAAAAAAAGCACAAGCATCGTACCCAAAGGGTTCCTCTTGTCTTTGCATTTTTCTTTGAATTCGATGATAATTTTTTTCATGAGTTCATCCACAGCTGCATTGGAAGGAGCGCACACAAGGACACGGTTTTGCTTGATCTTGGCATTGGAGTTTTCATCTGAATGTCCCCGTCTTTGGTTCTACAATTTGCCACATACCAAAGGAAAAACAACAAAAGTCCTGATGAGCTCTACTACACAGTGTTACAGTTTTCTTTACTTGCAGGCATGTCAGAGAGTTCTCACAACACAGTGCAAATACAACACTGCCTGAGCATCCGCACCTTCCACCCGCACCAAACGCACTCTGCGGGTCACCTCCCACCAGGCCGAGCCTACCTGGCCACCTACCGTACTTCTTTGATCAAGTCTCACCCACCAACACCCAGCCCATGCTCCAGCTAGGACCCCCCCTGCAAGCTGAGACCACACCCCTAGTCCTGGGGTCTGGGCCACCCACAGGGTGTTGGTTTTCTGATTGCCCGCTTCTCACACCTGCTTCTCTCTGCCGCTTCTCCCCTCATACATGGAGGAAAAAGGCCCCTGAACACTTGCAGGCCAGCAAACTCTGGAGGAGCAGAGGCGCCGCCCCTACAGCACCAGGGTCCTCCCTCATACCCACCTCTGTCAGTAAGCGGAACAGGAGGCCAACGATGGTTTTGGATTTTCCTGTCCCAGGCGGCCCATGAATCAGGCAGATTTTGGCAACTGATGGTGAGTGTTTCACCATGGCGTAAGCAGTTTCTATCGCCTTTTTTTGCTCCTCGTTGAAATCTTTTAAGTAGGCAATCTACACAGAAAGACATTAGTGAGAACGAGCAGTTTTTTCTGTAGTAACATATGAAAGACAATGAAAATCATGTCTGAGTTTCATCCAAGCTGTGTTTATGCCCAGGCAAGATCTCAATGTGACCTTTAAGAACCACTTTCATTACTGGAAAGGAAGTTGCTTAGTCTCAGGAGGCTGAGGCAGGAGGATCACTATGAATTTGAGGAGAGGTCAGCCTGGGTTTCAAGACCATCCTGCACTACACATTGAGACCCTGTCACAACAAAAAACATAAAAAGAAAGCAAGCCACTTATTAATTATTAATTAGTGTCTACAGTCTTCAGTCCACTTACAAATCCTACAGCTATATTTTCGTAATTCTTACAAAGACTATCACAATAAATTTCACTCACTAATCTGTGTTTTTCTTCAATTACTACTTGTGGGTGTTTTTCATTTAATAAATTCTCTCTTTAGACAGCTAGATATTTCATGAGTCTTTCTAACATGACGTGATATGTGGAAAACCCATGGATTTCGGGGTCAGAATGGAGACTAAACCTCTACTTTCAAGCTATGTCACCATAAATCCCTCATTTTTTGGAGTCTCAACTGCTGTCACTTATTAAACTTCCAATTCCTTAAAAGCTAAGAGCTGACTGAGATAAGGCAAAACAAAAGCCCTGTAACAAAGGAGGGTTCAAAACTTTTATTTCCAGTTGCATTTCTGTGTCCAATTCCTGGAGCTGACACACAGCTCTTATGGTGTGAAATGCGTGTTTAAACAAGGTGACAGCTTCGCCTGTGCACCTGCAGCAAAACCAGCCAACGCCACAACAGTCCCTCACACGCAAGACGGACTCAGGAAACCTGAGAGTCCGCTCCTGAGTCCCTGTCATCCAGCCACCTGGATGGGTGCTGACAGCTCAATGGCCAACACACCAATGGCAACCTGCTCTTTTTTCTCCTGTGTTTCTAATCTAAGCTAACCACTTAGGTACTTTGCACTATTAGAGAAAACTAAAATCTAAACACAACACTACACTGTTTTTTAAAATTAAAAAGATACAGAATTTCAAAATAATGGATTAATATTAGTTAATATATTGTGTATTGTCTTCAAAGTAGTGCACCGGTTACAAGATACAGGCATGAAAAACGATCAATTGAACAACGAAAGTACAAACCATTCCTCTGCTGAACGAACAGAGATTTACACGGCTGCACTTGCACAGTGAACACGTGTGGCTGCAGACACTCTCAAGTAGGCAGTGTTTAAAACAATGGTAATTCAACACCTGGACGTACAGTTTTCTGACTTCCCCAGTATTACAGAATCAGCACTCACAATTCTCTCAGACGTGGTAGTCAGTAAATCTTTGGTACAGAAGTCCATGGGGTTTGGATTCAGAATCACTCTGGCCAGCTGGTTCCGACCACTCAACAGAGACATTGCTTTCAGCTTCCTTTGTGTAGTTACCAGAGAGCTGATTACAACACATTTCATGAGTTCATTTAACTTGGCTGGCAATTTATCTTCAGTCTGAATGGAAAGGGAACACTCAGATTTTCCATTACGCACTATTATCAAGAAGGAGAGAAAACAATTTCAGTTATCACTGAGTGATGCTGTCTAGTTAAGAATTAGGTATTTTGTATGGTACACTGTTCAAATAAATCACTCTATCAGTCAACGTTCTTGTTCTCTACACTATTCTCTACAGGAGGGAGGAGGGTACCAAATAAACACATTTGCTGATGGTGTGTTATGGGGACAGACGAAAAGGGACAAGGAGGCTGGCCAGGGAAAGTCGCCCTGTCAGGTGATGCTGAGTGGAGACTGCAGGCGCTCAGCCCTTACCAAGGGTACAGAGTGCAGCAGGGGGAGACCTGCCAGCTACCGAGCCCAGGACAAGATGTGTGAGAGCTGTGTGAGACATGAGCAAAGAGCAGGAGGCCAAAAGGAACAGAGGAGAGTCCCAGGTGAACCAGAGATTACAGTGAGGCTACTGTGTTTTACGGAACTCTCCAAACAGAGCCAGGGACCGCTCCACAGAGCAGGTTTGGAGTAGAAAGTACCACGTTTTATCTTAAATAAGACAATGCATCACTCTCACTGTAAGGAGTACAGTGGGGGGATGGGAAGGCGCAGGAGTCACAAGACCACTGCGGCAATCTGGGGAGCAGGTGGCAGCAGCTGGGAGCAGGACACAGCAGTCGAATGAGGACTGCGCTTTGGATACAAGTACTGCCAAGAAATTTCCCAGAGCCCAAAGTGTGGGTCACCCACCCTGCTGCGTTCTCCTAGAAGTACGAAGTACAAACTGAGCTCAGACCACACTGATGTGAACGGAACGCCTCTCAAGCAGTCTAAGAGGTTTTCTGCCTCTTTTTATGATACAAAAAAGAGAATAAGGAAGTCAATATACTCTTAACTAAGAAATTTGCAAACGTCAAAAAGCCATCTTTGCATTACAGAGAGGACGCTGACTCTGCGACCAAACACAGCAGATTTCCAGAGAGGCCTGGTGGTGCTGGCCGAAGGCCCCAGCCGCCTGGGAGCTGAGCGGGCAGGACTGCAGGTTGAAGCCCAGCCTGGGAAACACAGTAACCCAGTGTGAACCAGTCTCAACATAAAGAAATAAAAAGGGCTAGAAATACAGCTCAGTGTAAGGGCCCTGGCTTCAATCCCCACCCTGAAAGACTTTAACAAAAAGCAACAGTGGCAGCAAACAGCTGACTTTCCAGCGCTCTGCAGTCACACCTCAAAGGCGGGTGGAGCAGCCTTTTCAACCACACAGGCTCTGCCGTCTAGAAAACCAGGACAGGCAGGCACTCTGATCGGCACAGCCAAGCCTGTTTGGCAAGCGTGCAGCAAAGCTGGGAAAGCGCCTGTGAGGTCGGTGGTGCCCTGGTTCAGGGACTGCAGGCACCCCCAGTTCTGGAGAAGACGGCCACACCTGTGTGCCTGTGGTCACGTTTGTCACCCAATGCAGAGCTCACAAACACAACAAAATTTTGCCAACAGCTTGTTTGTGAACCAAATCGTCTGCCAACACAAGCCTTCGTGAACCAAGGAGCCACCGCACCAACACAGCCTCTGCCAGTGCCCTTCTACTTACTGACTGATGTGCGGCGAAACCTGTGGATGAACCCACAGTGGTACTCGTAGAGCTCCTGGATGCAGCTTGGTTCTGTGTCGCTCTTCTTCCCATTTAGTCTCTCAGGAACCAAAAAGACCAAGTCATTTTCCTTTGGGTGACACTGTTTAGCCAGTTCACATTCTTTCAGATACACTAGAAAACAAGAAGTTGGCATTTATGAAACTCTTAGCAGAATTATTTAAATACAATTAGTTTAATAGAAATTCAATCTTTGCTGGGTGTGGTGGTTCACGCCTGTGATTCCAGCACTCGGGAGACTGAGGCAGGAGGACTGCCATGAGTACATGAGTTCAAGGCAGCCTGGGCTACAGTGAACTCAAGGCCAGCCTGAACCATACAGAGAGCCCTGTCTCAAAAAAGAAGAGAGAAATTCAGTCCTTGTGCTAGGTCTAGAAGCCCAAGCCCTAGTAGACTGTATACACTTTAAGGTAACCATCTAATCCAATAAAAATTTTAAAATATTGACTACAAGATAATATAAAATTTTTCTTTAAAATGGCTATAAAGCCAAAATAGGTAAAATCATAATATTTAGAAGCAGCTAATTTTATTTCCTTGAGGTTTACTCTAGCTTTTGAACAAAAGATTCTCTCGTTGCCTACTTTCAAAATCTTAGGAAAAAACTTGGAAACAGATGCAAGTACAGGTAAGAACAAAATCTTCCAATGCATCTTAAAAAGGGGAAGGATAGGTGCAAACTACATGGGGTTTGGAAACCAGGGACACTGGAACAAAGTTCTGGACCAACCGAGGAACTCGGCAATCACACGCTGATCTGAAGCACTGAGGACGGGGCCTAGGCAGAGTGGAACACTGGGAGGGAACCACACCCCCACAGGCTGCCATGTGCAGAGAAACTGCAGAGAAACTGCAGATGGGCGCGGGGGGGGGATGCTCACCATGATCCAACGACCTGGGAAGAGGACCACAGGTTCAAGGCTGCCAAGGGCAGGCAATTCAGCAAACCCTGTTCCAAACTAGCATAAAGGACTGGGGACCGTTCAGGGGCAGCACACTTGTCAGCATGTGAGAGGCGCTGGTTCAACTCCAAGCACCACAGAAAAAACTGACAAAAACTAAAGCAGTCTAAATAAATGAAGAGAACTGAAGATTGGAGTCTTTCTCCCCCAGTAAATGCTTAATTCCAAAGCAATCCTTGTCAAATAGCAGGAATCGTTTTTAAAGAAATTTACAAACTAATTTTAAAGTATATGTAATAAGAAAAATAACTTTTAAAAACTGGAAGGCTTAAATTTTGATTTCGTACTTTTCATAACATTATAGTAAAGGAGAATTGGTACTGGTATTAGGTACACACACAGAAAAGAGCGCCCACAACACCTCCCCATGCAGGTAACTGAGAGCTGACACCCGTGCCCAGCGTATTCACCAGGGGAAGGAACTCTCCCAACAAACAGCACAAATGCTGGATGTCTTTTTTTTAAGACAGGGCTTCACTATGTAGTTGGCCTCAAACTGTGGCAACCTCCTGCCCCAGCCATCTGAATGCTAGCAATTACAGGTATGTGCCACCAAACCCAACCTGGGTATCTGTTTTAAGAAAAACAAACAAAAAAATTCTCAACACTTACATCATGTCATACACAAAAATAAAACCTGAAAATGGTCATCAGTATAAACATGAAAAGGTACAAAACTTAAAAGAGAAATCAACTGTGACCGTGGACTAGGCAAACATGTCTTACAGCATAAAAAGCATGAATTATGAAAGGAAAACACTGATAATCTCTACCATCAAAATAAAAACTGTTGCTCTTCAAAAGACACTGTTAGGACAATTAAAAGGCACTGGCTAGGAGAAAGTATTTTCAAAATACAATCTAATCAGTTTTCTCCAGAACATTTGAGAAACTCCTTCAACAGAGAAGAAAAGCCAACTAAGAATGGAGGAAAGATTGCAAGCTTGAACCCAGCCCAGGTGACCTAGCAAGACTCTACCTTAAACAAACAAACAAACAAACAAACAAACAAAAGGGCAGGAGAGGTAGCAGTGTGAAGCCCCTGGGTCAAACCCCAGTACCACCCACCAAAAAGTCAGTAACAAAACAATCACACTTCTGGAAAAGGGGTCTCCAGACCTCCTCTGGAAGACCCAGATAGCAGCTGTGGGGAGTCACACATGGTGTCTGCCACATACCCTTCTATAATCCTTTTAAAGTGAAAAACAAGACAGGGGGTAGAGACCGGCAAGCCTGTGGTCTGATGAGTGCTGGTCTGTAAAGAAAGTACACCAGCATCAGGGGAAGGCCTGTTAATCTTCCTATTTCCCAGAATGGGACTCTGATCACAAAACGTTGATGCATTTATTATGTTAAAAATAGAAATCCTAGCTGGGGATTTAGCGCAGCGGCATAAGTGCATGCCTGGCAAGTACGAAGTAATGAGTTCAACCCCTGGTACCAAATAAAATAAAAATAGAAATTCTTAGTAAAAGTGAAATAAATTTTAGGCATAACTGAAAGAGTTAAAATATAAAGCTTACACAGTTATACCAAGTATTCCTACAGATTATCAGCAAAACACAACTCGCAGGAGACACAGGAGCCTGGACATGCCCTTCCCCAAAGAGGCTACCTGAGTACCCGCTAAACACAGGATGTGTCCGATCCCTCCGGGAGACTACACACCGCCAGGGCTGTCCACACACGCCATATCTGGACGGCTGTGACAGCAAGTAGCACAGTGCTGGCAGAGTGATGGAACAGGACACTTAAGCCGGCCTGGCACATGCTCTCACTGCTTGAGCGGCCAGGAGCGCCATGGGCTGTCCCTGTTACATACAAGGCCTGCCTGCGAGGCTACTGCTGGCTGTTTCAGGGAACTCTTATTCCGGGACAGGAGTGCACCGTCCAGGACTAGCTCAAGGTTTTAACCTGTGCGAAAACACAGGGCAGATGCCACCTGCTCTCAGGGCCCAGCACTCTGGGCTCGCCCAGGCATAGGGCACTTCAGGGCGGAGCGTCCAGAGCTGTCCAGCACAGCTCGAGGTGGCTGCCAGGGAGGGAAGCGCCCTGGGTGCCCCAGGGAGGACTCCTGGAGGCCTGCTGGCTTCTGCACTCCACCCAAATGTCTCTGCCCTTTGCGGACTCTGCTGTCTTTGTTCACAATCCTAAGTCATAGCTGCATGGCTATGCTGAAGCCTGTCTTCTTAGCTCGTCATCAAATGTGGAGGCAGAGGATACTGGGGACCCTCCCGCCAGAGTTGGGGTGAGAACTGAGATTTTCAAGAATACTCCTGAGTCCCTAAAAGCAGTATTAGGGAAAAGGAAGCCCAAAGGGTGGGGTATGACAAGCGTCTGACTAGTGCCTGGGCAGACTCTGAAGTCTCTAGGATACAAGCAGCAGCTGAGCTGCTGTCAGGAAAGGCAAAAACTCAGTGGTGCAGCACCTGCTTGGCAAGCACAAGGTCATGAGTTTGATTCCCGGTTCCAAAAAAAAGGTAAAAATTAATTATGGGATTTTTTTCCAGTGTTGTTATTTTTGTAATGTGGAATGAATCCAAGGACTTTGCACTGAGTTATATCTCCAGTCCCTTTTTAAGTATTTAACAGTCTCATTAAATCACTAAGTGGCCCAGGTTGGGCTTGAAACTGTGATCTTCCTGTCTCAGCCTCCTAATGGCACTAACCTACCAAGTTTCCTGGTGGAATTTAAAACAGATTCAACACCAAGAGAGCTGATTAGCTGGACACACTCCCTACCCCTCACCTGATTCTGGCCAGGCCGGCTAAAATCAGAGGAGAAGAGCACAGCACTGTAACACCTCTGGTTTGTGTCCTCCCACAGGTAGGAGGAGCAAAGGCCTCAAGTTTCAGAAAGGTAACTCTGGGTGACATGAAATGGTACAAATTTATACAGTTCTCTCTTCCAAGTGGGAGGAAAAGAACTTTAGATCAGTTCCCAGGTAAAGCTGAGGTGAAGTTTCAGCCAAATCAGAAGCAAAAAAGGAGAAAAAACAGCTCTGCCAGGAGCCACTCCAGTAGCCTGCCTGCCCTGGCTCGGCCTCCCAGCCAGATCCCCAACAGCTCCGCAGTAACCCTGCAGGGGCGGCGTGGGTTTACCACGAAGTGCGTGAGCAATACTGCAAAGGGGTGGACTGCAAAGAGGGAGGGCGACTTGCTTTACAATGATTATGTTTGTGGTTATTACCTTTCAATATATAATAAAAAATAAAGATGGTAGTTATGATATGGATACATAAAGAATAAAATTATCTATGCCTCAAAAACGTCCCCACAACGGTTATATCCCCAGTCCCTTTTCAAGTATTTATTTTAACACAGTCTCATTAAATCACTAATTTAACGGACAGGACAGGTAAAATTATTGCCACAACGCCAAGAACAGAAACAACCTCTGAACATTTGGTAACAAAGCATACAGCAGTAAATGACACACATGCCTACATACAGAAGTGGAAAACAGGTCTAAATTAGCACATGAGACAAACGTACATCCCTGTGTCCCTCTGGCTGGCACAAGCGACACTCATCAAAAGCCTTCAAATGTGCCTGTAGCTTCTTCACCTAGCAAAGGGACTTACTCAGAGTACTCCTAACACTGAAAAATCATACTTTTCAAGTCAGAATAGAGACAAGTGGTTAAATGAACTATGGAACATGCTTATAATAAAGTCACTACAACTGTTAAATACACTGTTATTAAGAGTGAAGACACAGTTATATTAAATGAAAAGACGTAGAATGTATGTTTCAGAAAGGCAAGAATTTCACGTTTTATTCACAGCTACATATCCTGCTTCTAGAAACATCTACTATCTGGCCAATAAAGTCATCAAATATTTGCTGACGGGTGATGAAAAATGTCACAAAATAAGTAAACCCAATGCACACACACACTTGAAACACTCTCCAGGGCAAGTAAAGTCGAGCAATCAGATGCACACCACCCTCACTGGGGCTCTCTCTGACTGGGGAATTACGGGCGGTGTTTACCAAAATGTCTATAACCAACACATTGTAGTTCTCTCCCCAGATGTTCTCAGTTGCTTGTTTCTCTGTTAAATGGACCTACAAGGCTGGACAGATTCCCAGGGACAGGGGCAAAAAGAGGACTTACACATTTCAATGTAAGGAGTCTGAAAATCCAACTTTTCCGTAACTAATGCATGGAAGTGACCTGTGGCTCACACCAGTAATGAACAGGAACAGGATGTCGGGAGGACCTCAGGGACCACTGTGCAACCTCCTCCCACCTGACCTCCACATTCACAATCACTGCCACAGTCTCCTAGGACTTTAAAACATATTTGTTATAATAAACTGCAAATTTAGCTTAAAAAAACCTATGCTCCAGGCTGGGTATACAACTCAGTGGCACTGCTTGATAAGGTCAAGGTCCTGAGTTTGGTTCCTGGTACAAAAACAAACAAACAAAAAAAAACCAAAAATCCCTGCTGTGTCCCAAAGTCTGGGAGTGCACCTGAGTGCTAGGTGTCCACTAGTGTGTGCAAGGCCCTGGGTTAAATCTCCAGTACCACAAAAACAAAACCAACCTATGTCTTAGAAAATTCAATTTACTAACCATATTACTGAGTTTTGTTGGATCATTGAACAAAACTGTTTGCAGTCTCACTGTTTGAAAGTCTACTTTATATGCTTTAATTTTGTAACTTGAGCAACTATTTCTAAGATAACAATATATAATCTATTAGTGATTTCCTACTGTTTATTCTTTCTGAAATTCTGTATAACTTGTACCCTTTTCTGTTTTTTTTTTTTCTTTTTCTCCTTAAATAAAATTTTAAAAAGAAATAAAAAAAAATTCAATTTACTGGCGGGAGATATAGCTCAGCAGCACAAGCGCCTGCTTGGCAAGTGTGAGGTTGACTTTGATCCCCAGTACCAAAAAAGCAAACAAACAAAAAATAAAAGGAGAGCCAAAAGCAGCTACTTGAGACCCGGCCATGGTGGGACTTAGGCAGCTGCACAAGACTATTTGCCTGCCCTGCTGGTAAGCGCCCCTGGCGCTGGCCGGGAGGAGAACCCATCAGCTGTTCCCGTGAGCCTACCGGAAGAATCAAACATCTTCCTACCCGAGTCAGCAACTGGGGAAGGAGTTCTGAGCGTCTCTTGGGAGGATGACCATATGCAATATAGCAAATAAGGGGGATTTCCTCCTATGTTCTGTTTGAAGGCAAAAGTTATTTTCACTGTTGTTTTGTAATGACTGTTTTGCTCTATTCAATATTCTCCTTCAATTGGTTTTACCATGGTCTGCTATTTGTTTGATTTCTCTATACCTAATTGACTGGACAACTATTGTGAAGGTAACGAGATACACTATAGTACCTGTTGCTACCATCCCAGTATCCTGCCTTGAAGTTCTGCACCAATGTCACTACATTGTCTTGATTGGCTTTGTTCTATCTTGTTCTGTTGTATTTTTACTACATTCTAAATAAAAATTTTTAAAACAATCAAAAAACAAAATTCAATTTACATTGATGTCTCCTCTGAAGTAGAAATGTACAGTTATTCTCTTATATATTCCAACTTGTGTAAGAAAGACCTTACCTACAAATTCCCAGTTTTTTTTATAATCCGCTGGTAGTTTTCGTAAATGCAACTGATAGAAATTGTCTTTATTTGGAGAGCTCATCCACTCCTGAGCCACCTATATAAGCAAAAAAAGCAAATTGAGAAAATAAAAACATTCTGAAAGTCATGCTAAACAGTAAAACTTCGAAGATAAGCACGAGTTAAAACTGAACCTAGAATCCCAAGTGACAACCTAAAAATTAACTTACACTGACAGCAGTTCACTAACACAGTCTAAAACTGCCCTGTCCAGGTCAGCAGCCTTTGGCTTACTGAGCTGAAGACTAACTAAGATTCCGAAAGGTGAAACTGCACCCGGGTTGACCAGCTGCACCACCCTTGCCCACAGCCCGGGGTCGCTGCCCTGCAGGTTCCCGCCTGGCAGACGAACGCTTCTGCAGGACAGAGCTCGCCACGCTCCAGTGTATCATGGCATGTCATCCTGATGGTTCCACCACAGCTTCCAGTTTGCCAAAGCTCCAAACCCAGACATACCCCTGAGCACCTTCCCAGGAATAAGGGACCCCCAAGCCAAACTAGCAGAGCAGACTGTTAGTATGCAAAGTCACTCTTTGCTCCCAACTTTTCAAACAGGTTACTCTAGCCTTCCAGGTTTTATCAAGCTGTAACACTACTCATTTAAGTAGTTAAGCCTGTAACTGGTCTCTAATGCATCACTGAAGACTACTGTCACACTACTTTTGCCCTAGAATGAGCCTAGAGCTCACAAACGTTATGCTGTGGACAACGTGGGGGAGGAATAGCACTGAATTTCTATGATTTGCTCACAAGGTCGGATTCTGGTCCACAACAGTTATGATCACCCAGTCCCACCTCCAGAGCACACCGCAGCGTGGTGACAGGACCATCTTTCAGGAGGCTTCCAGGTGAGGTGAGGCAGCACATGCCTGTAACCCCTGTGTTCTGGAGACTGAGACAGGACGGTACAAGCTCAAACCCGACCTGGGTGACCTAGTAACTTAGTAACTAAACTGTCTCAGAATTAGGAATAAACAAAGGACTGGGGGGGGGGGGGCAGCTCAGCTCCAGGCTCTGGTTCAATCCCCATCAGCATGGGGTTAGGGGAAACAGTTTATGTTCACAGCAGTGCAATTTTCACCACCACCGAAACCAGAAGCAATGAACAAAACGGGTGTATGTCCTCGGGGACAGGTGCCTACGTACACAGTCTCGTTTGGTAATGCAAAGCTAAGGAGAAACAGCAATGCAAGCCACAGCACAGATGAATCTCACACTCACAGTAACTGAAGGGAACCAGAGGCAAGAAACCGCACACACAGATCTCTGAGCAGGTCAGTATTTGCCTGGGGCTGGTGGCAGGAATGGCGAGTGCACCCCACTGCAGATGGCAGGAGAGCGCAGTAAGTACCACGGAAATGGTCTGAAGCTGGATTGTGGTTTATAGAAAGCTATTCAAATGCACATGCTGAAAGGGTACAATTTAAGGCACAGTACTTCCCAACAAAGCTACACAGATACATCCTGCTGTGTAAAACAAAGAGTGAGAAAGAAAAGGTAGATAGCAAAACATCACTGCTCCCCTTAGACAACACGACATCTGCCTAAGACAGCTCCCAGCTCCCCTACCCAGGAAGGAGGGGAGGAAAGAAGGAAGCCAAGAGGAGCTCTGACTCAGGCCGGGACTGCCGAGCCTCAGGAGCCAGCACAGAGAAACTCGGCTGAGCGTGAACTCCTAAGGGAAGGGGCACTCCTCAGATAAGGCTTGCGTTCAGAGCCCGTTTGGGTGTAGGAAATTAAAACCCGTAACTGGCAGGAGCTAACCCTTGTCATGCTACACAACAACAGGGCTAAAGAACGCACTAGGTTAAGAGGACAAGAAACCAGGGGGAGCACTAGCAGACAAGTCCTCTGCACCTAAGAACACTCAGGGTGCATGCAAGCTATCAGGAGGGCTGGGTGGGGCTCAGTGCAGATTACTATGCATGCAGTAGGCCCTGGGTTTGATCCCCCCACCACAAACAAGAAAAAACAAGCAAAAACAATGAAGCTAAAGTGTTACACAGTATGTGTAATATATAGGACCCGAAACTAACATTCATTCAGGGGCTTCTCAAACAGGAAAGTATAGCAGTAATGCTGTAGCCATCTTACACTGTAACTAGAAAATAGCAGGTTTTTTCCCTTCTTGTTCTAGGAAAGAAAAACATCTAGTGAAACCTCATGTTCCAATGAAGTACGAATATTCTTTTTTCCCAGAAACTATGAAGAATGGATTATTCTACAAAACAATTTTCCCTAATTTGTTAATTTAACATTTTTCAGATCAAGTATTTTAATATTAAGGTTTGATAAAACTATTTCACATTACTCAATGCGCTTGTTACATACTGATATGTTACCAGGAAAATTCTCTTAAGAAAAAAAATTACACTGAAAACCAGCTGCATGTATGGTGGCACATGCCTGTAGTCCAGCTGCTCTGGACGCTGAGCCTGAAGGACCCAAGTTCAAGGTCAGCGTGGGCAAGCTGGCGGGACCTGTCTCCAAAGTAAAGTAAGGGCTGGCATCACAGCCCAGCGGCAGGGCACTTACCTAGCAGATTCCGGCCCGGGACTCAACCCTCAGTATCACAAAACAACAGCTGCTTCACCAGGGCAAAGCAGTCCCTGCAGCACTGGCTCAGCTCACAACCACCAAGTGGTCCTCACATTCTATGAAATAAAAGCAAACAAAAGCCCAGAAGGAACAGGGAAATCGGCATTCAACCCTTGTCCTGCCCTCCCTTTCTCCACGGGCCAGCAAACTCACCCATCCGGGCTCTGGACCTCCTCTTTAACCTCCCCGAACTGGGTATTTATTTCCCTAGACCAGTTTCTTCCTGCCACGCCCATCAACAAGTTAGCTACCGCGCCTCGCACACAGATGCCCTTCCTTGCCTCCCAGTAACCACACAGCACCGCCTCCTCCTTCCTGCTCCCCTTCAACGCACTGGTCCCTAAAACACTCCCTCCACTCATTGCTTTCACACCTGACTTCTCTTTTAATTTCAACTGCTGCAAAGCTGTCTTCCACTGAGCTTCACGACCGCCTGTCCCTTCTCCTCCCCTGCAGATCTTAGTTAATCCACACCTTCCGTTCGTGGCACCCTAGCATCATCAGTCCAGGCAAGGTCCCTCTGACTGGACCTGTCCTGGGTCCCTAGGCCATGACGGCACCCACCTCGGACACCGCTGCTGCACCGTTTGGCACCAGTGTCACTGAATGGGTGGTATGTGACCTACACAAAACAGTCCTGCACTCCAAGCCAGCTCCCCACAATCCGCGTGCCTCTGCCCTTCAGGTGGCACCTGCTGCGCGGACCCTGCTCCTGAGACAGGAAGCACCGAGGCCACTCCTCCAATGGCAGCTGGCTCTGACTCAAAGGCTGTGAACTGTCAACACTCCCGGTGGCTGGCCGTGGCTGGCCGGTGCGCGTGTCCTCCAGCCGAGGGAGACCAGCACGACTGAATCCCCAAGGCCCGCACACGGTTGCCCGCCACTCTTCCTGCTCTAGTCTGAGGGACGCTCCGTACTTCACACTACTGTCTTACTTTTCTTACTGCTGAGACAAAGTCCCTGACATAAAGCTGAAGGAGAAAAGGGTTCAGTGCTGCAGCTTTCAGTCCATAAGGGGCTGGCTCCAAGGCAGGGGGCCCCTGGCAGAAGGGCAACTGCTCCTGGTTGTGGAAGGCAGCAACTGTAGTCCCTCCTGCTGTACCGTCTACTGGATTAGGGTGGTGCTAGTCCTGTCGGTGGACCAGCTGAGCCAGCCTTAATCCCAACACTGCACCACAAATCAACCCCATACTAGATTCAGCACCTCCAGAGAACCTATGACCCAGGTTTTGCGGGGACATCGACACAAATCGTAACCCCCACCTAGGTCTTCCCTCCTACAAACTGGCTGTGTGCTGTCCACCTGCTGACTTCTTTACTTTTTTGTTTGTCATTTTACAGAAGTTCTCTATGTATCTTAGTAATAGCTTGCAAATCTTTGAATATTTAACTTTCCTCTTCCCATCAGCTCTGAGTACTGCCATCCTGTCACCCTGCCATCCTGGGCTGGATTTCTTTGCGCTACACAGAATGGGCACCATTGAAGCTCATGAAATGTTTATTTCTAGGATAGTTCCATTCAACACCATTGGGCCACCCACAGCTGTGAAACCAGGTAAAGGCAGGCTATACGGGGTATAAAGTACAGGTCTGCCTGGCCGTCTTTCCCAGTGGACAGGGCCGGTTTTCTCAGTGCCCCTCTACTTGCTGATCTGTGATGCCCTCCAGGCTGCCACATCCACAGGCTCACTCTCGGAGCCTAGGTCCCCCCTCGGTTTCACTCAGCTGCCTTTTCCTATGCCACTCTACTGCTCTGACTCAGAAATACCTACCTACAAGACAAGGTAAGTTTGTCTACCACCCTAGTGATGCTGTTCTTTTCAATGTTACTTTTCCTTACAAATTTCCAACTTTATCAACTTTCCCAAAACACTTTTGCTTGAATTTTAGCTTCCATTACATAAAATTTCTGGCTGATCTTTACAACGTGAAGTTTGCCCTTTCATGAACTCGGCCCCTCTCCCCATCCTAAATAAAGGACTCTATGTCCTCCACTATGGCTCTTAAAATCCACCTTCCCGTGTCCTCCACAGAGGGCTCTTGTTTTCATTACCAGGCAGCCCTGGTTACCATCACACACACTTTCCTTCCCGTTTCTAACTGGGCAATCTGTGAACATCTGTATAGAAATCAGGTACTCAAACACCGATTCTATTGGGGTTTCAATCTATTGCCTGGGTTCACTTTTCTGCCTCTTCCCAAGACCCCTCATACACATATATGAAGCCTTCCCCACTCCCACTGCTTTTTCTCCTTGCCTGCTCTCCTGGCCGCACAGCTTCCAGGGGTGACTCCGTCTGTCCACCTGGCTCTCGCCTTCTCCCAGCGGTATCTGCACGCCGCTCTCTGTTTCCCGAGTCCCTCATCTGGACTGCTCTCTCCCCCACCCCCACCGTCCCCAGCCTGCTGTTCTCCGCGGCTTTCCTTCCTGCCTCCAGCTTCCCGTGCTCTCCTCTCTTTGGAAATGCTGAACATGCGGATGATTCCATTCTTGGTCTAATAACTCCCCTACCTCTGCCTGTCTGTTCTATGCTGCTCGCTGGTTACTTTTCGTTTACAGAGACTCTGCACTACATACAGGGCGATGCAAACTGGCCTGCGCAGGACAGGTACCTTGGGGATCCAAGGCCGCTAGGCCACCCGCTGTGTGCTTCTGCCGGTGAGTGGAAGAGGAAAGGGCACCTTGGCACTGCAGGCTCTCCCAGGAGCCTGGTTCTTACCTTTCCAAATCCTGGCCCCTTAGTCATAATCACCCAGCCAGGGACGCTCAAGAACCCAGGAATTCAATGCGTCTCACTGCAGCTGGGCGCAGTGCCACTCTGCCTGCCTGCTGCTTCTGACTGGCGAGAGCCAGGTGCAGTTTCCTGGCCTGCCCTGGGAGGTAGAATCAGAACAGTGTTCCAGCCCACAGTAACGAGAGGAAAAACAAGACACCACAAACATTCCTTTCCAGCACAATGCCCATCGGTGAAATTCTAGCTTGGTCTGCTTTTCCTTTCCTACAATGAGAACCCACGCACGCCCTAGGGCGCCCCAGGGACTTCTCCTAATCCAGGTTGGTCTGACGCATTCAGCCACACCCTGGGCCTTGGCAGTACCTCTTCTGGAAAGAAGGAAACAGAACGGGGACCTAACAGGTTCTTTAGCCCCAACTCCAAGAGTCACCCTTCTTTTCCCATCCAGCCCATGACCAAGTCGTATTTTTTCCAACATCCACCCCACTATACTCATTCTTCTCTATTCTACCCCAGAGTAAGCCCATCTTCTTCCTCCTGGGCTGCTGTAACAGCCCTCTGGCCACCCAGCTGTGTCCATGCTCACCTTTCTACAGCTTACTTTCCACCAGCAACGAAGGGTGAGCCGTGACCACCACATCCTGGTATGCACTACTGCCCCAGATGGACACCAGCCACCGGGAACTCTTCCAAAACCTCCCCAATCAACTGCAAAGGAAACCCCGGTGTGACCGTGTAAGGCTGTGTACTAGCTGGCTCTCGACCATTTCTCTACTGTTAATTTACCTCGCTTTCTCCCCCAACTTCAGGCCAGCACATCAGCATAATCCTTTTCTACAAAGATGCACACAGACACAGACACACAGACACAGACAGACACCGTCGTTCTCACCTCACGTGTTACTTGCCTGACATCCCAACCCAGTCCCTGCACAAACCTCTTCCTCTGTCTCTCAGCCAGCTCCAAGACCAGCCCCAGCGACACTTATCACACCACGCCCTGTGTGGTTTCTTTCACAGAACTAACCACATCCAGGCGTGACAGAGCAGGCTCCCTAACGAAGGGCTCTGGCCCTGAGACTCAAAGTTGGTGTCTCTTCCTGCCGGCCGCCACCTGCACAGAGGTGACACAACACTGCAGGCAGAGACAGCAAATCTAAGACTGAAGATAAAAATGCATACCACACTGACTACCAAAATCTGGCCGGTTCCACAGTGTTCATTTATCAAGTACGCTTATGTTTAAATGCAAGGCCTAAAAACCAAGCGTGTCCTCTGTCAGCCCTGTTAATAGACAAAATGTCTTGTTTTCGTTTGTAGACGGGTCTCAGTATGTAGTTTAGGCTGGTTTTGAACATTACTACTTAGCCCATACTGGCCTCAAACTCACAGCAATCCTCCTGCCACAGCAAGTGCTGGGATTACAGACATGCGCTCCGTGTCTGGCACAAGACTCATTCCTAAAAGTTCAATTTGCTGTTTCTTGTCTTTTCTGTTGAGGGACAATTCTACACACTGTAATGATATTCCACTTTCAGAAGACATATCACCTGGGTAACCAAACACCACAATTTAGATCCTAAGGATGTCTTTTGTAACCAGAGTCTACATTCAATATAGTCCTCCCCTAACAAGATATAAATGAAATCATATCACATACATCAGAAAGACACTGATGAACCTTGGTCTAGTACTGTGCTTGATGCTATTAGTGGCTGATTAAAAAGACTAGAAATTAAAATTAAGTAAGGTATTTTGGTACTGCTAATAATTGTTAAACTGCAAATACTTTAACAATTTTGTTGTTACGGTTTAAAAAAAAACCAAACAGGTAAAACTTCAAGGTAAAAAGGGTAGTTTTAACACATGTATCTCCTTTAACATGTGCAACTCCATTAGCACACCAAAGGGCCATCTAAAGCTGTGTACCCAGCAGAACAAGGCTGAGGCAAGGGACAGGAGTGCCAGAACTTTGAAAGCTGGACAGCAGGTGACAGAACTAGCTGCTGGCCCAAGCAGCTAAACCCAACCAAACTGATCTCTGTAAGTGTGGCTAAAACACTTCAATGTGAAGACAATGTGAAGCACAGGTGAAGACATTTCCACACTAAACGCTGGGTCCTTCTTTAACCTCTAGCCTGGTCCTAACTTTCTCCCCCAGCGCTCAACTAGCCAGGCCTATGCTGCAAGAGGAAATGTTTCAAGTTTCTTTGGAAAATCGAACCTAAGACTGAAAGAAAAAGAAACAAAAATCAAAGACACTGACATAACAGTGGGGGCTGGGGGTACCTGCTGAAGCACCAAAGGCCAGCAAGTCCACCCGGGCTGCAGGTCCCAGGACAGACAGGCTACACAGACATTGTACATAGCTTCGTCCTGGTAAACCCTGTCTCACCCGCTGTCCTAAGCATCTCTTTCTAATCTATCAGCATTGAAGTTTATTCTAACAGTTTAAAACACAGAAATGTACCTCATACAACACACAGTTCACCTTTCCAAGTATACTGTTCAGTAGCAGGTGGCTTTAGTCACTGTCAGACAATTGTGACTACTTAATTCCAGAAAATTCCTATTGCCCCAGAAGACACATCACACCTATTACCAGTCAGTCTCAATTCCCTCCTCGATTCCCTGACCACCATTCATCCACTTTTGGTCTCTATGGACAACACATATAGTAAAATTATACAGCATGTGGCCTTCTGTCCCTGGCTTCTTTCATTAAAACAGTACACCCAGGCTTTATCAAAGGACACAAAACCTTAGTCCTGTTCAATGGCTGGACAATACCTGTCCCATGGATATACAATGCTTACAAGCTAATGGACAGTGTTTTCAGGTATAAGAAATCACGCTCTAAATTACTTTTTAGTCTGCTGTTCTTAAATGTGAGCAGACTGCCAGGAATCAGCTCGTCTGAAAAAAGGAATTACTACAAACTGCTAGACATTAAAATCAACAGGAAACAAACTCGGTGGAGCACCAAGAGCTATAAGATGAGGACAACATTTAGTACCTAGATCATCTTTACTAAACCACTAGGAAAACACACTGTGAACGTCAAACAAGTCTAGGCCCTGTGAAACGGCCGAGGCGTGAGGAGAAGCTGACAGAGAAGATGGACCAGGAAGCGCACATAAACCTCACTGGCGTCACCCTGCGTGCAGTGGACAAGGCACCTGAGTAAGCCACCAGCCCTTGGGCCATCGCCTCCTTTCCCGTCCTGGTGTCCAGCGGTGTCTGCCGAAAACACACTGCAAGGCAGACTTCTATTGCTTCTAGTCCACGTAGATGCCACCAGCCCAGGGGGACCGGCCTTCCAGCGCACCCTGTCCCCTGCTGTGGGTCACATCAGACCTCACCCCGACCTGAAAGGCCCCTCCCCAGGGCAGGCCTCCAGCCTTGTTCACCACTCCACCCCTCTAAGCTGGAGCAGCTCTAAGTACGTCTGGGCAAGGAAGGATCTAGGTAAAGGAATGAAATCCTAAATATCTGCCTCAGTAACTTTGGATTGTTTGTAAGAATGTTACCACATATCGGGGTGTTTTTTAATAGAACTTGAAAAAGTTCTACTCAACTCCTTCCTTGCCTGCCTTGAAAAATGCCAAATCACCCTTTAAAACACAGGTGAGTGCTCACACTGAAGTACTCACTGTTTTCCGAGGTTTGATTTTTCTTTTTAAGATAGGTCCTGCTGCACTGCCCAGGGTGGCCTTACACTCCTAGGCTCAAGTGACACTTCTGTCTCAGCTGCTCAAACAGGTACATGCTACCATCCCCTGTCCTGCTACCATCCCCAGTACAGGGAACTCTGTACTTTATTTGGCAACCCTGGTCAAGAGTAAAGAGGAGAAAAAGCTGAATGCAACAGGTTGGAGTCAGCGAGAGTGTGAGCAGGAGAGCTGCTGTGGTGAGTAAAGACAGACGCTTCAAGAGAACTTTGTAATTTACTGTGTTGCTCAATGAATCTACCTCTCAACAAAACTATGGCAACTGGCAGGCTGTCTCCTCTAGGCAGACCCCCTTCACCTGTGTATGGGCCAACGTGTCCTCCTGTACTACTCTGGACTGGGTCCGTCAGCACGCTGAACTAGGTCTGCAACTCCAGAGGGCAAAGGCTAAGCTGCGTCGCCCAGCACACAAAGCAGCTGGCACAAACATCTGTTCACCAGGAAATCTAACGCCTAAATCCAATGTCAGTTACTTTAGCCATGCTCTAGAATGGTCATACAACTGGAAAGAGGAAGCAAGTCTAGAAAGCCAAATATGCAAAGTGTACTTACTGTTTCAAAAGTATTCAGTAGTATCAAAGGTAGAAAAACATTAAAATACTCTCCACAGTCTTGAAATTTGACAGGCACTGGTCTCGAGATGGACTGGCAAAGACTTGGTGGGGGTCCGCACTGATCAAAATTCAAAAACATCTCGTATTTCCACTTTAAGACCTCTCTAACGAAGGTATCAGAGATAGACTGTGACAGAATAATGTTCACCGGCGGGGAAGCAGAAAGGGACTTGCTTTCACCGAAGGGGAGTTTGTACGTCTGCCTGTTGGGGATATTCAGAGTCTGCAGAACACCGCAGTAACTGTTGGCTTCGCCCACCAGCTTCTGGGAAACCAGGGAAACGGGCTGTGGCCCCTGCAAACCAGACTGCACCCCATGTGACTTATTTTTTGGAGCTGGAAGTCCTGGAGAACTTTCCAGAGACTTAGAGAGATGAGCAATTCGTGAAGTACTACTTGAGCTAAAAATCTTAGTGGTGGAAGGTCTCCTTGCAGAAGGAGGCAAGCCAGGTTTACGAAAAACATCTTCATCAGCTGCTTTAGCTTCCAAGTGTTTCAAACAAAACTCGCCCTGGCTTTTTAGGATTTCCGCACAATCTTTGAACTTACACTTTGTGCCACTCTGTGCCAACTGAGACCAACTGACAGGGTCTTCTGCCTGAGCTGCAGCTTTTCCATGAAGCACTTCAATGAGTTTACCACTCTCACCCATCTGGGAACACAGATCCATATCTTCAGGGTCGTGCTGGGTTAAAAATAAATTCTCATCATCTGTGTCACTACTGGATTCCAGTTCTGCCTCCTTCACAGTCACCATGGCTACCTGACGCCCCGCCAGCTCACTCCCACCCAGCGGGCTCCCAGAGGTGGACACAGCCATTTCATCTGTTGGAATTCTTCCGTTTAGCACCGTGGGGTCACGCTGGTTCAAGAAACAAGTATTGTCAGGTACCTGAGAGATGCATTCCGCCCTCAGGGGCTCTGGTTTTGAAGGCGTGAGCAACTCTCTCCTGTTGCCGTGAGCCAGCGCCTCGGGCCCTGACCTGTCAACTGCTGGCACCAGGCCAGTGGAATTCTGCGCCCTACATGGCCCTGGCCGTGCAGCATTTGCACTTTCACGACAGGGTTCTTTTCCTTTTTGGTTCACTTTCTGTCTTATGTGCTTTTGCACCTGAAACTCCTTATTTGTCCGCAGCCTCTTGTTATTTTTGACAGAGTGAGTCTGAGGAATTGTCTTAGGCTTTTTTGGGGTGCTGACTGCTCCCACGGTTTTGCCATGATGCCGTAACCTATCTGTAAAGTCTTCGGACCTCTGCGACAACTCGAATGCCCTCCGAGGACCTTTTTTCAGCCCGAGCTTCTCAGCCACCGAGGTGGGTTCAGGCCGCTGGCGCACTTTCTTCGGCGGCACCACGGCTGGGACCGTCCTGCAGCTCAGGTAATGTGAGCCCTTACTCTGCCCTCTTCTGCCTTCTGACTGTGTTTTCTTGGGCGCTTTAGAAACTGGTGCTCTCCTGGCGGGCTTGGAAGGAGGACGCGCCTTCGGGGGAGACCTCTTCCTCGGACTGGCAGGGGCTCTCTGAACACTTGAGCTGGGAGTCGTGGTACTTATCTCGGAACTTTTTAAATCACTGTCAGTAAGCTCTCTCTCACCGAGACTGTCAGACCGGTCCTCATTTCTGACAGAAGTCGAAGGCCTTGGAGGATCTTCAGGCCTAGGTTTTTTAACTTGCTTTCTCTTATGATGTTTCACTTCAAATTCATGAGAATCCTTCGCAGAGACACTGCTACTGTGTGGTTCCACACATTCTTCACCACCCCCTGCCACCTGCCGAGCGACCTCCTCGGAGACGTAAGCTGAGCCGTAACTCCAATCTGTGCTATCAGCTACATTAGTCACACATGAGCTTGCCTCCACTTGAACTGAATTCTTGCTTACTTCTTGATCCTGCCAAACTGAAAACACCGGAGATTGACTTTCAAACTCAAAAACCTGAGACTCAGAATCCTCAAACAGAAATGCTGATGTCTTTGCTTCCTTCATGAGCTGTGTGTCTGCACTGGTCTTTAGCACTGACCCGTGCCCCTCTGGACACCCTTTGCTAAGGCACGCTGTGTCTTCTCCAGTGTATTTCTCGAGACCCAGAAGGCTCTCGTCTTCATCATCAGAATCTGAAATAACGATAACTGGTCCACAGGAGCTGTGCACATTATGATGGGGAGCTGTGAGACGGCGTCTATCTTCGGTTACTTTCCCCTGCAGCTGGAATGAGCTCTGAGTTAGGTCCACCGGGAATTTGGAGACACTAGCTTGCGCCATTAGGGATAATCTGTGGAGGTCTCTGTCCACCTGAGAATCTGTCAAGGTGTCTGACTTGGGGCTGATGCCAGGAGGTGGTTCTCTGTCCAAGTCAGAGAAAGTCAGAGCTGCCCGCTGGCTCAGCTCATCTCTCGATTCGAGTGCGGCCATGGGTTCCTTATAGGGAGGAGCCTTCTTCACCACAGTGCCGGTCGCTTCCGTAAATGAGACTGAATCTTTACCAGCGTGACACTCCGGTACCTCATGACCATTTCCATGAGAACAAAGAACACCCGATTCTTCATTCTTTAACTGCTTTCTGTTCAGCAATGAACTGTTTTTTGACTTTGGTTCTCCGTCCTCAGCAGCCAGCCTACCGTCACAGTCTGAAGACAGGCCGTGTGTGACCCCACCCTCTTTCTGCATGCCTCTCTCTTTCCCTGAACAGAAACTCTCTGTGTTACCTACCATCACATTTTCCTCTAAACTGACAGCATTACTGACCACAGTATTTTTCTTGTGTTGCTTTTTTATGACATGTGATAACTTTGCACAGATTTCATCTTTTTCTGCCTTTGTTTTTGGTTTTGAGGTTTTTCCAATAGCATCATCCTTTAAGAAATCCTCATCTGATATGATCACTTGTTCCAGAGACTCAGCGCCAGAATCAGTCACTGAACGTGTTGATATTATTCCTCTGTCACATCCTCCTCCTGGACTATTTCGTGAAGTGCAAGGCTGCGGTGCACAGGAAAAGTCCTCTTTCACAGACATCTGCTTCCCTTTACTTACTCTGGTTTCATCTTGAGCTCTTTCAGTAAAGTGGCTTTTACTACTTTGCTTTAAACATGACTCAGCTGGGAGCTGGTCTTCAACATTCAAATCCTTCAGGTAATTTTGCTCATTATCCCCCCCCTCTATTGTGCTACTTGTTTGGATCAATAGATGCTCTTGCACTTGGTGTGGCTCAGCTTTCACAAGTGCTTTAGAAAATGTTAGGCTGGAACCTTCCAGACAGAGGGTGTCTTTTTTAGATTTCTTTCTTATTTGTCCACTTTCTTCTTTAAAAGATGCAGGTGGAGTTTTATAGGTAGGGCACAGATCCGCCAAGGTGTTACCCTGAGGTACTTTTAACTTTATGTTTCTAATGATTTGTTTTAAGCAAGTCTGTAACTCGTGGGTTTCCTCACTGGTCAACTGCCAACCCTGAGATAAATTTCCCCGAAGGAACAGGTTAAGCTTATCCCAGAATTGCTTGCACAGTGCCTGCTGACCGAGCTGGTAGCCTTCTTTGAGAAGACTTCGAATGAGCTGCACACAAGCCACCTGTACGGAGTTGGACGGCACCGACAGCATCGACAGCGAAGCCATTGTCGCTGTCCCTTTGGAGCACCCTCCAGCCGACTTCTCAGAACTCCGCACGAACGCGCTGGTCGGAAGCTTGGCGCATTTCACAACGGCGGCCACCCACTGCTGGGAACTAACCCACAGTAAATGCAGACACTTTTTATTTCTATGCAGCTCAATCACTGACACCAAAATCAGGAGGAAAAACTCAGTGACTTTGTCACAGACGGCATCTGTCTGGTTTAGGACATCTTTGACTTGTGAGTACAGATGATGAATAACTTCCACGATGTAAGCCACACCCAGGTCCTTAAGGTCCATGAGCGACTGGACAAAAGGTATGAACCACAGAAATGTACTGTTATGAACACGCATGTCTTGGCCAATATCTGACTGAAGGACACTAGTTAATGTTTCCATTTCTTCATACATGTTAGGACAATAATCTGGGCAAATGGCTGATTTCCATCCTGAATCCTAAAATGGGAAAACAACAGTATTCAATTGTGATAGGATTAACACTGAAACTGTCAAACACAAAATGTACCTCTCAACTTTCCTATTTTTATGTGTTATTTCTAATATAAATAAACCTACAAGAAATCAAAACTATAAGCTGAATCATACCACAAAGACCTATGTACACCTATGTTTACAGAGGTGCGGCTGGAATACACAAACCCTGTACCCAGTACCCACCAGCTGGGGATGGATAAAGATGATGTGGGTTCATGCAGTGGAGTACTACTCTAGCAAAAAGAAGGGTCTGCTCTGGACATTTCCCAGTGAATGGCTGCTCCCTGAGACACACTCTTTTAAGTGAAATAAAACAGACAAACAGAAACTGTGAATACCACAGTTTCTCTGGTGTGAGAAACCGAAAGTGTAAATAAGGACCAAAATGTGTAATAGGCATTGTGAAATAGGATGAAAATGTTCAAATGGGGAGGGGAACAAAGCTAGAGGGAGGGGACAAAGAAAGGGAAGAGTAAAAAAAAAAACAAAAAGGAAGGAAAACATGGAAACAAAGCTAACTGAGGAGAGGAAGACGGGGTGAAGGGAAGATGGGAACGGGAAGACACCAACAAGTTATATTATGTACAGGACAGATCTCTATGATGAATGCAATCATCATGTGTATCTAAAATGCATCAGTAAAATCTGATTGGAAAATACACATGCTGAGTGTTGACATCAAACCTTCATGAAAAGGCAAATTCCCAGTTTCATGGGCTCTGGCCTTCCTTTCTTCAGCTAGAACTGTTTACCAGCACGCCACTCTCTCCCCTTATCTCACAGACTCCAATTTCTCAAAATGTACTTTAAAATGTCCCAGAACACACACACTGCAGGCAGAATTCGTTTTCCCTCGTGCACGGTGCACTGACTCAATGAGAAGGCCTTTGTGTAACAGGTGATTCACAACAGCTACCTGTCGTACAGCCGGCTGATCATAAAATTCACACAGCATCCACACAGTACCATCTGAATTTTCAAAGTGCTTTTTACCTTTTTTGTCTTTTCAGGATTATAATTGTACACAATCTGGCTGCAAGTCACTGTATCATCCGAAAATGGCTCTGGTTCTATCTTGGTCCTTAAATAGTAAAAGTACAAATTACTGAAATGATGAAGAGGAAGGGGCTGGGAATTTAGCTCAGCAGCATAAGCGCCTGCCTTGCAAGCAGGCAGTCGTGAGTTCGATCCCTGGTACTGATAAAAAGGAAAAAGACAAAAAAGAAATGAAGAAGAAAGAAAAAACTAGAAAACAGCCCCCTTGTTGTTACCACCCAGCTCCTCACAGAGATGATTTTTAAATCTTGACATTCACGTAACTAACCTTATAGAGCTGTTCCGAATATTCTGAATCTCTCTATTGTAGCTCACATTGTTGATAATGGTTTGAAATGCCTCAATAGGATCAATAAGCTGACCCCAGACCTTAGATCCAAGACGATCCAGAATTACCATGAAGCAATGTAATGCTGGCCAGAAAGGATTCGCACTATCATCTGAAATACAATGTAACAACTGCTGGATCACAGAACAGTTTTCAAAACAGTCAAACAGACTGCAAATTAAGCATTCTTTACCTGGTCAGCCAGGAATCTGAAAGTTAAGCAGCAAGTCATTTCAAATAATACCTGGGACTGAGACGGGGCTCAGTGGTAGAGCTCTTGTCTTGCAAGCACAAGGGCCTGGGTTCGATCCCCAGCACCACAAAACAAAACAAAAAACAAAAATAATGTCAACACTTATTGAGAGGTTTTGTTTTCTCGTGGTTTTGTGGTACTGGGGATCAAATCCATCAATACCCATTCATAGAGCCAGGCCACCTGTGTGTCATGCTGTGTATTAGTGGGTCTTGTTGTATTGTATTGAATCACACTATATTGTACTGTGTTCTAGTACTTTATGACAGGTCTTGACCAAACCAGACCTGAACATGCAGCGCTCCTGCCTCACCCTCCCCAACTGCTGGGATTACAGGTGTCTACCAGCATGCCTGGCAACAGTTTCAAAAGCTGCTAAAGTCTCAGAATTTCCAATCATGCTTAAGACTGTTAAAAAAAAAAAAAAAAAAAAAACAAAAACTGTCTGTAAAAAAAAAAAAAAATTCAAAATGGGCCAGGGATTTAGCTTAGTGGCTAAGCACCTGCAAGGCAGGCACGTGGCTGTCAGTTTGATCCTTGGTACCACAAAAAAAAAAAAAAAAAAAAAAAAAAAAAAAAATCAAAATGGAGAACAAATTGTTTGACAGGCCCCGAAACAGTCTAGGTAAAAACAGTTTCCCACCATTTGCCACATTGAAACTTTTTCCTAATGAGCACCTCAATCCACCAGAAACAGTTCACTCTTATTCTCCATAGCTAGAAAAGCTGAAAGGGTAAAGAAGAAAAAAAAAAAACTTGTATGACTACTGAGGCCTGAGATATTACACCTGAAAAGTTCTTTTCAACTTAAAAGAGCATATCTGGGATCTAAATCATAAAAAATGTAATTCTTGCCAGGCATAGTGATACGTTTGTTTGTGATCTCAGCACTCAAGAGAGACAGAGGCAAGAGGATCACTGTGGAGTTTGAGGCCAATCTGAGTTCAAAGTCAGCCTGATCGATCAATCGATCTAGAAACAGAGAGGATGAGACTGCCTCAAAAATAGTTAATTCTTCTTTCCTCCACACCACACTATACTCCACTCCAATTCTTGCAATGGCATTAACATTTTCAAACTGCATCACTGTATACCCAGCAGTTAAAGTGACTCACCATCTGACTGCCTCTCCATGGTGTGAAGTATTGACTGCATGAAATCATTTTGTTTGTCTGAGCCCAGCAGCAGCGAATCCATGGCTTGCTCCTCAAGAATGGTCAGCAACATGCAAATACCTGTAATTTACAATGATTCAATTCACGGTTTTCTTAAATTGAGGAAATAACACTATTCTGATGCCTCCTCTCATTTAGCTGGCCAAGGAGGGACAGAAAAAAACTAACAAAACAGCAAAATGATGGAATACGGATAATCACACACAACTGTTCTCAAACAACAGAATTTGAGTATTTCGAGTGTAAAAAGTGAAAAAGATAACAACTTAGAAAACATTCTCTAGGATGACAACCTCAAGCTGTTGTTTCATCAACTATTTACCATGCCTTGCACTTTCACTTACACTGTGTCTCATACACCACTAAAGAAGGGAACATTAGTGCCACTTAGGCCTGAGGCCTAAAATTTGAAACTGATAAGGCTCAGCTATTTTAAGCCAGTACAGAATCTGGAAACAATGCTGATGTCTCCATCAGGAAACAGATTACACACTGGAGAATCACGAATGTCAAATCCTACTTAAAGTCAACTACTACTATACAGTACTGAAACTGTTATTCTAATATTGCTTTAAATAAAGAGATTTATGTGAATCTTCCCAAATATATACAAAACTGTTAAGTCCATTTAGTGACAGAACATGAACTGCGGACCAGGAAATCCTATGTGGAGCCGATCACCAAGAGATCACGTCTGGTTCAGGACACTGGGGAGACCCTCGCCACAGAAATGCAGAACGACACTCACCTAGCCAGTAGTTTTTGTAGTTGGTGGTATCATACATGTGTGTGGGCAGAAGAATCAGTTTCCCCTTTTCGAAGATAGAAGAAGTGTAAATGTCTGGACTTTCTAGGAGGCCCAACTCAATGACTTTAAAAAGGCAAGTGAGGACCTCCTGTAAGTCATAGTAGTCATCTCTGTCCACCTTCCCAAGGTTCTTTGCTGTCAGGATAGCCCAACGCCGGATCTAAATGGGAAACACATGATGTTCAAAAACGACAGACAGCAACGATAGACACATGAAAACAGTATTCTCCACAGATCTTAAGAGCCTGGAGATACTAATGAATAGACTGTGGATCTTACATGCCACTGAGCTCAATTAGCCCTACTAAGTCAGGTGAGGGACAGTTACGGGGCTGGGGAGAAAGCAAAGCGGCACAGGTGCCCACCTGCCTGAGCCAGCTGTGAGCTCCAGTCTTGGTACCAAAAAACAGGAGAGAGAGGCAGTTATGTCCATCACTGACAGGAAACAGAGCAGGAGGAGTATTTTAGAGTGAAAATGATACTTTTAAAAGATGGTACCTCGGGGCTGGGGATTTAGCTCAGCGGCATAAGCACCTGCCTTGCAAGCAGGCAGTCGTGAGTTTGATCCCCAGTACCGATAAAAAGACAAAACAAAAAAAAAAGACGGTACCTTTTAGAAACACATATTTAAATATTTTAGTTCGACCAGTAATGGCAACACCTGCTTTGAGGTTATTTTACTCACTGCATCAGCCACACACCTTCACCCCACCCTTTCAAATGTCTGATGTTATGACTGCTTCACCCGTGGGTTTAGATTAGCATTTGCTGTTCTTTCCCCACTCCTCACACCCACTTTTCCTGTGCCCCTACGTTTTAGTTAGGTCTCCCAGAAACAGAATCTAGACTTCCTTTGATAGTCTAATCTGATCTTTATTGTTGAACTGACAAATTCAGTCCATCTGCAATAAATGAACAGTCTATGTATGAGCCCTTTCCCTGTTTCTTTTAAAGAAACATCTTCCTTCTAAAAACAGTCCTGGCTCCCTGTGCCCTCAGGGTAAGACTTGGCCCCCACACACACTCTCCTGCCTTAGGTCGCCTCACCTACTGACAATACGTCATGCTGATATTCCCCACCCAAGTTACTACGGATACATTCATTTTCACTGAACTTTAAAGACAATTCTACCACAGTAGTCAACTTTTTCTCTCATGATTTCTTCTCTTTGCACATCTTTTTATGAAAAACCCTGCTAGGACCTTTTATATGACATGGTAATTATATCCTCCAATTTGAGTTTGGCTGGAGATAAAAATCTAGGTTTTAAGCTTTCCTCCTCGATACTCTCACACACCACTGTCCTCCTGCCTGCAACTCACTGCTACAAATCCGGTGTTAACCTCGTTTTTATTTTTATCTTTGCTTATGATCTTCTCTGGACATTTCTCAGTTGTTTTTGATGTTCTTAAATTTCACTGTTTAAAACATGAGGGGCCCTTCTCTTCTCTGACACTACAAAGCCTCAGAGAATCAGGAGTCTCCTATACTCAGGTAAACGTGTGGTGTGTCTATCGCTTCCGGACCGTCCTAACCCTGATCTGTATCTTTCTGAGTCCTCCATGTGCACCTCCGCATCTCTCCACTCTCCTTTGCCGGTTTTGGTTTCAGTTTTCTTCCTCCTTAAGGATGTGTGCCACCTGCATGTCTAGACAGTGCCCTAATATTTTTGCTTCTATTGGAATCTTCACTGGAAATCCCATTACCACGATTTCTCTGCTGTAAGAAGATAAAAAGGGAAGGTGACCTTTTCTCCTTACCTTAGCTTGGCAGGCAAACTAAGCCTTTCATGGCTACTGTACTGGTGCAATGAGGAAACCAGTCAAAAGGGCCAAAGCGCAGGGCAGCTACAGCTCGAGCTGCCCACGGCACAGCGAGCAGACCCCGCCCTCGGCACGGCGCCGCCCTGCGCTGCCCTCTGCAGCCCTTCTTGCCCTCCATCATGTTAAGTCTTCTTCTTATCTAGCACCTAGGGCTTCCTTGGTCCTCCTGCCCACCTCCTTAAATCTCATCTATTAGCAAAGTAATTTTTTCAGATATTTTAATGAGAATTTCCATGTTTCAAGTGGGGCAGATAATAAGAGAAGCAAAAAAGAGCCCTCTTCCTTCACTTCAGTTCAACAAAGTGAAAGAAAATTACTCTGTACTCATCTCAAGCATCCCCCAAGAGGAAGTATTTTCCTGCCCTCCTGGATGCCCTCTTCTCTGACCCTCCAGCACCTCCTACTTAACCATAGTAAATTTAAAATAAGAACATAAAAAATTTTGGCAAGTACTTTAAAATACCTAAAACCTCTACCAGAACTACCTAGATGTATAAAAATAAAGCTTGTTCCCCACTGGCTGACATTAGTACTCACCATTTCATTGGGATGGACCAAAAACAAATAGATCCCTGGATGCTTTTCAAAAACTTGAAAGGAGCAATTGGCTTGTTCCAGTCGGCAAAGTGCTTCCACACACAGTTGATCTAAACCCAAGAAAGTTAAGGTGGTAAATGCGGAAATCTTCACAGCTTAGCAAGATTCCCTAACTCTGGCTTTTTGATTCTTTTGTATGTAAAACTTCATCCTTTTTTCCTTAAGGGAGGCATAAAATGCTAACAACACAAATGCAAGAACAGTATTTACACCAGAGGAATACTCAATTATGATCTCAAGGTGACTGGGGGATTATTCTGACTTTTAGTGCACCTTTTGTAATACTTGGCATAATCATCTCTATACAGTATCTCAGAAATATGGCTACAGGTTCAAATCCATACACATTTTGCATTTTGGTCAACCAAGGTTATTATACCTGGTACAGACCGAGGAGTTGGGTTTTCCTCCAAACACTACTCACCCCCTGCCATTACCTGAACTACCTGTTTACCCTGTCAGATCCATTAACTTCAGTTTTCCAAGTTTCAAAAGCCAGTATGCCCGTAACATGTCAGTAAGATATGCTAGTGGCTGGCTTTGGGGAGTGGGGGTGCCTAGAAAAGCCTCAGGGGTGCTGCTGGGGTGCCACTGATGCTCTGCTTCTTGACCCAGCTGGTAGCTAAGTGTAAAGAAGCACAAAGCTTATTTAATTTTCTGGATATATTATTCTTTAATACATTTAATACTTTATTAGAATTCAAAACCTAATTACTTTGAATGTACTGATTTAGGAAGAATGACCTCTCCAAATAAATCTTTAAATCTTTTCAGTTTAGTGAAATAAAAGGACAGAGAAACAAGTTTAATACAAAAAAAAATGTAACATCTGTTTTTCTAAGGGCAATTATATGGTCTCTTTACCTCAAATTTATGGCTGCAAAGAAAAAAAAAGCTTATGTATGTTCCCCCTGACTGGGCTCTAAACAAACCAGCCAAAAAACCACTTTAACAACCTCCTGAGGAAACAGAAATGCAGACTGGATGTTGGACGCCTTAAAAGTACGATTTCTTTCATTAGATATACTCAATTAGGAATTAGTTTTAAGAGACTCATAAGAAATACAAATAACCCTGGGCTAGACAGCCACACTGTTACCCCCTGGAGATGAGTGAAAAGTACGCAGCTCAGTGGTTCTCACCGCAGGGGAGCGTGCCCTGCTCCCTCACCGAGGCACAGTCACCGCTGTCTGAAGACATCTGTGGCTGTCCCAACAGCACAGCCACGGAGGAGGCTGCTACTGGGTGTGGGAGGATCCAGAGTGCTACTTAACATGCTGGAGTAAGCGGCCCAGTCCCTTACAACAAAGAATCATCCAGTCCGAAATTTCACTAGTGCCGAGATTAAGAACCTTGCTATGACATATTACAATGAAAACTAATTGAATAGACAGAGATACAGGACAGGCAAAGATAGCAAAATGTTAACAATTCTAGAATCTATATGGGGGTAGGTGGTGTTCCTCTATTTACTTATCTATGTTCAAAAACTGTCCTAATAAAAGGCTAGGAATAACACTAAATATCCCAGTAAGATTTGTAGCAAGCAAACTTTCACTATCAATCTGTAACCTCAATTCCAGTCACTTGTACACACGTAAGTACAGGGATCAGAGCCAGGGTCTGGACGTGCACTCTGCCCAGCCCCTAGTTCTTAACAGCAGCACGCCTGGCATATGCAGAGAAACGCCAAGACACTCACTGACACGCTCGTGAAGCAGCAGGTACGGGTACTTCAGTATTTCCAGCAGAGGGACGCGAAGCTTGTTCTCAAAGTCCTGGCCGCTGAAGTCAAACAGCTGTGCCTCCCCGTTGTTGTCCACGATGTACAACTCATCGTTATCCTCTTCAATTTCTCCCCTTATGGACTTCTCAAAGTGACTTATGAGACGGGAGGTCTCCAACTCCCACAGAACCTACAGCAACAGAGAAACGGCCAGCGCACTTTATCGCTCATCAGCACACGTGACGCCCGAGGGGACGCTCATGCTTGAAAGCCTTCCCCGAGTACTCGTCAGCACTTTCACTGTTTTCATTCAGAAGCGTGAAGTGCGGGCTGGAGATTTAGCTCAGTGGCATAAGCGCCTGCTTGGCAAGTGTGAAGTCCACAGTTCAATCCCCGGTACCACCAAAAAAACTGAGTGTCAAGTACCCGCCATCACACACTGACCTCCCCTCCCTTGGAAGTGCTGTTTGTTTTCAGACCACTGCAATAAAATGAGCATTACAGAAACTGAGTCACACGGATTTTTTGTTTTCCATGGCATGTAAAAGTTATCTCTACATTATTCAAGTCTGTTAAGTAGCACTATATCCAAAAAACAATGCATATAATTGCAAGTATCAAGCTGGGCGTGGTGGCGCACATCTGTAATCCCAGCACCTGGAGGATCACTGAGAGTTCGAGGCCAGCATGGGCTATGTAGTACGTCTAGGCCAGACAGAACTGCATAGCGAAACCCTGCCTGAAAAACAGAAACAGAAAGTACGTAATTGCTTTAAAATGTTTACAGCTGTCCGGGCCTTCCGAGTAGAGTCCTGCCTCAGGGAGGAGGCCTGCTGATCAGGCAAGGCTATAGCTGCTGAGGTCGGGGGGAGCTGTGGCAACTTCTTAGCAATCAAGTTCACTGCACAACTGACCCTTCTGCTCTTACAAGTTTTCTGCAGGGGTCCAGAGATCTAGCTCAGCAGTGTAAGTGCCTGCCCAGCAAGCGCAAGTTTGTGAGTTCGATCCCTGGTACCTCTCTCCCTGCAAACAAGTTTTCTGTAGCTTGATGATCTTTGACAGCATTTTACTTAGAAAACTTCTTTTGAAACTGTAGTCAGTCCTATCAAAGCTTGCTGCTGTTTTATCAATATAGTTTATGTAGTACTCTAGATCCTTTTTTTAATTTCCAAATGTGCATGGCATCTTCACAAGAAGTATTTTCCATCTCAACCATCACTCTATGGGTTGGAGATACAGTTCAGTGGCATAGCGTCTGCCTGGCAAGCACAAGGTTGTGAGTTCAATCGCTGGTACCAGAAAAAAGAAATCACTTTACTTAGCCACAAGAGGCTATCTCCATCCCTGTACATTTCATCACAAGCTTGTGTCACTACTGTCACAACCTCAGGCTCTACCAGTCACTCTAGTTCTCTTGCAGGTTTCACCCCACCTGATTTTTTGGTACCAGGATTGAACTCACCACCGCACACTTGCTGTTTCACTTTCTCATTCGTATGCTCATTGGAATAGTGCTTGGTGTGCACATCTGTCATCTCAGAACTTGGGAGGCTGAGGCAGGCCGTCAGTGGAAGGCCAGCCTGAACTGCACAGGGAGTCCCTGCCCACCCCCCAAAGTCCGGCTGGGTGTTTGGCAGGCCTCACCTTCAGCCCAGTCTGGCCTCCTCCCTGAATTTAATCTTCCAGCACTTGACAAAGTGAGAGGCGCTGACTCTTCCTTTGGGGGGGGGGGGGTTCCTAATCTCATTGTGCTTGGCTGTGTTTCAGAGACCAAGGCAGTCCCAAAGGAAGATGTCATGGTTTGTGTTTGTGGCCCCCAGGACTCATGAGTCTGCATTGTTCATTTGTGATGGCTCATTGTATAGTGCTTGGATTGATGGTGTCAGTGCTCCACCCACATAGGGGTGGAGCCAGGATGTAATATAATGGCAGGAAGAAGGTGTGTCTTTCTCTTTGCTGGCTCGAGTTTGCTGTTGCCGGCTGCCATGAACTGCAGCCCCGCCATGCCTGCCTGTCTTGGAGCCAACTGAGTGTGGACTGAAACCTCCAAAAACTGTAAGAAATAAACCTTTCCTTTCCCAACTTTGGGCTTCAGGTATTTTGTCTCAGCAACGAGTAAAAAGTAACTAAGACAGAAGGAAAGAGGTGGAACCCGGCCAGCCAGCACGGCATTTTCTAAATCATCTGATTACACAGGTACGGTTTACTAGCGCTCCAAAACCATTGTAACAGTTAACATCCAAACTCATTCATCACAGATCCCCATAAAAGACAGTGTAATAAGGGAGTAGGAAGCATGCTAGAGTACCAAAACTGGCCACGTCTCAGAAAATGAGTGCGTGCTACTGGAAAACAGCACTGGCAAATTTGCTCAGCGCAGGCTTGCCACAAACCTTCAAACTGTCAAATACACTGTCTCTATGGGGCACAAGAGACCAAAGAGGGAAATAAGGTACGGCTGTACTGGGTTTGCAGAAGACACTTTCTAACGGGGCCCCGCTGGCAGGCTCCGGCCCCGGAGTATGGGAGGCTCACACACTTCGGCAGTGTCACCACCAGGAGCTCCACACCCTCGGGAAATAATGTGAAGGGGAACGAAGAGCTGGAGCTCCTTCATCTCCAGCCTGAGCCAGGCCCTCCGCTCCCCATCTCTCCTTCCTCGTCGTGACCATGGGTGCCAACAGCCTGAGATGTGAGCTCTTGGAGAAGGCTGACCTCACCATTAGCAAAGCTACAATGCAAGCTTCTCAACACAGCTCATAAGCAATCAGCCCCGTTCCCCACACAGTACACAACTGCAAGACCTGTGCTGCCTCTCCTCACACAAATGTAATAAACCAGGCTCTCCATGGAAAAGAGCACCGACCAATAAAACCCACCCCAGCCACTCACCTATGTCAGCGGGGCACGGGTGTAAAAACACAAAACAAAACCTACTCCATACACAACTTCTTTTCAGCAAGTGTTTTATACTAAAATGGCATGGAAGGTAGATCCTAAAACTCTGCTGGGGGGTCCGGTTCAAGTCCATGGGTGGTAAGCAATCATTGAGCCCGATGCCCCTGTATCATAGTGAGGCAGGTACTAGACATTCTTTCACTTCTAGAACTCCCATCACACCCTCCCATGAATGCCTCTGATGAGCCAACTCGTCTCTTCCTACTTACAACATTCCGAGAGTGACGCCCCATAATATACATTACCTCATGCAAGAACGGCACCTCATCCCTGGCCTTGTGGTACTCGGCCACACACTCCAGGCAGTAGCAGAGGTCTTCATCTGCTGTCTGGAACTCACGGGCCCGGGTCTTGGACGCGTAGCGCTTGAGGACGTCCGTGGTGGAAATCCCACCTGGTGTGCACCAACAGCACGTGCTCATTCTGCACCTGTGGCCAGAACGGAGGCACTCTACTACCTAAGTCAGAAACAGCACCCACACCTGCTCGGGGTGTAGGACGTGACACTTCCCACTTCTGGCCCAGTTTTCAACTTAAATGAGCCTCCACAGCCACAATGCTCTGCAAGACCCTTTGTTAATCACACTTACGAACCACAGGGCAGGGATGTGGTAGGCTCAGTGGTAGGAGTGCTAGCCTAGGGTGCCTAAGGCCCTGGGTTCAATCCCCAGCACCGCAAAACAAAAGCAAATCTGAAAGCCCATCCTCAGTGATAAACAACATAAAGCAATATACAGCTGTGCTGCAGAAAAGGCTTAAAACTATGTAGAGGAGCCGGGCACAGTAACACATACATGTAATCCCAGCACTCTGGACAGCTGAGGCAGGAGGATCACAAGTTCGAGCCCAGACTGGGCAATTCAGTAAGAGCCTGTCCCCGAAGTTAAAAAAGTTTAAAAGGGCTGGGAGATATCTCAGGGCAAGGCCCTGGATTCAAGCCCAGGACTGCGAGAAAAACCCACTGCGTAGAGTACTGATGGGAAACACCCAGACACAAGCTTACTTGTTTTCAAATACAGATTTTTGGCAGCCAACTATAAAGCTCAGGAAATCTTTCACTTTCCCAGAAGCCCTGTTCCAGAACTCTCTGTCAACATAAAAAATCCATACATATAAACCCATAATAATAACAGAAACAGAATCGGGGCATGTGCCACACACTTGTAATTCTAGGAGAGATGAAGCAGGAGGATCACTGAGTCCAAGGCCAGCCCAAACTACATAATGAGTTCAAGGTCAGTCTACACTACAAAGTGAAACCTTGTCTCAAAAAAAAAAAAAAATGCCAGGCATGGTGGTGCATGGCTGTAATCCCAGCACTCCGGAGGCTGAGGGAGGAAGGTCATCATGAGTTTGAGGTCAGTGTGGGCTCTCACTTAGGTAATGCGTTCAAGGCCAGCCTGCACTACACAGTCAGAACCTGTCTTAAACAAAACGAAACCAGATACAGATTTTTTTTTTTTTGGTACCAAGGGTCAAACTCTCGACCTCACACTTTCCAGGCAGGTGATTATGCCACTGAGCTAAATCTTCAGCCCCAGAATTTTCTTGTTTAGAAAGCACACAAACACAAATCTGTGCGTATATGTATGTACACATACATATGTATGAACTGGCATCTATAAATCACTGCTCTTCAGTGCACCACAAATTTATGGCTATAAATGTTAACAACTTTCTACTAATGAGTAGTTTTTTTATTCCATTCAACATTTTTATACCATCAGAACACTCACCATCCAAACTCAAAAATTAAAGGATTACAATAACCTACACCTAGCACTACCAAAGAGAATGAAATAGCAAGACAGTATAAGGAAAGAGGAAATCTCACAAATCAAATCTGCCAAAGGTTTGACAATACATATTATACATATAATTATATACATACATACATATATATATATATATATATATATAAAAGATACATGAATGTATTACACATATATGGTGGGTTCATCAGAACTACAAATGATATGAACCTGAGAGGATTTGGAACCAGAATCAATCAAAGTCAGAACCCAGAGAGATCTCTCTGAGACATAATAAATATAAGTTAAGACACTATTTTTTTCCCCTATAACTAAATGCACTTACAAAATCTAGTAGAAAAGCCAGGGATGTAGCTCACTGGCCTAAGTGCCTGCCTGGCAAGCACAAGGTCCTGAGTTTGATTCCTGGTCCTAAAAGAAACAAAACTAATGGAAAGACCATTAGCCCACACTGCACTACGGCCACATAAAAAGCCAACGCATGTGCTGATCATACATGAAGTCATCAAGGAGGGCAGAAGACATGCAAAGTGAGGCTAAAGGGTGGGACAGAGAAAGAGAATCAAAAATGTCCCGCAGGGCCAGCGAGTCAGCTCAGTGGCCACTGCCTGCCTGGGAAGCACAAAGTCCTGAGTTTGATTCCTGGTACCGAAAAAAAAAAACAAAAAACAAAAACGCTGCTTATATCTATGGTTGAAACAATTTAAACCCAAAAACCAGGCTAAGGGAGGAGCCCTTGCTCTGCAAGGCGCCTCTGCCCCTCTGCCCCTCTGCCCTGCCTGGAGCCAGCACACAGAGGCCTCTACAAACCAGGACACAAACTAAACCTTTCCTCCTTAAAGCCGCAGACGCTGACACCCCTGGGAAACACAGCCTGTACCAATCAATCAAGGTTGAACTAACTGAGGATAAGCCACCTGCTACACGCTGGCATAACCTGATAAAGAACCTAAAGCACTTTCCCGGGCCTGTGGGACAGGGTCCCTGAGACCAACACCGGACACAGGCCAACTGAGTACTGGGCAAGCAACTCCCTGCCTGTCTGCTGCAATGAAGGGAAGACTCGACACACGAGAGGAATCGAGTGTTCTTTCATATGGAAACAATCATGAGGAACTGGGCTGGAAAATTATCCAACGGACCTGATCTTTGAAAACTTCACCTTCAGTTAACTATCAACCAGATTGGGAGGGAGTTACAGATCCAACTGTAACTTCACTCCACAAAGCCAAGGACCCTGACCCATGCATTCTCATCAGCGCAGAGACCATCCTAACAGAGGTAGAGACTGGCTAGTGAGATACAAAAAAGTCCTCCTCTTCTATTTAAAGCATATACACACATCAAGAACTTAACGGGCAGACAGCGTATTAAAATTTTCCTTCCTTTAGGAAGGAAAACGAAGACAAGAGCAAACTTAAAGTCCCTGAATGTTTGGATACAGAAATTTGCAGCAAAAGTGACTATGGGGATGGGGAGGTGGCTTGGTGAGAAGCAGAGTCTGCATAGCACACACAAGGCCCAGGTTCAACAAAAAACACAAAAGCATCCTTTACACTCGAGAGGAATCTGCCAAAGGGAAACCATTAACACACTGCACAAAACCGCACTTCACAGTTGAAGCTCTCTGAAAACTCCCTAATGTCTTCCTAACCGTGATTAGGTACTCATATGTGAATGTGTAGAAATAAGCAAACGCTTGGTCCACCTTGAGAACTCATTTGTAAGATTAAACATGGCTTTCACTTATACTTCAGCAGCCTACTAGCCTCATGCTTTTACAAACAGCTCAAGGAACTTTCAATATATTAAGTATATATGAGAAGAGCCTTAAAAATAAGATGTCAAAAAAGGGGTTAAAACTCATTTAGAAGTAGTACGATTCAACTGTGTTCAAAAATTGAAAGTTTCCTGAAAAATGGAACAAAAGAACACAACGTGACTTACACAGTTTCCATCTGGAGAAAAAACTAGTGATGCAAGTTCAGCTACGGAAATCTGCCCTCTCCTGATACTATTCGATTCCTTTCACCAATGCCTACCACTCGTAAGGTCAGTGCAGGCGAGGCACCAACAGCGAAGAACCAGGAAGAGACACATTCTTCACTATGTTTTGGTAACATACAATTATGTTATTTAAGAGAAATATTACCAAAATACTGGCAAGTTAGTGGTTTGCATTTAACAGTTTGGGGAAGTTAGTAGTCTGCTGGGAGTGACCTCAGACCTAAATATAGGAGGTGGAACATCAGAAATTTCTCACACATCATTGTTTCAAGCATGGCTTGGCAGATAAAAAACCGGCAATCATACTACACTTCAAAAAAACATAATTATGAGACCACAATGTAAATAAAATCTTGAATACTCTAATTACCAGAGCAGATGACAAAGGTAGTGTATTAAGAAGAACTACAGTGTACTTTTCACTTCCCTCAGTGAGGCAGCCCGCATACTTTCACATTCCAGAAAGAACAGTCAATTTCCTCTAAATTGATGGGAGGCACTGTCTTGCCTAACCCAGGTAAGACCATCAACAAACATGCTGTTCTCAGCAAACAGCAGGAATCCATTAATGAGCCATGAGGTCCTCGGTACACAGAGAAAGGTCATAAAGATGAGACCAGGACAGGCACTCTCCCCAGCACGGAGTGCCTGATGTTATCTGCACATGTGCCCGGCCTTCCAGACCTTTCCATGAACTCATCCGTCCACTGGCATCCCAAGTGGTGACTCCTTCAGAGAACAGCCCCCTCCCTAACCCTGATCTAACTCTGCCTCTCCTCTGGGGGAAGGGCTGACGTCTTTCCGGCTCTCAGCCTGTCTCCATGCCGATGAAGTAAAACTGGCCCAGTGCTTTTACAAAGCCTGACCGGTGCTCTCTCGGGCCATTTATCAGTCACTGCCACAAGAAGGGAAGCGCATGGAATGGAGATACACACCGGACACTGCTGCAGGGCACTGCACACAGAGAAGCCTTCTCTCAAACGCCCACACTATGTGCAGTTATGTTCCAAAATCTAAAATCACTGCAGTTCAAAAGCTAAGCCCAAGAAATCTCAGTGGCAGAGAATTACTCTGCTACTCTTTAAGCAGAAAATTACTGCTTATAAATGACTAAAACCAGTATGTCTTCAGAGAGTAAAAAGGACCTTCACTGGACTGGAACCGCTTAGAATCACTACTGAACCACAGACAATAATCAAGATGCAAGACACAAACAGGTCATTCCCTGAGCACCAACTCAAAGGACAGCTTAAGATGCTTCATCAAAGACCTAACTTTAACTTTCCACAGACTTATCTTCGGGGTACCAACATCAGTACTAACTTGCCACAAACATCAAGCAACCTCTTTTACTCTTCCCAGTTAATTTTGCTGTTGTTGCGTTTTGAGACAGGGTTTCATTCTGTAACTCAGGCTGGTCTTAAGACAACTCTCCTCCTCAGCCTGCTGTGTGCTGCAACTGTAGGTGTGTGCCATGACACCCAGTGAACCTTTACAAAGAGATGGATACTCACTACCTCCCACTCCTTCACTCCTTTGCACTCTAGCTTCTACCCTTGCACTGTACTGCATGTGCAAAAATTTTTACAAAACCCTTAGCAACACACTATTACCAAATCTAACAGGCTCTCTACCTGACGCTAAATTCTATGAAATGCTACACCACCACACTGTCCTCCTGACACTACTGTTCAACCTAATAATCCCCAAAAATTACTTCTGTTGCTCAACATCTAAATGTCCCCAAAGGCTTGAGATTCCTAACCTCTTCATTCAATATTCTATTTTTAGGTGACCTTAAATCATTTCAACTACATTTATACTAGAGCATCCCAAAGACAGAAAATGTAATTTTCCTTTTTCTTTTTTCTTGAAATAGGATCGTCTATTCCCCAGGCTGGTTTGAAATTCCTGGTTCAAGTAGTCCTTCTGCCTTGGACTAGCAAGTAGCTGGACTACAAATGCACCCAATTTCAACCTAAAACAAGCAAAAACACACTTTTCTTGAAATGCCTGGGATCTAAAATATATCTTTACTTGCATGCCTGGCAGAGCAAAGTCCTTCCTCTGTTACCCGTCCTGCAGTCTCTGGAATGACAGCACTTCTATCTATTCAACTTTCAAACCAGTCACCTACCCTACCCTATGTTCTCCTTTCCCCTTAGTCCTGTCTCTAAGTTCCAGAGTCTACCTCTTTAGGTCTACATCTCTTCTTTCTCAGCGTTGCAGCCAATGCCTTAATTTACTATATTTCATTATTTGTCCAACGACCAAAAAAGCCTAAATGATCGCTTACCAGATCCACCACCAATCACTGCTCCAAAATGTTGCCAGAAGCCCAAGCACACTCCAGATCTCAAAGGCACAAGTGCTCCTCCTCTGGCTTTGGAATAAAATTCCAACTGTTGAACTCAACACATTAGGCCCTCCACAATCCGGCCTCAGCAACACACTGGTGCCTCATACTTACCTCCTCCTAAAACACTTCATGGTGCTTGGCATTCCCTGACTTTACAGAAGCTCTTCTATCTGCCTTGAATACTCATCGTTCGTATTTCTGCCTGGTTCTTAATCTCAGGAACTTTAAGAAAAAAAGTAAATGATGAGATCGAGTTCGTAAAACTCATATTCAGGTTTAAAGCCCTCCACTAGTGGTTTTTGCAGGAACCGCTGATGTGCAATGTTCCCTGAGTGCGCTGCCTTTGGAAGGCCTGTAGCATTCTCTCTCTCCTCTAGCTCTTTCCTCTGACCGCCTTCCTGCTCCAGCCTAGGGAACTTGTGTATGGTTCTAACCTGTGCTCAACACGGGGGAGGAGGGTCTGAACTCCCACTCACTCTGCTGCCCAACGCTCGGTGATGGTGATCGCGAGTCTCTTAGGGAAAGGACCTGGTCTATAGAGCTTTGCATCGCCAGTGCTTGACACATATGCAACGACTGACGCAGTCTTCAAAGTTTAAAATAATTACCTTGGCAAACGGCCTACAGAGAAGTGATTTTCTCAGTTCGGATGGCGGGCCTCGGGAACGATGGACTTACACATAGCCACACCTCGGGCTCCAGGAGAACTCTTCTGAGACGTAAAAGAAACACAGCTGAAAAAGTGCTTCCAAGCGGCCCGGTCAGCCCTACTTGAGGCAGCGACGGCGACAGCCAGTGCCTCCACTAAGGCAGCTGCACAGGTCGACAGCCTCCTCCTGCAGGGCCTCCTCCTGTGGGGCCGCCCACGTCCGGCCAGCCGAGCGCTCGGGCACCCGAACCCCGGATCCGCCAACGCAGGTAGCTTCACAGGACCCACGCAGTCTGTGCAGCCGTTCTCCGCCCACTCCAGGAGCGGCGGAGCCCGCGGTACGATGCTCCGTCTTTAAGGCGGGCCCCCGAGGGCGCGACACCGCCGGCAGAATCCCTGGCCTCCGGGAAACGGCGCAGCGCGAGCAGAACCCGCTCATCCGCGCCGCCGCCGCACGAGGGCGCGCAGTTCTGCGGCGCCGTGCTCACAGAAGCACAGAGCGAGGCGGCCCGGGACGCGCCCGCCGCGAGCGCGCTCCCGGCGCCCGCCCCTCCCCCGCCGCAGCCCGCGCGGTCCCGCCTTCCGGGCCCGCGGCCATCAGCGCGTAGAGCTCCTCACCCCGCTCGGCCGCGTCCACCGCTAGCGCACCTCCATGCCTAGGCCCCGAAGTCAGCGTCGCCGGAAGTGGGGGACGACGCCCCAGCGTCCAACCTGCAGCCGCCGCGAGCGCAGACCCCGCCCCCGCGCGGCGCCCTCCGTCCTCCGGCCCGCCCCGCCGCCCCTGTCTTGTTTTGGTGCGCCGAGGGGCGGGGCGTGGGGGAGGGAAGCCGCTAGAGGCCACGCCCACGTGCCCGCGCTTGGCGTCACTTCCGGGGTGCAGGGACTCGACCAATCGGGAGCGCCCTCTTGAGTGGCCCGGCCCTGGAGCCGCAGAGGTGGGAGGCTGGACCGAGTGGCGGCTCCGCGCGCCTGACCCGGGGGGAGCGAATGGCGAGGCCGCCGGGGCTCGAAGGCTCTGCACGCCGCGGACACGCGGGGGTCCTAGGTCTGCGCCGCACTCACAGAGGGCCGGAGACCGGGGCAGCCAGACGAGGCGATCCGCACGCGCAGAGCGGGTCCCGGACGGCTCCCAGGCTAATATAGACCGGAAAGTGAGCTCGAAAGCGGAGCGGAGCGGAGCAGGCGGTTCTGGCCGTGTCGCGCCGCGCCTTCCTCCTGCCGTCCCCGCTCCTCTCTGCCTTTCTCAGCGCCCAGGTGGCCGGGCAGGTGGGCGGGCGTTCTCCAGAGCTAGACCCGGACGATCTGTAAACACGCACTGAGGGACGAACACTTTGTATAACTGAAAAGAATGTTAGGTTAAAAAAGCAAGCAAGGGGCTGGGGATTTAGTTCAGCGGCATAAGCGCCTGCCTTGCAAGCAGGCAGTCGTGCGTTCGATCCCTGGTACCGATAAAAAGGAAAAAGACCCAAAAAAAAAAAAAAAAAAAAGGTATTAAAAAAGCAAGCAGCACACGATCCCAGAGTACACCGGCGGGCGTGGTGGTGCACAATTCCAGTCTCAGCAGTCTGGGAGGCAGAGGCAGGCAGGCACGGTCTCGAATTTTAAAGATAAAGAATACATCAGTAAACTTAAATGGGCTGGCGAGGTAGGTCGATGTGAAAGCCTTGGGTTAAATTCCCAGAACCAATGGGAAGTAACAAAAATCCAAAGTAAAAATTGCACATGCAAACCACGTTTTTTAACACCTGCTCCTGACCCTGATGATGAGGCCTCAGCCCTGGCTTCTACTCTAACACAGGACAAATAAGTCATCCCTGGTAGCGACTCGTACCAGACAGGAGAGAAAATGATCTTACCCCGAAGAACCCTACTCCAGGAATGAAATGCACAGCAAGAATGGGTGGGGGAGACCCAATCCAGCGAACGTTCTAGAAAGGGGCGTGGCTTCCCGACAACTGTTGGGATTTACCCCAGCCTTGGCCGTTATTCCTCCTCCCTCCCATGCCACAACCTCCCCCACGCCGCCCGTTATCTCCCCACTATGCACAGTGTTTACGTTGTACTATAGTCAATTGTATATGTGGTCTTTTTGGTTGTTGGGGATTTTTTGTTTGTTTAGATTTTTGTTTGTTTGTTTAGTTTTTTGCGAGAGGATCTCCCTATATAGTCCAGGCTGGCCTCGAATTCCAGGTGATCCTCCACCCTCCTTCCTGCAGGGCTTACAAATATACACCATCTTGCCCTACTTGCATGCTTTTTAAAAGAAGGCTTTTTGTAGTACATTTTTTTTTATAAGCCAGTCAAATTTAGCAGTGGGAGGGTGGTATACCAACTTTAGTGACACTAATGTTAATAAGTTCTGATAACCCACTGCCATCGGACCAGCCTGTAACACATCTTTTTAAAAATACAAGGATCTAAAAAGTTATTGAAAATTAGAAAATTAAAAGGAGGGGAGAGAGCTTTCCAAGATTGTTAGGAAAAAGAAGACAACAGAGAAGCTCAAGAGGCAGGGCGGGTTTATTTGGAGCAAGCCTGAGAGCTCTGGTGTGAGGCCCAGAGTGGCCTCTCTCCTACAGGCCGTGAGGTCTTTTGCAGGGTTGGGAGCCTAAGGGAGGCCATGAAGGGGAAAGTCCAGTGGGAAGGAATCTCGCCGGCGGCCTGCCAGAGACAAGGCCTGACAGATGCAGGGTGGGGCCTTGTCGGGAGCAGGGCTGCAGGACAGTGGGAGTCACGGTCATGGATGGAGCCGTGGGTACTGGGCCTCACTGGTCCCTGATTGCCCGTCGTCAGCAGGTGTGACAGCAAGGCAGGCGGAAAGAGGCTTCCAGTGGCCTCGGGTCAGCCGAGGATGGCAGCAGGGTTGGATTCTTTCACACTGGCCAAACACCTGGGTTTCTTTATCCATGCTTCACATTCTGGGGTATATCCATGCTAATTGCATGACATAGATTTAGCTGCATATTGCGTTTTTTACTGACTTTAGTGAAGTAGCTATGAAAGAATATAAATGCCAAACTAGTCACTATAGCACAAGCAACCTGTTACGGTCTGAAAACTGGTGGTCAACTTAATGCCAGCTGGATTACATCAGCATGCACTGAGAGAAGATGCTCCACCTGAGGAGGGTTGTCAGGATAAATAGGTGGAGAAGAAGAGAGGTGTTGGAAGGGATTGAGGCGTGAAGGAGGCATTGTGGGTTCTCTTACAAGTTGCTGTGTGAGCTGTTGGTTCTCCTGGAGAAGCTTTGGTCTTCACATCGAGCACTGCTTCCTGGCTCTGGAGGGGAAGACATGTGCTGCCTGTTCTCCAGGATGAACCTGTCACGCTGCTTCCTGGCACGTACCCAACTGTGCTTGTCGTCAGAGGAGCTTGGGGCCTCCGTGTCACTGAGGACAGCTGTGGTGCCTTTCAGGACCCCGCTCTTTGTTGTGAGTGTGACTTCTCGGCTCCAGTGTAGAACCCTCATCCTGCTAGCACAGCTCCTTCATCCTGCTGGCATAGACTTTCTGGCTTCCACCACTGACTCTTGGGTCTTCCCAGCACAGATCTGTAAAAGAGACTGATGTGAGTCCTTCTTGTGGGCTCTGGACTTCCAGTTGGACTCGTGGAGGCGTTGTCCTGAGCTCTGGGTTTTTATCTGGACTCATGTGGGACATTGCCATGGGGTTTAGACTCTTGACTAAATAATCTATGTCGTTGGTGTTGCGGATAGATTTCCTGCATTCTCCTGTGTTAACTTCCGGTGACCATTATAAAAATATTATAAACTCCATGTCCTGATCTGAATTGTCTTCTGTGTACAACCCTTGACTACAACACAATCCATCTTCCTGAGTCCTGAACATGGAGACCTGGTAAACTGGGCCTGGAGCCCAAAACGATGTTGAGTGCACATGAAAATAGTCATATTGTGTTGGAGACCGGGTTGTAACACAGGGTCCTCTGGCTGTGTTGGAAAACAGCCTGTGTGCAGGACCTGAGCTGCTGACACCCCTGCTCCACAGCAATCAAGCTGCCAACTTAGAGATAACACAGTTCTCTTCATTGGCAAAATTTACAAATTGAAGAAGTCTTCAAACTGCCCCCCAAGGTCCTGCTGAGTTCCCATACTAGCCTCACTATCTTCTTCCATTGTTTGAAAACCAAATAAATATGGCCATCCAGAGTTCTTTCTCCTAATCCCAGGCAATGTCAAATTCCATTAGAAGGTTTTAATTCCTCTAGAGCCCCAAAATTGTACCATTTGTTTGTTTTTGTCTTTTTCCTTTTTATCGGTACCAGGGATCGAACTCACGACTGCCTGCTTGTAAGGCAGGCGTTTATGCCGCTGAGCTAAATCCCCAGCCCCCCATTTGTCTCTATTAAAGCTGATTGTTTGCCATCTACTTGTCTAGGAAATCGGGGCTAGGCCAAGACCCCATAATATTCAATCTCATTTCTCCCTCACCCTCTCTTGTTATTCTCTCCCCCCCCCCCATATCTGTCTGGTTCAGGCCATGACAGTGGACACTGTCCTTCTACAAGAGGCTCCCTCAGGGAGAAGTGGCGCTGAGGTCTCAAGTAGGGCTGGCACCTGCTCTGTGTAGCAGTGCTCATCATATTGGGTACCACCTGCACCCCAAGCCAGCCAGGCCCCTCTGCACTGCATTCACCTCTCTGTGGTGAAGGCTTCATGGCAACCCACCAGCACTGCTCAACCTGAAGGTGCGGCACCCCCACACTCTGCTGGGCTGCAGAGACTGTGGCTGAGTTCCTGGAGTGCACTCCCTGATGGGCGATAGTATCAAATGGCCAGTGTGGCTCTGGCTGAGTAACAAAGGACCCAGTGTGGCCCTGTGCACCTAGCCAGGTTTCCAGTAGACGTGAACTCCGGCAGGCCCAGGGTGGGGGGCTGGGTGGTGGCTCCAGGCTTCCTGTGACCTGGTTTGTGCCCCTCTGCTCAACCTTTCCTCCCTCCCTGCCTCCCTCCAGCCTCCCTTGCTACAGTCACAGCTGGATGTGTTGGTGCCATGTGGGAGACCCTGTCTCCTGGAGAAGGGGACACAGTGAAGCCCAGGGTTCCCAGGCCCAGCAGGCGTTCGTTCCAGGCCTTCACCATGTGTTCACCCACCCAGCTGTGCGGAGCCAGTCACCATGCTGAGTGCTGAGATGCAGCCCTGAGTGGGACAGATGTGGTCCTGGCCAGCCACAGGGCTCACGTTCTCATGTTGCAGGGTGGAGAGGCAGAGAGACAGAGAGAGAGAAAGAGAGAAGGGGCTGGGGATTTAGCTCAGCGGCATAAGTGCCTGCCTTGCAATCAAGCAGTCGTGAGTTCGATCCCTGGTACCGATAAAAAGGAAAAAGGAAAAAAAAAAAAAAAAAAAAAAAAAAAAAAAAAACCCAAAAGAGAGAGAGGGGGCTGGGGATTTAGCTCAGCGACTTAAGTGCCTGCCTTGTAAGCAGGCAGTCATGAGTACCGATAAAAACGAAAAAGACAAAAAAAAAAAAAAAAAAAGAGAGAGAGAGAGAAAAAGTGGGAGGGAAGGAGGGAGAGAGGCCAAATAAAATAATCACCACTGGAGGTGACACCCATGTGGAAAATACCAGTTCCCAGACTCTGCCACCAGATGATGCCCCACATGCCTGAGATAGGGCTCTGTATTCTAGGGGGCTGTGAAGCCTGGCAGAAGAGGGAACCACAGGTCTGAGCAGCCTCTGCCTGCAACCCTATCAGAAATTAACCTGCCAGTCTGACAGCCCTGCATCTGAGAATCTACCTACAGGTCTCCCTGCACAGATAAGAGAGAACAGGCAAAACCACTTCCATCACCGTACTGGTTCAAGAGCAAAGGAACAGAAATAACCTGGTGCCCCGCAGCAGGTGCTGGGATGGTTAATGCTGCATCCACACCGGGAATCCCATGGAGTACTGTGTGGCAAAGGACCCGACCTGCAGCTACGGACAAAATGGCAAGGGGAGGAGTGGACCATGCTGCCCGCGTATAAGGAAGGAGGCGGGGCTGCAGACCACCTCTTACCCACCAGGATGGCCACGCTAATGCTAACAAACAAACAGCAGAGAAAGCGTGGCAGGCTGTGGAGTAGTCCACACCCTCGAGCACGCTGGTGGGAACGCGGTGTGGTGCATGGGAATGGAAAACCCCACAGCACAGCGGCTCCTCCACCAGTGTGGAGTCACCACGTGACTTCCAGACACAGACCTGGAGACCCGCAGCAGGGGCCCCCGAGGGCTCTGCACGCTCATTCACAGCGGAACAGAGCAGAGCAGCAGACAGGACAGGGGCGGCAGAGCGCAGTGTAAGGTGCAGGGATGGAATTCAGCCTTTCGGAGGGAGGCGACTCTGGCCCAGGGGCAGCCGGGTGGACCCCGGGGCCACGGGGCTAAAGGAGGGAGCCGGTCACAGAGGACAGGCATGGAAGACAGGCACTGTGGCCCTGAGCGCGGCTTTGAGAGGGTCAGGAGGGTGCAGGGAAAGCGGCAGGGTGGCAGCGGGGCGGGAGAAGGGGCTGCATTTCTGGGGACAGTGTCAGGTTTGCGGGGGCTGATAGCTCCGGAGCTGGGCGGTGGTGGTGGTGGCCACACGACATCGTGAATGTAGTGACCGCCACTTAACTGCACACTTACAGTGGTGACAGGAGGGCGGACTGTGTGACTGCAGCACAGCGGAAAGCAAACAGGAGAGAGGAGAAAGGGACACAGGTGTAGGTACGTGTGTGCACGTGTGTGTGCTTGTGTGTGCACACAGGAGTGCGCTTGCTCCCGGGACCTGGCAGATGGATCTGGGGAAAGGTGCGGAGCACAGAGCACTGGCCGCTCCTGCAGCCTGGGTTTTGGACCCGCAGAACACGGGGTGGAAGCCTGTGCAGGGGTGCCGGGGACCCAAGGACAGGTTTTGGTGGCCGACTCCTGGGCTGGGACCCAGACTCCTCCTTGATGGCCGTGAGCCCTGGGTATAAGTCACCCCTGTCCCTGTGCCTCTGTGCTCATCTGAGCCCGAGGACAGCATGGCCCTGGGTGGCTGGGAGGGAACAGCCAGGGGCGCTGGGCCCGGAACCTGGCGATGGGGCCGGCCCGGCCCACTCGTACCTGAACCCTTCCTTTAGCTCCATCCTGAAGAGGTCCAGGATGAGTGGCCAGTTTGTCCGAATAGGTACAGTGGGGACTCGACCCTTGCCAGGTCTTTCCTGCCCACGGGCTGGAACTCTCCTGGGCACTTCTCAGTTTTCTTAACTGCTCTGGGGGTTGAACCTAGGGGGCCTCTCTCACTGTCCTTTTTCTTTTTGAAGACAGTTTTGTTGAGTTGTTCAGGTGGGACTCGTGCTCCTCCTGCCCCAGGCCTTTAGGCTACGCCTCCGTGACCAAGCCACGCCCACCACAGCCACACCACACCTCTGCAACCACCTCTTCTGACCTGGCCCCCAAACTCTAAGGGCACATTTGGCTTTAAACCCATCAATGGCCTAAACTACGGATGACTGTCACTCCCCCAGGGACTATCATTTCCCCAAGCCTGGTTTACAAGTGCATGAGGCTTGGGGAACATCCAGGTAGAAACCCCAACAGTTGATACCATTCACAGATATAGGAGTGTTTCCTGAACTTGTCTACCTGGTGACCAGGGTCCAGAACACAAGACTGGCAGTGTTGGGGTGTAATCTGTAGAGGACCAAACCCAGAAAAGGTGAGGGCACGGCCACAGGACACACAAGTAGAGCTCAGCCTTGGCGTGGATGGGAGCTGAGGTGCCTGGTCACTGCAGGGAAGGGGAAGCTGCTCTCTGATGTTGCTCAATGCCCAGGCTGGGCATGAAGTTCCTGCCTCAGCCTCCCTGAGTCTGGGATGCAGGCATGTGCCACCACACCCAGCTTGAAGGCTCTTGAAGCAATTTTGTTGTGGTTCTGACCTTGTTTCCTGTGAGATGGGCGTTGTTTCTGTCTTTACCCGGGTTCACTTCCTGAGACTAGGCTTCACTGCCTCCTCCCCATCGCTGCTCCCTGCTGCCCTCTCCTCTTCTGCTGCCGCTGCTACTGCTGGCCTGGCTGCCCCAGCATGGAGTCTGCCGGCCCCTTCCCACAGTGAGCAAGCTGAGTGAGCCAGCCATGGGACTCAGGGCCCCAGCCACGGGCAGGGTGGCTGCCTGAGCGCCCTCCCCAGGCCTGGATTCCACACGCCCTGGACCACACTATCATTTCCCTTAGGGCCTCCTCAGCTGCTGGACTTCCTTGACACACACTGCCCACCCTGCTCGGCTTCTCTTCTCAGCTACTAGATTCTCACACAGACAGGAGGGTGGCAAAGGTCAGATCTGGTGGCTGTTTTGTGAGACAGGATCTCCAAGGAATCCAACCCTGCTGCCATCCTCGGCTGACCCGAGGCCACTGGAAGCCTCTTTCCGCCTGCCTTGCTGTCACACCTGCTGACGACGGGCAATCAGGGACCAGTGAGGCCCAGTACCCACGGCTCCACCCATGACCGTGACTCCCACTGTCCTGCACCCTGCTCCCGACAAGGCCCCACCCTGCATCTGTCAGGCCTTGTCTCTGGCAGGCGGCCGGCGAGATTCCTTCCCACTGGACTTTCCCCTTCATGGCCTCCCTTAGGCTCCCAACCCTGCAAAAGACCTCACGGCCTGTAGGAGAGAGGCCACTCTGGGCCTCACACCAGAGCTCTCAGGCTTGCTCCAAATAAACCCACCCTGCCTCTTGAGCTGGTATCTTTGTTTTCTCTTTTTTTCTAACAATTTCACTATGTAGGTCAGGCTGGCCTTATTAACTGTCGACAACGCTGGCCTGGAGTCCACGGTGGTGGTCCACCTACCTGCCCTAGCTTCCCGAGGGCTGGGAGAGAAGCATGGGAGACAAGTGAGAAAAGCTGTACGTTTTACAAAGTACTTGCACATAAATTTATTGGGTCAAATGTACTGCTCCGGTAATCACCCCTGTCACACATGGACATTTGTGGGCTGCTTCCTCAAAGCCATTCGGCCCTTCTTCTGCTACAGGGACCCTAATTTTCCACTGGGACATTTCTCTCAGCTAAATCCAGCAGTAGCTGGACTGGGTTGGCTGGGCCAATCCTGGCCTCCTGGCTACTGGGGAAGCCAGCTGGGTCTAAGCAGCACCGCCAGGGCTTGAGGGAGCTGCTGGGAGGCACACCCTTTCCTGTCCTGGGGTGGGGCAGGAGGCAAACTGCGGAAGTGTGGCTGCCAGAGGATGTGCTGGGGGCCACTGAACCACCTTGTCAGCACTTGCAGAGAATCAGCGAGGGCTGGAGTCCGTGCAGATGAGCTGCTGAATTCATTCTCACTTGAGACCAGCACTATCCTTAGCCTTTTACTTCTGAGAGTTCAGATTCCTGGTGCCATGGGCATCTATCTTTCTGGCAGCTAGAATCCAGAGTTCTAGCATATGTAGGGTATAGTAGTATATACCTATAATCCCAGGATTTGGGAGGCTGAGGCAGGAGGCCAGCTTAGGCTACAAAGTGAGATCAAGGAAGCCTGGGCTACATAGCAAGACTGTGTCTCAGACAAACAAAGGAAAACAAAAAATTCAGGCTGGGGATTTAGCTCAGTGGCATACACCTGCCTGGCAGGCGCCAGGTTGTGAGTTCGATGCCCGGTATCAAAACAAAAACAAAAACAAAAACCTCCCAAAAGTTCTACCTTATGAATGCAGAGAAAGAACCACTGTTGACTTTTTGGGTTTGTTTCATACATTTTAAAGTTTATGTAATAAATTTCCTTTATTCTTTTACAAAATTGAGAAAATACATATTTTGCAGTATTTCAGTTGATTGTCTTTCTTTTTTTTTTTTTTTTTTTTTTGTCTTTTTCCTTTTTATCGGTACCGGGGATCGAACTCACGGCTGCCTGCTTGCAAGGCAGGCGCTTATGCCGCTGAGCTAAATCTCCAGCCCCAGTTGATTGTCTTTCATGTTAGTCAGCTGTTTTCTGATATAACCAAACACCTGAGAGAGGACTGGGAGGCTGACAGGTCTGGCTCACAGCTTCAGAGGCGTCAGTCCATGGTGCAGGGATCCATTCCTGCGGGCCTGTGTGAGGCGAGGCATCATGGCGGACAGGCACGGCACAAAGCCGGAAGCGCAGCAGGGGCTGAGCGGTCACTCCCTTCAGTGTCAACCCCTGGGTGACCGCTCTTCTGGCCACGTTCCACCCCCTAGTAGCCACTCAGCTAAGGACTCACCAGTGGGTTGGCTGACCGATGAGGTCAGAACCCTGCCATCACTCACCTTTCCAGGCCTCTGTTCAGTCAGTGACAATCAGGGTTCACTGTCACAAAGTCAATCACATGTTGTCTTTAATCCTTCATAATAGTCCCAAACACCGTACCACACTTCCTATGAAAGGACACTTACATTTTCCTCTATTATACACATAATATTTATACACTATAATCTTACTATTCCTTTATAAAAAATTATTTTTTGTGTGTGGTGCTGGGGACGAAGCCCAGGGCCTTGCGCATGCAACACAAGAGCTCACCACTGAGCCACATAATATGTACATTTTCCAGCTCCGACGTGTTTTACCAAATCAGCCTCCAAAGGGAATATACAATTACTATAGCTCCACCTGCATGGGACGGGGCCCCAGGGGGACAGGAGGAGCTTGCTCCAGGAGAAACACTCACTACGAGGCCAGCGCTCACTGACTGCCTGGCTGCCCATGTGGCACCGTGACAGGTGCTGGGAATGGAGGGACCAAGGCTCCTCTACTCCTGTGGATTCTCCCGCTCAGTTCTGGGTGTGGATCTACTCATGCCGTAACGGTGCTTCCTAAAGGACATGAGGGCTGTCGGACAGTGGAGCTGCGTCTGGATCTGGTGGCGGTGATGTCACTGCCTCGGCGTTTCTCTGCTCTCCCCAGCGCAGAGGGCCAGGTGCCCGAGACCTTGATTTCCCAGTCCTCTGCAGTGAGGCAGATTCTGTCAGGCGTTGCCCACGTGAGGTCCTGGGAGCCCGGAAGGCAGAAGGTAGCAGAAGCTGTCAGGCTCCTGGGAACACAGGTTGGTGCCCTGTGGTGTGGCAGTGAAGGCACACAGTGGGCACCAGTGCAACGTGCGGGCTCCGGGGCGGCTCCCCACCCCTGGTTGATTCGAACTTCCCGAGGGCTCCTTCGTCCCTTCCTGCCCATGCTAGAAATCGCTCCTGCGCTTTTGCTTTGATGATGGTGACCATTATTCAAATCACTCTCGGTGCTGGACGGGAGCCGTGCCTGTGACACGCGCAGTCTCTTTCGGTGAGCTGGACAGAGCCCGTGCTTCTCAAGCTCTTTACTTGGTTTCCAGCCAAACACCAGGCCAGCACAGTGACAGCACATGGGTGAGCGGTCCCAGTCACGGCTCAGGAAGACGAGATGCGCCCCGCACCAGGTATGAGGGAGCATGGATCTGGGGCAGGGCGTGGATGTGCCGTCCATCCCACGCTCCCACGCTGGGGACCCCTGAGCCTCTGGAGCCACGGCAGGTGTGAGGCACGGGCCACAGAAACGGTCAACCGGGCCCTTTCTGCTGAGTGCACACGGTGGGCCCCACATCAGCAAGTGCGTCCCGCTGTCCTCCGAGGAGCTGCGACCCAGTTTTACAGAATCCTTAGTGTAATTCTTCTTGGCTAAACAGCACAGAAGTACTCAGCAGTCCTACGCTCCTATCTTCATGTTCGCACTTCAACACCAATGCTACAACACCTGTAACGCCCCCCAGTTCAAGTCAGCACTCAGCACCCCTTCCTCTGGGGAGCAAACATCGTTTAGTAAGCTTTACTAACTGGTACAGTCTGGAAAAGAGCCAGGTGAGACCAGGTCTCTGGGGTGGGGCGGTAGATCCTTTCAGAAGGGGGAGGTTGGGGTTATGGGGGTGTGGACTTGAAGGGGACTGTGGGACCCTAACTCCCCCCCCCCCCCATTCTCTCATTGCTGGGCCGTAAGTTGAGTGGTTTTTCTCTGCCATCTGATAGAGCTGCACATTGCCTAGCAAAGGAGCCACTCCATCACAGACTGGAGCCCTCTTAAACCCCAGGCCACTATAAACCTTTTCTCTTTAGAAGATGTTAACAATTCACGTGTTTTGTTATAGTGATGGAAAGCTGATTCACACACTGATAACAAGTATATAAATATCACCCAACTAAAAGAACTGGAAATGGTAACCTTTGCTTAATTCTGTTCTTCCAGGTCTTCTCCATCACTGTCATCTTCACAATAAAAGATGTCTCTGAATAGGAAAACTTGCTTAGGCACTGCAGGAGTTGGGATTTTGGAGCCTTTTTTCTCCATCTTCTTTTGTAACTTTTCTTTAAGCAAAGGTAGACTAGTTTCATAAAGGTAGTCGATGATCTCTATGGGACAGAAATTTAAATCTGAAATTATTTATACAGCATCTCTTTCCAATGTCAAAGCCTACAGGGCCCTGCTAATACCACGTGCAAGACCTTAACAGTTAGCTTCTATTTTTATCCTGTCTCTGAAAACACATCCTATAGATAGATGCTATTTTTAACCCAGCTTTTTTTTAAAATTTATTTTTATTTATTTTTTCTTTTTCCTTTTTATCGGTACCAGGGATCAAACTCACGACCGCCTGCTTGCAAGGCAGGCGCTTATGCCTTTGAGTTAAATCCCCAGCCCCTTACCCAGGTTTTAAAGGAAAGTGAGGCATAAAGACATGCAGACTTGCTCGTGTCATGGAGTGAGTCAGCACGCACACCAAGGCGGTCACGGCCACCAAAGCAGAGCACTATACACCCTCGCTACAGCAATGCTGCTGGGCAGAACACGGGAACCTGCGGTGAACTTTTTCTGCTTGTTTGTTTTTGAGACACAGTCTTGCTACATAGTTCAGGCTGGCCTTGAACTAACAACTATGGAGCCCATACTGGCTTCAAACTTGTGGCAATTCTCCTGCCTCAGCCTCCCACGTGCTGGGATTACATGAGTGTGTCACCATGCCTGGCATTGTGAGCTTGTCAGAGAACAATCTAGACTCCGGATTCTGCATGGAGATTAGGATTTAGTAGGTCTGGGATGGGACCGAGGACTACAGATTTCTGACAGCTCTCCACACTGCTCCAAGGGTCTTGAGTTTAGGACTTACACACAAACCAACCATCCACCACTGGTTACAAGAAGAACTGGGCATCTGACATTTCGTGCACTGGTGCCTTTGGTGGCGGACATGCATAGCCCGGTTCCTCACCAGGCCACTAAGTGCCCAGCACTGCGATGACCACAGTTTCTATGTTCACTATCTCGGTTAGGCCCCTGGAAAGTCCTACCAGGTAGGGACTGCAATTTGCCATTTCGATTAATGAAACTCAGATTCTAGGAAGTTCAGTCACAACCCAAGTGACTCAGACAACCAGCACGTGACAGTGAGCCCTGTGTTCTCAGTTGTACAGCCACTTACTTAGGGTACCCACCTGGGAAAGTCTTCTTCTGCCAAAAGGGAACACAGGCAGCTTTCAGCTTATAAAATTTAGTCTGAACATAAGATGGAGGGACATCACTTTAGACAGGAAGAGAATGAAACAGTGTCAGTTAGCAGTTCATCACTTCGCTTCCCTTCACAAGGCGACTCACCCCTCACTGCTTGTGCGTTCGCACATCTGTCATGGGGAGGCCCGACACGTTTGGCTTTGTATACTGGAAAGTCATCACAGCATAAATGCGATAAAAATACGATACCAACGACAAATGACTGTGTACACGGTTTAAAAATGCACGTGCAAGGAAGAGTTAGGGACATCACTCAGGCATATGCACAGTACGCACTTGGGTGCAGGAAGACTTGGGTTTAACACAAGCCATGAGAAAAAACTCAATAGTAAGGGTAAGTTCGGTCACTAGTCAAAAAGACAAATCCTAGAAGCAGCTAATGCCCACTGATGCCGGCCCGAGGGGCAGCCCAGCCCCAAAGCTGCCGTGCGCAGTGGTAACCTCTGCACTCTGGCCCAGCCGCTCTGCTTCGCCTCTCCAGGAAAGAGGTGGGGAGGAGCCACAGAGCCCGCTCCCCACAGGTTCGCACCAACTGATCATGACTCCAGGGTAGATGTTCGTGGATTTTGCATAACTAAAACAAAATCCCTATCATGTTTTAGAACATTTTCTTTTTTTTTGGTACTGGGGATCTACACTTGCAAGGCAGGCGCTTATGCTGCTGAGGTAAATCCTCGGCCCTAGAACATTTTCAAATTAACAACAGATGGGTCAGAAACAAGCTTTTTTGTTTTTTTTTGAGACAGTCTTGCCAGGTAGTGCAGGTGGCTCTGAATTCTCAGTGTGTTAGCCTAGGCCAGCCTCAAAACTTGCGTCGATCTTCCTGCCTCAGCCGCCTGTGTTGGTATTACAGGCACGGGCCACATCTGGCTGGTCAACCAAGTCACAAGCTTTTCTAAAAGTTAAAATCACTAATTTATCTGGATACTGTTTCTAACAGAAACTTGACTTTTCCCCTCAAGAATTAACTAGTGTGGTTTTTAAAATGATCGGGGTGAATAATTCTGTGTAACTGCGTGGAGTTAAATGACCAGACTCTGCTAAGCTCCTCCTCAGAGCACCCACTGAGCATGCGCCAGCGCCAGCGCCAGCCTGGGGGTCTCAGGTGTCATATCCGGCGTCCCTGCAGTGGCCCTGGTTAGAACGTGCAGAGGAGGACACCAGGGCTCAGAGACATGAAGGGAAGAATCCTGAGTGTCCGCAGGACGAGGGCTGGGTTTTGGGAGGGGATGGTAACCAAGCTGGGCTGTTACAGCTCAGCAGCTGCAGGGCTCATTAGGTGGAGGCGCTATTCTCAGATCCTGCCGAGTCATTCATGAAGGACACTTGAAGGGGCTGGGGAGACAGGGCAGGAAGCTGCACCTCGGCCCTTCCAGCTTGCTATCAAAACCAAGAACGCACCGTATCTCAAACATACTGGAACAGATGCTGTGACTTCTATGGCACACTGTAAGTATGCCATAGATACTTAGTATGATAATCAAATGTAGGATCTTTTTTTGCTGGTGGTGCCAGGGATCGAGCACAGGGCCTTTGACATGTTAGACCACTGAGCTACATCCCCAGCCCGTTTTAAAATTCTTAGTCATTAGTAATAAAAAACAAAAAAAGCAAAAAATCATGGCATCCGAAGCAATGTCAAAAGGAATACAAAAACCTAGTGGAAACACGTTTCCACATGGATGTTGATATTTTCACGGAGGGCTGTGTAATGGGAGCACGTCTCGGGTGGGAGCTGGCGGGGGCTTGGTGGGGTCACTGTGTCACACTTTGTGTTGCACTGGTTCTCTTGCAAACCCCATGAATTTGAACTGCCCCTCATCCGCACTTCTGGAAGCAGCAGCGTGAACTGCCTCTCGCCTTTCAGATTTGCTAGGTGGTCACTTATTAAAGCATCTCTCCTGCTTCGTTAGCTGAATGTTAGACAGTGCTTTTACCCTATGGCACCAGCAAGATCCTCCCAATCGACTTCATTAGCATCTTCCACATTTATTTCATACAACCTGCAAGGGAAAAACACAGACTTAAAGCACGAAGCAGCCTGTTGGGCCTCTCAAGTATCAAGAGCTGGGAGGGACTGGCACCCTCACCGTACGTGTCCAGCCTCCCCAAAGTCAGCCTGGGGTCACGGCAGGCATGACTGGAGATGAGCAGGAAAGCCACCTCTGCATCTGATGCAGGCATGGGGTAATCTGCACTTACTCTCTGCAGGTGCCAGGTCAGGACCTGAAGTGACCCTCATTACTATCTGACAAGGTCAGGGGTTAGCCCTGTTCTACAGAAGGCAATGGCAGAGACCTGGTCATTGGCTCGACACCTCCCGACACTGGTCCCCATGCGACACCCGCTCGGGACCGGATCTGCCAGGCTAGCCAGTCTCTCCAGCAGGGTGAACTGGGTAGACGTTAGACCAGCCAGTCGGAAAGAATGAGGCCGGCACAGGGCCATCACAAGCAGGGCCTAGCAGGAAGCTGCACAGACTGGCAGGTGCCCAGCGTGTCTCGGGCAACATGGGGAGACATGAGGGACTGCATCCACCGTTAGGCTCGCATCACCCTCCCCCTCGGAATGCTGGCTCCAGGGAAGAACTCTCGGGCAGAATCAAAGCCCCAGCAAAGTGGCGCTGACAAACTGGGTGGGGCTCTTTCCGAAGGACCGACCTGCACATCCCAGTGGACAGAACAAGGCACTCACAGGAAACGCTGCCCAAGGGAAAAGCTGGTGCCAGCCACGTATAGGGGAACATCGCGTGTGCTCTGAGTCATTTCCCCTCCCAAAGACACCAGGCCGTGCCAGCTCCTTGTCACCACTACCCTCATAAAAGATGGGTCACCGTCAACAGAACCCCAGTGGAGGGTGCTGGGACAGACTCGACCTGGGGCCGTCACTGCAGTCTCTGCTGTGCCAGCGGCTCCCCAGACCCACTTTCTATTGCTGTACCTTTCTATGAGGTTGATTTTGGCCCAAAGAGCATTGATTCCGCGGTACACAAAGCCCCCGCTAGTCATCCTCTTGGTTAGAATTTCCATCCTATGATACAAGGAAGAAAAACACACTTTACTTTTAGGGGCAGTATTTGTTAAAATTTCCTCAATTTTTCTCATCTAAATTGCCTTCATTTAGAAACAATTTCTCACTTTGTCAACTCATTTACCAGCACCAAGAACCTAGTATTAGGGGATAAACAAAGGGGCAAGGAATAAATAAAACCACAGAAAGCGAATGATTATTGAAACTATGTGGCCAGGTATGGTGGTGCACGCCTGTAATTTCAGCATGCAGGAGGCTGAGGCAGGAGGATCACCGAGCTCAAGGTCATCAGCCTGGGGTATACAGTGAGTTCAAGGCTAGCAAGGACTACATGGTGATACCCTGTCTCAAAAAACAAAACAAAACAAAGAGCTGAGTTCCACGTATCTGTTGTTTATAAAGACAAATGGACATGGCTCTTATTACCATTATGAGCTTTTGGCACACAGCAAAGGATCCAATAACTCCTCTAGCACCTAAAACTAACGCCTAAAGGAAAGGGCTGCTCGAAGCTCCCAGCAAGCACCAGCCCTGTTAAAACAGAACGAGTTTTGTCTTACTGTTTCCCCGGGAAGTGGACCCCTTCTGCTGAGGCTCCCCCCAGCCCTTGCAGCTCGGCACGCAGCGCTGGACAAGGCTGTACCTGCGGCCTTCAGAGCCAGGTATCTGCTGGTTTAATCAGACGCTGATACTGAGGCGGCTGGATTAACAGGCCACAGAGGACCCCTGCTGCTTATGGGTGCTCCACGGTGGTGATGTGGCCTCAGTGGTGGACTTGGCCTGGGTGATCTCAGCGCCCCCACCTACCCTTCACAAGTGACGGAGACAGAACCCGCTCAAATTTCACAGACGAAGCGTTAAAACTTACCACTTACTTTTGCACTGCATCCAGTTTCTGGTCTCCACTTTGGCTTCCACTTCTACCCAGGAGATGCCCTTGTAGAGTTTTTCCCGAACGATCGACAGGCGACTGTCAGGATTTTCTTGGAGTTCAGAATCCATTTCATTTAACTCCTGCGGAGACATTTTCTTTAGAATCACTTCTTCCACAGCCTTGATGAGTTTCTGGGTTTCTGCCTTACTCCAAACACCATGATTCCTTTCTGTAGATATAAAAGGACAACCCTGTAGTGGCTGATCTATCTGCTGTCACACATAGATCAAAAGCAAAATAATACATCGGACACTTTGCAGAACACAGTGGGTGGCATCTCAGGCACAGAAACATAAAGTGATCAAATACAGTCAGACACGATGACCCTGAGATCACTGAAGAAGCGGACTCCGCCTTTTTAGGAGCCGCAGCCAGATGTTTACGCTGGGGCAGGAGCTCAGTGGTAAAACGCTTGTTCACCATGTATGAGGTGGACCTGGGGTCCAGCCCCAGAAAGGAAAAAAGCCCTTTCTTAGTTTTTGGCCCTGGGATCAGATCACCAGCCACAGGGATGGCCACATAGGGTTATGGTCCCCGAGAACTCTGAGCCACCCCAGAGTCAGAGCACTGGCAGCCGGTCCTTCCGCTCTACACGGCAGTAAGGCCAGGCTGGAACAGGCCCAGAGAATGCGTGGCTAGGGTGCTCACGGTGGCGCTGCCTTCAGTGGTAACAGTGTGGATGAATGCTGAAACATCCGTCCAAAAAAAGACACCGAGAGATTCTGCTTTAGATTCAAGAGCTTTGCTTTGCTGCTTGGAAACTGGAAGGCACGAACCCCACACTCCGCATGTGGCTGGAACACGCAGGGCCCTGTGCCGACACTGACCCCCGCTGAGGGCCGCCTAACTGCAGCAGCTTCGGGTGCTTTGATGGAAAGAACAGAAATGAAGAAACTTTTTATAGAGAGGAGAAAATAGACCACAGGCTGCCCACACTGTGTCCAGCATACCACATGACTGCAAGCCTCCCCCTCCACCAGCTTCCTGGGGACCAGATAACCACGTGGCAGTCACACTCATGCTGAAAGTGACTGGACTGAGCTGTGGTGAAAACCAGTCCAGTGAGTTTTACTGACTGCAGGAGGAAGTGAAAGCGAGTGGGGGAAAGACTGGCTTGTAAAGCAAAGGTCCTCTCAGAAGTCAGGCTGTGGGGCTCTGGGGACCCTGCCTGGCGGGGCAGACCGGGTGTGTCGCTTGTCTTGCATCAGCCGGGTCACTTACTATTGCGGATCTGAGAGAACTTGAGGGCAACAGAGAGGCTGCTCCGGGCCACCAGGGCCCCAATCTTCTTCCAGTCATTCCCATGGAGGGACTGGCAGGCCTTCAGCTTCTCGGTGTCCCCTTCACTGTATCTAAGAGGGAGGGCGAGGTTAGCCCTGTATTCGCACTGCAGTACCTGCAGTTGGGAAAAGGCTGAGTGCAGAGCTCTGAAAAGGCGGCTCCAGTGCTCACAGCGATGGGGCTTGGTTACTTGCCTGTCTCTGGGCTCTACAGCTGTTGTCCCACCATCCACCCACCCAATCCACATCATCATCCACCCACCTACCTACCCACCCACCCAATCCACTCATCCTTCTATCATCCACCCACCCACCCACCCACCTACCCACCTACCCAATCCACGCATCCATCCATCATCCACCCACCCACCTACCCAACCACCCAATCCACGCATCCATCCATCATCCACCCACCCACCTACCCACTCCACGCATCCATCCATCATCCACCCACCCACCTACCCAACCACCCAATCCACACATCCATCTATCATCCACCCACCCACCCACCCACCTACCCAACCACCCAATCCACGCATCCATCTATCATCCACCCACCCACCCACCCACCTACCCACTCCACGCATCCATCCATCATCCACCCACCCACCTACCCAACCACCCAATCCACACATCCATCTATCATCCACCCACCCACCCACCCACCTACCCACCCACCCAATCCACACATCCATCCATCATCCACTCACCCACCTAATCAATCCACACATCCATCATCCATCCACCTACCCATCCACCCAATCCATGTATCCATCCCCAATCCATGTATCCATCCATCATCCACCACCCACTTGCCCACCCACCCAATCCAATCCACATATCCATCCATCATCCACCCACCAACCCATCACTGCAGTTGTAGTCAGGACTATCAATGGATCTCAGTGATCTCACAGCCTATTGTGCTTTTTTTTTTTTTTGTCTTTTTCCTTTTTATTGGTACCGGGGATCGAATTCACGACCGCCTGCTTGCAAGGCAGGTGCTTATGCAGCTGAGCTAAATCCCCAGCCCCGCCTATTGTGCTCTTATGGCCTCTGTTCCACTCCCCCAGATGGTGACAGCAATGGTGCCCCTCCAAGACAGCAACTTAACCTGAGCTTCAGGCCTCTGCTCCTTCTAGACAACGCTATGCTTCCCCTTCTCCCATCGGTCCTCAGTTCTGGGCTCTGTCATTTCCATAATGCTGACAGATGACATTTTTCAAACACGCAATGAATAGCCTAACCCAAGTATGTCACTATTTGAGGAGCTCAATATGCATCAATACCACAATAAAGAGAAAAAAGCACCAAACAGGCACTATGATGTTAAAAATGGAATCCAAGATTCGGTACTTTGAATATTTAAATAGAGCAAATGAGATCTTCATAACACCTTGAGGTTCCTCATGCAGGGGCAGGAAGGGAGGACGGTGGTTCCTGTTATTACAAGGGGGTGGCAGAGGAGCTGCACCCAGACCCAACCACTTCCAGATGTGACCTTCTAGTGAGTCTGAAAACGAGTCTGTACACTCGAGTATTTTTTTCACTATTACCAATCATGGGAATAACTAAAAAGTAACACTTGCTAGTAGTTTTCTTCTCAAGGCAATCAAGAATCTAAGAGTAACAAAACAAAACAAAGAAAGAAAGAAACCTCAGAGGAAAAGATCATCATCAAGTCAACTGAAAAAACTAAGTAAAAGAGAGAAGTTAATTGCTGGGCATGGAGGTACACACTTGTAGCACTCTGGGAGGCTGAGACATGAGGATTAGAAATTTGAGCCCAGCATGGGTAACTTAGAAACTGAGACCTGTTTCAAAGTTTAAAATTTTAAAAAGGACTGGGGATGTAGCTCAGTGCAAAAGTTCAATCACCAGTCTGCTTTACAAAAAAGAAATTAACTGGGATAACCAAAAATCATAATATTGTTAAGTTGTTACCATTTGTGTCTGGACGTCCTCCCAAAGCCTCATGCAGTAATGGGCGCAGGCTTCTAGATCTGTGACTGATTCATGGTCCAGTGCCGAGATTATGGGTGTGAGTGCTACACCCACCCCAGAACGGGCAGCCTACATACAATGTGAGTGACAGAAAGAAGTTTTCTCTCTGCTCCTCCTTTTTTTGCCTTTATTGCTTTTGGTATTTGCTGCTGCTCCATGGCCAGGCCACCCTGCCTTGGAGCCAGCTGATTATGGACTCATAAGCTATGAGCTAAATAAACCCTTTCTTCCCTAATTTGGGGTGTCAGGTATTTTGTCTGAGCAATGAGAGAAAAGTAACCAACACAGAATTTGGAACCAGGAGTGCGGTCACTGCTGTGACTGCACCTGACTGTGTGGTTTAAGAGTCTTTGGGAATGGCTTGTGGGAAGAGTTTACAAAGTTCAGAGATGTTGCCTGAAAAGAGGAGAGCTGGATTGCCTTAGGGGCTGCTCTGCATGGGAGATTCCGGTCAGAGCTCAGAAGACCAGAAAAGCAGTGAAGTCCAGGCTCAGACGGTTCTGGAAAGGACTGCATTGGCTGTTGGAATCCAGATGATGTGCCCTATGGCTTGGCAGGAAACAGGGTCTCTATCTGTCTGTGTAGCAGCTTGTATGCATTCTCAAAGCCCAAGTAGAGAGAAAAGATTGAGAATTTAGGTGTTAACAAAAGAGGTAGAACTGGTCCTTGAAGACAGATACTGGATACACAATCTGGTTTCACATGGAAAAACCTCGAGTTTTACTTCTCAGCTAGTGCTGTAGGTATTTTGATTCACAAAGCCAGCAAAAACCAGAGAACGGTGCTGCCGCTGGGTGTGGGACCTTCTTACCTTCCTTTGTAATTGTTGACATCAAATATCTTCTTTGCCCGATAGTACACAAGTTTCCAAGGCCGTGCAATGCCCTTCCCTAGGAGCAGAAGGGAGGCAGTCAGAGAGGCGCCAGTGTCCTAAGGATGAGCATGGGGCCCAGCACAGCCCAGAACAACACAAGCTTTGGGCTCCGTGTGGCTGCGGAAGCACAAGAGCCGAGTCACCAGTTGCCCTGGAGACCTCTGCAAACTCAGGCCCTGGAGGCTCTGGCTTCTGCTCTACCAGAATCTTGGAGAAGATCTGAAGGTGAAGCACCTTTAACATCATCTGAATTAAGGGGAAGGAGACACCAAGGCAGGGACACATGCCAACAGCTTTCCATAAAATTAACAGAACTCGGGGCTGGGGATTTAGCTCAGCTGCATAAGTGCCTGCCTTGCAAGCAGGCAGTCGTGAGTTCCATCCCTGGTACTGATAAAAACGAAAAAGACAAAAAAAAAAAAAAAAAAAAAAAAAAAAATTAACAGAACTCTTTCCAGACTAAGCTCTCCTCACTTCCCACTCTGCGGCAGAGACAATGCATCCACAGGCCGCCATCCTGGTTTCCTTCCTGCATTCCATGGCATAGCTGCAAAACCATCCTCTATAAATTCCAACAATTTTTTCCAGTGGAGTCCTCCAACACCTTGTAATTTTTCCAGCAGCACCCAGAGGAGGGTCCAGCCAATCCCACACCCCAGCGCCACTTCAGACATTTGGGAGAGAGACAGTGGTGTGTGGAATGGGGGTACAGTGCACAGCACCCACATATAATAAGTAATAAAGAACAACATGGGAAACTCCAACCCTAAATACCACTGAGTGGGAAAGGCAGAAGGTGACGCTTTGATTTTTCATCTTTTTGAGACAGGATCTCACTCTGCAGCCCAGGCTGGCCTTGAACTCTCAGCAATCCTCCTGCCTCAGTCATCTGAGCACTGGGATCACAGGTGTGAGCCTTCAGGCTGGGCCCTGACTTTCATGAGGCCCATAAAGCACTGTGTGCTGGGGACAGGGACACACTGCAAACCCCCTCCGTGTGGGCTGCCAACTCAGGGAGCGGCCCGGATAGCAGCGGTAGACACTCCAGACTCACCAATGCATAGCCGGAACGCGTGCTTCCGTTTCAGATCCGTGATGGCAGCCTTTTCCTCCGGGTACCTGTCCGTGTACAGCAGCTTGTCTGGGTTCTCAATTCCCGTCAGGGAGAGGAACTCTTGTACATTTTCCTCTATCTGCTTATTTTCCTTGGCAGAAAACTTGCCAAATCGAATCGCAATGCCTAGGGTTGAGGAGGGGAAGAGAGGGCACGCACGGTCAGGAGTGAAGAACCGCATACCCACGGCTTCCGGAGCATCAGTCAGACAGCGCTGCCCTGCAGGGGCAGCCCAGCCAGTACAGGGGACACCGCCACCCCCGACCTGACTTGAGAGCTGGGACTTCGGGTGTGTGTGGGGGGCGGTGCCGCCCCAGCACCGCTCGAGTAGCTAGGATTATAGGAGTGTGCCACCACACTCAGCAAAAAAGTTACCGTTTTTTTCTATTAAAAGTGATACATTCATTTAAAACCCGGACAGCACGGAGAGAAGGAAACCCCTTCCTTCTGTGCCATGGCTCTCCCAGTGATAGTGTGCAGAAAGATGGAGGCTCCGGGTGTTCCCTAGGGGCAGGGTGACCACTGTCAGCACCTCCACCTATCACACATTTCCTATTCATCATTCATTCTTCTCTGCCGGAAGCCAGGCGTGGTGCCTCCTGCCTGTAACGCCAGCACTCGGGGGGCTGAGGCAGGAGGATCTCTGTAAGTTCAAAGCCAGGATGGGCTATGGAGTAAGTTCAAGGCCTGCTTATACATCGAGACCCTGTCTCCAAAGTACAAACCAAACCAAACCAAACCCATCACAATGAACTGTACTACACAAGCTTTTCCTCCTTCCTTCCTGGTCCTGGGAATCAAAACAGTGTATTCTTCTGTTTTCAGGCTCATTCAAAATATTTTTTATTAAATGTTACTCAAAGGCCAGGGATTTAGCTCAGCAGCATAAGCACCTGCTTGGAAAGCTCGAGGTCGTGAGTTCGAGGTCGTGAGTTCGATCCCTGGTACCAAGAAAAGATGTCACTCAAAGGCTGGAGGTACAGCTCATCAGCCCAGTGCCTGCCTGGCAAGTACAAGGCCAGGAATTCAATTTCCAGTACAAAAAAAAAAAAAAAAAAAAAAAAAAAAAAAGTCACTCAAAAAGTAATAAACAAGGATTCTTCCACACCGCTGTGTATGTTGTATTTTGTGTTTTTGCTTACTTTCTGCTTCCTAACTGATCTTTTCAACTTGACAGTTCTGCAGGGCAAACGCCTTTTTGTACTCTTACCAGTGACCAGTGGTGTTTAGGGTCACACAACACTCAGTAAGGACTGCTCATCTGTCCTAGGTTTGTGGGTTTCTCTTGGCTACGGAGGACTGAACCCAGAGCCTTCACATCCTGTTTTGGAGACAGGGTTCAAGTTCCCCATGCCGGGCTCAACTCATGACTCGCCTGCCTCAGCCTCCAGGCGTGGTAGGATTACAGGTGCACATTGCCAAAGCCTCCTGGCTCAGGGGTGCGGCTCCTGGAAGGTGACTGGATTAAGGAGGCATGGAAGGGTGCAGAAGCTGACTTGCTGTAAGGAAGTGGGGGCTGGTCAGAGGAGGGCTCCCTGGGGGCACAACACGGAGGTGTGCCTTCCTGTGTCTGGATCCTCTCTGCTTTTCCTGGCCAGCATGGTGTGAGCAGCTACCCTCTGCCAGACTCCTCCACCAGGCAGCTCTTGCCTCGGAGCCAGAAGATTCGTATTAAAAAGATTCGTATTGGGGCTGAGGATTTAGCTCAGCAACATAAGCGCCTGCCTTGCAAGCAGGCAGTCGTGAGTTCGATCCCTGGTACTGATTACAAAAGGAAAAAGCCAAAAAAAAAAAAAAAAAGATTCATATTAAAAAGAAGCCAAGTATTCTGCACTAGGTGAAACCCCACGAGGGTACCTCAGGAGTCAGTAAGACCTCAATCCCTTGAAGGCTGCAAGGTTGAGAGGTGAAATTTTTGGTTTGAGAAAGAGTCCCGAGGAGCCCAGCCTATTCAGGGCCAACCAGAAAAGTCTCCTGGTGTTCACTCAGTCATTCAGGCACTCAGAGGCTGCTACGGACGCAGTGCAAGGTGATCTTGCTACTACTTGAGCAGGCAACAGACTGGGGGGCATCATCGATGTGGCACTGGTTTTTTGGGCATACAGAATGCAGATTTGTGGGGTCAGGAAAGCTTCTACCCAGACTTCAGAAGAAGGGCTGGCAGGAGGCTGAGGCAGGAGGACTGCCAGGTGTTCAAGGCCAGCTAGGACAACATAGTGAATTCAAGGCCAGCCTGAATTACATAGTCAGACCTGGTCTTAAAAAAAAAAAAAAAAAAAAAAAGAGGGCTGGGAGGCCAAGCAGTGAAGCACCCAAGGGAGGCCAGGACAGTTACAACTGGCAAAGCTGTAGGGCCAGGGCCACTCAAGCTCTCTGGAGTTCATAACTGGCCTCAGAGCTACGAATTCAGCGTCTGCTTCACTGGGTTTAAGCCTTACTTGGTCCTGTTCCTTCCCATCCCCCCTTCCCCCTTTAAGCACAGCAGTGTATACTTGGTGTCCCCGAACACTGACATGTTTAATGTATCTGTGATTTTCTTTTTTTTGTCTTTTTCCTTTTTATCAGTACCAGGGATTGAACTCACGACTGCCTGCTTGCAAGGCAGGCGCTTATGCCGCTGAGCTAAATCCCCAGCCCTATGTGTCTGTGATTTTCACGGGGGCTCACAGCCAGGAGCTGCCCTGAGTCTCAGAGGAGATTTTGGACTTGGACTGAAGATCTTGGTGGCTGTCAGGATGGAGTAAATGTATTTTATATAACAAGATGGCCGCGAGTCTTTCAGGGACAGAGGGCAAGCTGTAATGGTTTAGATCCCAGCTACCCGCCCCCCCCCTCCCGCCCCAGTTCATGGACTTTTGATTACGGATCCCAGGGATGCCACAGTTACCTTGCTGTCAGGAGGCAGGGTCTGGACAGTGAAGTGGGCCACTGGGACGTGATGTGAAGGGTACATTTTTTTTTTTTTTTTTTGGTCTTTTTTCTTTTTATCGGTATCAGGGATCGAACTCACGACTGCCTGCTTGCAAGGCAGGCGCTTATGCTGCCGAGCTAAATCCCCAGCCCCAAAGGTTCTTTTTCTTTTCTTTGGTACCAGAGATAGAACTCATGACCTCGCACTTGCCAGGCAGGCGCTTAAGCCACTGAGCTAAACTCCCAGCCCCCTCCAGTAAGGCTTTGGGGACAGTGACAGTGAAACCATGGAGAGCAAGGCCTCGAGACCAACCACACTCACTATGAGAAGTTTTCATGCGAAGTAACACAGTGGGGACAGAAACTACATCTCGTCCATGTGGATGCTGCTAACCTGATGGTTTTAATTTCCTAATTTTATTTTACTTCCGTATCCTTCCTAGTACCTCAGCCCGTTCCTTCCTCTTTCTCCATAACTAATTTTCTAGCCTGGAGTTCTCTGGTCCCTTTGCTCCCGATTGTCCTTGCCCTCCCTACCAGATGTGGCATGGTAAGAAGACAAACAGGTGCCCCACAGTGCTACAAGCTCTGGGCTGCTTCTCAGGGTCTCCTGACCTGAATCGCTCACTGAAACAGCTGCACAGGGAGACGCGGTGGACATTAATGGACATTAACGTGTGAACGGCTCACCTTGCTCCTTAAATTCTTTGAACCGCTCCAGGTCATCGCGGTACATCCGCTTGATCGTGGTGGCCGCCCGTTCCTTTATGTCAGGGATGAACTCCTGCAGCTGCCTCACGGCAGAATGCAGATCCACATCTTCATCATCGGGGTCCCTGCCATCCACGATCTCCAGCCTTCGAGACGTGCCAGCCCGTGCCAGACGGCTTTCCTGTGAGCTGGGAGGCTCTGACCTAGTAAGGAAGGCCGTTTACCATCAACTAGTACGTAATCCAAAAGAAAAACCTGGGCTAGTGCTAACTATCACTCCATTTAACAGCTAAATGATTCTCCAGTGTCCAAACTGGAAGGGATGCGGAGTTCAGTGTGTGAGCTTCAGACTCTCTAATCCGATTTGGATACAGGTCCCAGCTGGCCTCGTAGGTAGCTCGAGGCCCTAACTGCTATTTTGGCTGCTTTTTTGTTTATATGACTAGCTCTCCGCTTTCTTGGTTTTTATCCTTTCAGAGAATCAGACATTCCTCCCCAACCCTTCCAGTGAGCTACATTTTATAATACAAGTGTCAGTAATTAATTAAATTAGTATCCTGGGTTTCCATAGTTACAATTGTTTTTGCTACAGACCTCTTTTTTCCTTTAATTTTCTGTGTCTTCAGCCTTAGTCCTCCCCCCATTCTCTGCCAGAGATCTAGGTCTGCTCTTTGGAGGTCCAGGCTCATTACTGACTGTCTTGGAAGGGCACTAGAAAGATCCCGTGCACCTGTCCAAGCAAACGTGGGCAGCTTCCAGGGGTCCCCCTGAAAGTGAAGCACTGCAGTCTCAGCACACTCCTCCTCCCTAAGCAGCATCCTGAAAATGTCCCCAAGGAGACAGCACCGAGGGGAACACCACTATTACCAATGCCACCCTGACACACCCTCCATCAACTTTCACGTGAAACTACTTTAAGTCAGGACAATCCAACCATCTAAAGAGAGCTGCTGAGCAAAACTGGGGAGAAAATCTGTCCAGAGCCCCAGGAACTATGAAAGCAGCTGGTAACACCCCCTCCCCCGTGTTAACTCCCCAGACAGTGGACTTCACGCTATGTGTGCGAGCTCACCACTCCCCATTACCTGGGAGCCTCTCCCAGCGGCTGCTCCCCGGGAGAGGCGGGGCTCTGCTCCTCCTGGGCTTTCTCCCTTGAATTCTCTCCATTCGGGACCCAGCTGCCTGCTGCAGAGTCGGTGAGCGAGCTCCCAGAGACCGAGCCCCTCACCACGGTGGCCCGGCTAGACGTGCGCTTCCTTCTCTTAGTGCTGTTCTTTATCTTACTCTTTTCAAACACATCGCTGCCTTTTGTGACCCTGACCTCACGGACCCCTTGTGACCCCCCCGGGAGCACCTGCTCAGGACTCTGGGGACTGGCTGAGGCCCCCCGTTCCTGGGGACTGGATTTCTTTTTTTTCTTAGGCTTGTGTTTATCTGCAGACTCTGGAGACTCCGAGATTTCACCTTCTCGACCCAGGGATGGCAGGGACAGCCGCTCCTGTGACTGCAGCCAGGGCCTGGGTTGCACACTTCCTTCGGGTGAGGCGCGATGGTCTTGCTTTGAGTGAATGCGTGTGTTCTCGGAGCTCTCACCAGGGTCCCAAGAGTTGTCACCAGATGCAGCATTAGTGCTTTCAACAGACGTGCGCTTCCGTTTCTTAGGGTGCTTCCTTACCCCAGCGGAGCCCTCAGGCCCTCGCAGTACATCGCTGCCTTCTCTGGCCGCGACCTCCTGGGCCCCCCAAGGCCCTTTGGGGAGCACCTGCTTGGGACTCTGGGGTCTGGCTGAGGCCTCTGATTCCTGGGGTCTGGACGATTTCTTCTTTTTTTTCTTAGGCTTGTTTTTATCTGCAGACTCTGGAAGCTCCATGATTTCACTGTCTAGACCCACGGACTGCAGGGATGGTCGCTCCTGGGACTGTGGCCAGGACCTGGGTTGCACATGTCCTTTAGTCGAGGTGCAATGGTCTTGTTCTGAATGATAGTGTGTGTTCTCGGAGTTCTGACCATGCACTGAAAAGTCATCACCAGCCGCAGTGGCACTTCTCTTGGTCACACGCTTCTGTTTCTTAGAACTGCTCTTGGTGGCTCCGGATCCCTGGGCCCTCTGCAGAGCATCGTTGGCTTCTCCAGCCCCGACCTCTTGGAACCCCTGGCACTCTCCCAGGAGCTCGTGCTCAGGACTGTCAGGCCTGACAGAGGCCACTGATTCCTGGAGATAGGGCCTTTTCTTTTTTTTCTTAGGCCTGTTTTTACCAGCAGGCTCCGGTACCTCCGTAATGTCACCTGCTTGATCCACAGATGGCAGGGGCTGGGAGATGGTCACTCGCTGGCCTTCCCACACAGCACCCTGGGACGTGGCTTTCCTCTGATGGTTCTCCTTCCCCTCCTCCCTAACTTTACGGCACAGTGCTTTGGGCTCATCTCCGTTGAAGTTGACAACGGCGCGCAGCTTGTCTGCTTTATGCCGTTTGGCGGACTTTCGCACCCTGCTCGCGTCTACGTAAACGACATCCACATCTTTCCTGAAATTCTTTGGCATGTTCTCAATATTTTCTTTATCCACAAAGACGTACATAACACCCGTTTCCCTGTCCACCCTAAAAGCGCCCTTGCTCTGTTCAGGAGTGGTCTTTTCACTCTTATCACGGATTTCCAATTTTTCCAAAGGGGAAGAAAGGAGAGGCTGGAGATCCTTCCTCTTCTTCTGAGTTATTTGCGGGGGGTCACCTGCCAGAGGGGCATCTCTGAAACTTTCGCGGGCATGTTTCTTCAATCTTTCTTTATATACTGAGTAGTTTTCCTTGTCAAAAACGGGAGTGTGGATTTCAAATCTGGTAGATTCTCTTTCCATTTTATGCCTATAGCGAAATGTGACAATAGTTTATATTTTTGCATTTTAAACATTAGTCTGGAGAGGGGGGAGAATCACAGCAAAATGAAACTGCATGACAAATGACAAACCTAGAGTCACCAGGGTTATAAATTTTACAATGGGTTCCATAAAATGCACAGGAGAATCACTGGAATCCACCCGCTCTGGGCCCACTGGTAAAGATGTACTTTCACAGCAAATCATGCTTCTCTTTTGTAGCATTTAGCTCAATTTAAAAAATAAAGCAATGACTTAACCAGCCCTTTAATGTGTGCTTTACAAAAAGGCAAATCCCGAAGAGGAGGCAGCGTCTGCCTCATGCTACCCACCTCGTTCCGGTCCCCCAGAGCCACATTGCAGGCTCCACTGCACAGTGGGCTCCCTCGTGGGGCACCAGGTACACAGGAACATCAACTGGGGTGGGGGTGTTGGTTCTTCTCAAAAGAGGGTGCACATACCTCTTCAGTGTCAATACAGACTGAAAATGCTGCAGTATACGCGGCTCCAGTGTTAATCTAATGGCAATGCACTTTGGAATTGAAATACACTAACAGAGATGCACTTTAGAAAATACGTAAAAAACGGTTTTTGCAAACACACCATGTTCTTGCTCTAAAGTGCTTCTCAGTTCAAATTTTTGGATTTTATGTATCTTTGACTACGAAATACACTTACGTGGCTCAGAAATCTAAAAAGTCTATTCTGATTTGCTGACATACCTGCAGATGCTGTCTCCACTAACAACAGATCCTGGAGCTTGTAAGCCTGAATGCTACGCACATTCTGGCAGAAAGCATTCCATGTATCCTGGATAATGAGGGCAGCTCTAAGACCCGTGTTGCTGGAGAGAAGGAGATATGAACATCTAAATGCATAACTACCAGGCGGGTCCCTCAGCCTGGACACCTCACCTTTATCGGGCGCACCTAGAGCTTTGGGTGAGTCCTTCAGCCCTGACATCACCCAGCTGGGCTTCACCACACAGAGACACAGGGAGGCTGCTCTGTGACCCTAGCTACAGAACGGGTGCAGAGTTGGCTCCCTATCCAGAGAGGGGCTAGCAGAAGGGGCCTTATGCTTTATGTAGCTCCAGCTCCCAGCACTGTGTCTGGCCCTTAAGAGATCATAAAAGTTTTTGCTCCCCTCTAGCTGCTGAGAAAGGCTGGAAAAAAAAGTTCACCTGGGCAGACAAGCCCTACTCTAACACCTGGTTCCTGCCTACAGCTGGGAACTGAACACTGGGAACCTTTTCTTTAGATCTACGTAGTCCCTTGGGACTCACAGTCACATGCAACTAATAAGCATTTGAAATTCGGCCAGGACAAGTACACCGTGTGAAATACACACTGTAAAATACACATTGCATTTGCAAGACTTCAAACAAAGAAGATAAAAACATCTCATTAATAAATTCTGTATGCTGGGGCTGGGGATTTAGCTCAGTGGCATAAGCGCCTGCCTTGCAAGCCTGTGGTCGTGAGTTCGATCCCTGGTACCGGTAAAAATACAAAAAAAAAATAAAAATAAATAAAAATAAATAAATTCTGTATGCTGCCTAATACTGAAATAATTTTGGGTACTGGTTAAGTAAAATGTATCCTAATTCTGCCTGTCCCTTTGATAGCGTTTTATAGTGGTTACTAGAGAATCCGGAACTACACATGTGGCTTGCACCACCCTATTCTTCTTGAAATAGTACTTATTTCAAATTTTCCTTTACTTCATTTGGGACTCATGTGTTTCTCGTACACAGCATTTTGTTGGATCTTGTTTCTTAAACCATTCTGCCGGTCTGTTTCTTTCAACTGGGGAACCAAATCACCTTTACTTCAAAGAGCTTCCCAGCGTCATTCTCTCTAACCTGCTGCTATGAACGTGCCTGAAACCTCACACTCTCACAACAAGAAACATCTTGTGCTGAGAATCAAACACAGCTGCTTCCATCCTCTCCCTCCTTTTTGCTCCAACAGTGTGTCTCTCTCCCTGAGGGTCATTTCTTTCACCGTCTGTGCTGACCCCAGCCCTTACCACTTTCTCAAGATGACCTATCGGCTACCTCCTCCCATCTCGGCCTCTCCCTTCTGCACTGGCTCCCCTGTAGCCGCGCGCCAGTAATCTTCAGTCTTTTCTACTTAAAAAATAAAAGTAAAAACCCGACCATCCTTCAACCCCCAAGTCCCACCCAGTTATTCCCTTCCTCCCTTCACAGCAACATTTCTTGAGAGAGAAAATGCTCTATTGCCTTACATTCCACTTCTTGTTAAGGTACTAGAGATAGAACCTGGAGACCTTCGACCCCTGAACTACGTCCAAGCCCTCCCATTATTTCAAGTTTCAAGTATTTTGACACAAGATCTCACTAAGATGCCCAGGTGGGTCTTGAACTTGTGACTCTCCTGCCTCAGCCAGAGTGCTGAGATGACAGGATGTGTCGGGCTCCATCCAGTTCCCAATGTCTGTACCCATATGTCTGTAGCCTTCAGCTCTACACTCCCCTGGGGCTGCTCTAATAAAAATGCCTATGAGCTGCCAAACACTAGTATAACACAGTCCAGGCAACTTAACAGCAAAGGATACAAAAAGGTGATTCTTTTTAAATACTCTTACCTTCCATCGGTTTCTTTCTTTCTGGTAAACACCTTGTAAAGTTATCCTTCTGGCCTTTCCAGTTCAACCTTCAAAACACACAAGCATTCTCTACAGTTCTTCCATTATTCTTTTTTTTAAATCTCGCCACCCCCCATTATTCTTAAGATGAGGTCAAAACCCTCACAACCCGACAAGTCGCCTCCGGTCTAACCCGGTCTGGTTCACGTCTGTAGCCCTCCTTTCTATGTGGCTTCGCACACGCTGCCCTCTTTCATTTCCTAGAATACACCACGTTCCTTCTGCCCGGCTCTTTGCAAAAGCAGCACGCGCAGCCCTGAATGCTCTTCCTCCCCGTTGGTCCCGTGCCTTGAACTGGCCTCAGCATGAGACCCACTTTCCCCAGGGCACCTCGCCCGGTCCTTAGCGGACCGGGTCCCCATTTACATAAAGCGCTTCCCGGCAGCCCAGCCCTTCCCGAGCGCACGATCCGCAGCTGAGGAGGGATCAGGCCTCCTCTAGCCCGTCCCTGGCCCCTCAAGGTGGAGCCTCGGCTCAGGAGGGGACACACACTTCCGCCCTGCAGGCTCCGAGCGCAGGCCGAGCCCGGCCAATCTCACCACCCCCAGGGTGGGCGCTCCGGACTTGGGACGGAAGACCCGACCAGCTGAGGACCTTATATCCTCTTAGTCCCGGAGCCCCAAGCCGCAGTTCCGGGAGGGGCGACCCGCGGCGGCAGCCGAGGCCCAGGCGCCGAGCCCATCCTGGAGACCTCGGGCCGAAGGCGGGCGCCCCAGGAGACGAAAGCAGCCCCGCTCGGCTTCCACACGCGCATCTCAAAACCAGAGAGGACGCAGGAAAAGTGCTTCCCACCTACCCTGCGGGAAACGCCGCCACTTATCTCCCAACCGTAAGTGTCTCCGTTGGAAGCGGAAGCGAAAGACGTCACTTCCGGGCCCCTAGGGGGACCCGCTGCCATAGCAACATGTCAGCTGTCCGGATCTGGCGCATGCGTAGTTGCCAGCTCGGGATTCCTGGTGTTTTGGGGCCTGGGGTGAGGTAACAGTGCTCTAAAACCAAGAGGTCCTCCATCACCTTGTTAATCCATGCATACATTCCATTTCTTCAAGATTTTGCTGAGCTCCATCTATGGTCTGGAGTAAACAACCCAGGGAGGACAGATGAACAAATCAACCAAGATAATTTTGGATTACCCTATGTAAATAAATAAATAAATAAATAAACAAACCAGAGTAAAGCGATGGAGAATGACTGGGGACAATGGATCCTACTTTAGACAAAGAGAAGACTCTTTGAGGAGTTTTCTAAGTAAATAAGACAAGCAAAAATCTCTGCAGATGAATGACCCAGGCTGGAAGAGGACCTGAAAGAAGACAGGAGGAAGTCAGGGGCAGGCAGGGCCACCTGCTGCAGGGCCTGGTGCACTTTAGCTGGATGAAGTCTCAAAAGACCAAGGAGGGCCATTCCAGTCCTCCCATTTCCACGAAATCTCAGGCCGGGGTGTAGTTCAGTGATATTTGATCCCTGCCTGCACCAACACACACAAACGAAAAGACTAACACAGATTCTCCAAGAAACTTACAGTCGGGACATCCAGCCAGGGCCATTGTATATACCACCCAAATGTCTAACTTTTTTGTGTAGCAAACATACTCCATAGGTATGTAAGAGGCAATTAGTTTTTAATTCACTGTGTAACAATGCCTTGGTGAAGATGCCTTTATTGCAGGCAGTTCTGTTTTAGCCCCACCTTGTAAATAAGAGCTTGATGGCGACTCATCCAAGGTGACTGACCTGGCCCAGGGTTCCAGCCTGTGCTCCTTTTACTACTCCACCATCCTGTCCTTCTTCCTGTCACCCCGATATCCAGGTGAGCTGCTAAGCAGCTTTGCCTGAAAAGCGTACAGCTTACACTTCTGAGAAAATCTTTTTTTTTTTTTTTTTCTTGGTCTTTTTCATTTTTCTCGGTACCAGGGATCGAACTCACAACCGCCTGCTTGCAAGGCAGGTGCTTATGCTGCTGAACTAAATCCCCAGCCCCTGAGAAAATCTTGATGTGAAGCAGACCAGAGAATCTATGAGCTTGATACATACACACCCAAGCACACACACAGGCTATTCTCAGCCCCAGGTAAGCAGTTGGAAGCCTGTCTGGTCTGCTTCGTGAATGTAGTATTGTCCACTGTTGGTGTGCAAAGCCCTAAAGTCCAGACCAGTTGTCCATGCAGCCTGCTGGTGTAAGAGCACATCTATCTGCATGTGTAGGGAAGATGATAGTGATGACAGTGTGAACCCACAAAAGATTGGAACTAAAAGAGAAATTAGACATCATCTGGGCTAGTGGTTCCAAAGACACTCCACCAATCATGTGGGAAGCCTTTTAAAAATATAGGGGGCTGGTGATTTAGCTCAGTGGCATAAGCACCAGCCTTGCAAGTGCATGGTCGTGAGTTTGATCCCCGGTGCTGATAAACAAACAAACAAACAAAAAATAAAAATAAAAATAAAAATATAGATCCCCAACTTTGCTCGTGAACAGCATGTCAGACACTACCACTGCCTCACTATAGACTCTCTGGAGGGGATAAGGTCATTGCAGCATGTGGGAAAATGTCCTTGCTATGTGATGAATTATTTAGGGTCAAACCTGAGGCTGTTTGAGACATTTTCAAATGACCAGCAATGCAGTTGTGTCGGTGTACACACTCAAATGTGAAAGTGAGTGTGCCAAGTGTGAGGACTGATGAGTCTTGGTGATATTTGTGAGGGTTTTTCACATACTATTGTTCAACTTTTCTGTGGATTTTGAACCTTCTCAAAATAAAGTTGGTTATGGGGAACAGATTTATAAAATTTCAAGTCCTAGATGCCATTTTCAAGTATTCTGATTGGGGAAGTCTGGGAGAATCCTATGACTCTGAATTTTTCAATTTCCCTCTGTTCTGTTGCACAAAGTTGGGCACCATTAAGCTAATCCAACTTTACACTTTCCTTTGCACCCATTTCACAGATTGAAAACACTGAGGATCCAGGAGGGTAACTAGCTTGAGATCACCCAGTGGGTTAGCAGTAACCTTGGGACTGGAAAGAGGGTTTCTATTCCATCACGAAAGCTTTAACTCTACCTCTTGGGAGTGTGTGTGGTACAGGGAACAGAGGTGGGGTGGGGGGAACCCAGAGTTGATGGCAAGTGAGTAGAGGGAAGATATCTTGGACTTGAACGTCAAGCATAAATGGTCCTCTAGCGCTCCATGTTTTTAACACAACTAGTGACAAGCCTTGGGCTTTCCTATTGGGGTGGAGTAGAAGAAATAAAGATAGGTAGAAAGGAGACAAGGAAAATTATACTTTAAAATTGTACTTTTAATCAAAACTTCACCTTCAGGACACGAAAGTTATTTGTACCTTTTTACCTCCCAGGAAACTAAAAAACAAAACAAACCCAGGTGATAAAGACAAGACAAACCTGTTTTTCTCCACTAAATTACCCTTCGTGCCCAAGGCAGCAAGCAGGTCTCAGCTTCCAACATAATCTAACACAGCCTACCAGCTGGGTAAACCCGATGGACCGATGGACGCCACGAAGACACAGCCCAGGTCGTGCATCGTGAGGACACCCCCACGGCCACATGGAAGTCCCCGCTGGTAACTACGCTGCACCTTTCTCTCTGGCCAACACGCTATTGCTTCTGAGTGTGAACTTCTAAATTCTGCTCGATAAATCTCCTTTTGCCTCTTACTGATGCCTTCTGAAAATCCTTTTCTCTACGATGGATGGAAGTCAGCGTACCCACCGCCTGCCGTGTGTGTGTGTGTGTGTGTGTGTGTGTGTGTGTGTGTGTGTGTGTGTGTGGTGTGTGAGTCACGGTTCCCCATGACCTCTTCGGGCCCTGTCTGAGGACACTACATTGACTTAAGACAATTCTAAAAAGCTCAGTGTTGGTGGTGGCTAAAAGTTTCTGTCAAAAAACCGACTATGGCAAACGTTTGGGTGCTGTTAGCGTCCTGTCGCCATGGAGACGGACTGTTCCATTCCTCCTCAAGGGGTGGTTTTGATTTTCTTTCCTTTCCCATTCCTCAGCGCGATGCGCAAAAATGATACTCTGATGATCCAGCGGAGTTTATTTGTACGATCTTGAGGCTTCTTACACCAAATCGGTGTCTGCAGACCTGTGCCCTCCTCTCCGGTGGTGACCGGTATCCGGCGTCCACCCTAGGGTCCTGGTGGTGCGGCCCGGAGCTAGCCCGGACCAGGGACGGGGAAAGGGCTCGGCACCCAGCAGCCAGTCTGACTCCCAGGCGACCCTCAGGATGCCAGAAGCCGAGAGTCCCCACAAAGACCCCACGCGACTGAAGAAGAAGAAGGAGCCGGTGCGCCGCACGGTCAGCCAAATCTGCCCGCCGCCTCGGCGGCCCCTGACCGTGGCCGACATCCGCCCGGGTATGGAAAACCAGCGGCTGGGAGTCGTGCGCGACTCCATGTTTCAGAATCCACTCATCGTCAAGGTGAGCACGCAGACGCCGCCGCCCAGCCACCCGCCCGGATCCGGGGTCTCGAGGCCCTGGATTGGGAGACAGCGTTGGAAACTCCAGTTCAGAGAGCTTTGGTTCCCTAGTGCTGTCCAGGGCAAGTGGCGTCTCCGCCCTGAGCCTCAGTTTCCGCATCCTCAGAATGGGATGATAATGGTAGTGCTGAGAATTGGAGTGCTGAGAATCCTGAAAGGGGGTCCCCTGGCGCCGCGGAAGGATGGCTGCTGTGGTCTCCCAGAAGCTGGCTGGTGAGCTCACAGGGTGACAGATGGGTCCCACACGCTGGGTCTTTCTTCCTTATCTCCTGCTACTTCCTGGGAGGTGAGTCCAGACCACCTAGTCTCTTTCTCTTGTATCCCAGGTGCCTTGGTTACCTTTCTCTCTCGTTGCCGGGACAAAATACCGGGCACCCCAAATGCAAAAAGGAAAGGTTTATTTAGCTCACAGTTTGTGGAGGTTTCAGCCCATAATCAGCTGGTTCCAAGGCAGGGTGGTGTGGCATTGGGGCAACACTTCAAGGCAGCAGCCAGAGCAAAAGTCGGGGAGAGAACAAGCCACCCCCCTCCCAGGGCTGATGTAGCACTCACAAAATCTCTGTACCCTCTTCTTGCCCAAGATAAAGATATTTACAAAGTAAAGATCCTGGCTCCCTGCTGGGTCTCAGTTAAACTTCTAAACTTCTCCCGTTGAAACAATGTATCACCAGGGCTACTTCTGTGCAGCAGGTACTGTGCATCTCTTGGAAGCCTCACTTCGCAAATTCACTCCCCTCAATCATCCTCTTACCCAGATCACTACCCTCAAAGAAAATAAAAGCGCCGCTCTGACCTTGAAGGCTTAGCGGGCGGGAGCAGCTGGCCGGATCCTTTTCAGCGTCGCTGTCTTTTACTGCCGGCTACCGCAGTCTGGTTTCGTTTTCCTCGGTGTAGGAGACCTCACGCCTTCCTTGGGCCGCAGGAAGAGTCGGGTTGAAGTTTGGCGGTGGGGACCCGAGCTGTGGAGCAAACTTCTCTCTGGCCACTGGAGGGCAGCGCGCCTTTACAAATGCGCTTCAGGCTCCGGAGCCCCGGACTCATGCGATTGCTGGAGCCCAGAGCGGGTGACTGGCTGGTTTGTTGATGGAAGGAACTCGGGCTTCCTTCGTCGTGTGCGACTCAGCTGGGTTTTTCCTGGGAAACCCTGACTCTCCTCTTTCCTTCTCCGGGATGTGCCTGGAGGTGAGGGAGGGTACTCGGAATGCAGCCTGGCGCATCACACTAAAAGTGAATGAGGCCTTCACTTATTATTATTACTATTACTATTACTATTACTATTTTAGTGAGTTGGGGTGTGATGCCCGCCCCGAGCGAGATATACCTGTTTTATCACACACTATACACATGTGTGTATACACACATGTAGGTATATTATGTGTACCTATGTGTGTAAAATGTAGTGTCTGCTGCTCTGGGAGTAAAATTTCCTATCTATCCCAGCCCTCATGTCAGGGACAACTTTTAGCCTCTGGGTGGCACTAGCTGCCTGGGCTTTGGGAGGGAGTCCACTCATTCCTGACTTAGGGATTTAAAATCGCCAGGCAGTGACTGATGGACTATTTGGGTTCTGTCTTCAGGGTGTTGCAGGACTGCTCAGAGCCCCGATGACAGACCCCTGTGGCGGGGGTGTGCAGCCGGGGCTGGCTGGTGACTGAGGAGTCCTCCTGCTAGGGCGGCGGGGGGGGAGGGGGCAGCTTCCCCTCTGCCCTGGCATCTCACAGCAGCATAGCTACGTTCCCCAACCCGGAGGATGCTGTCCGTATTGGGTGTTCACCGCTCCTGTAGCATCTTCTGTCAAAAACTGACTAAAGTGAAAGATGGGAGAGACTGAGCGTGCAGAGGAAGTGTCATCGCTACTTTTCCCAGGGCCTTCCTACGAGTGCGCCCACGGGGACCGGCTCTGCAGGGTTTTACTCGCGCTCCGGGCTGAACGTGGGTTAGAAGCAGCATGTGCAGCCTCCTAGCCTTCCATCATTTGTACCACTTCAAACGGCTTCCCTCACACAAGGGAAATCGGAACCAGGATACTTTAGAGGTTCTGGCTTGAAGGACAAAGGGGACATTATCTTTAAGGCTGTGGAGCCTTGACCATTTGAAAAAAAAAAAAACAGTTACCAAATTCTGTTGAGCTTGTGGGTCTCTTTTTTGTAGCTTCTTAGTTTTGTGGGCCCAGATTTTCAGGTCCTGAGCTGCTGTGTACGTCCAGTCCTGGAGAGCCCTCTGCCCTGGATGTCTTTGGGAGGATAATTGGGACAGAAGTGTATATTGATTTTGTCCACACAATCTGCAGCACATGTCTCTATTGGAGGAACGTAGCACCTGAGAACCGGTCCTCGGAGCCCTCATAGCAGGGGTTGAGGCTTGGCCTCTCTTCTCCAATGGGTGGGGTCAGCATTTTTTCACGGAAAATGCAGAGACACGGACAGAACAAAACAGCACTGGGATTTTCCAGCCATGGAAATTGCCGGGAAGTGCACACATCAGGCACATGTCTGCCAGATGCCACAGTAACCAAGCGGACAGCAGAAGAACACAGACATTCAAACAGGTATTTCATCCACAAACGCACAGCGACCAGTTGCTTCGTTTAAAACCAAGCCACCGGCTCTCCAGGGGGCTCTCAGTAAATGGAGATGCTGGTTTGTGTGGCTGTGCACAGTTGCAAGTGGTTTTCACGGGAAAGGGCTTCCCCTCTAGTGTATGAAGGATATGCAGGTAGCCAGCTTGACTCCCAGTGTGACTCTGGGAAGGATAAAATTAACTAGAGAAAGAACCGAGCTTCTTCCCGCTTGATTCTCATTTCCCCAGAATCCTGTGACTCAACCCAGACTCCTGCAACAATAGCCTTCGGGACTCGAAGCTGTCAGGGGGCACCCACCTGCCATCGGAACTCAGGTGATACCCTGTCAGTACAATTACGGGGAGACACTGCTCGGTTTGCTCCCCTGACAGCCTTGAATCTTCTGTCGCCCTGGAGAAACAGGCTCAGTACAGGGGTGGAATTTATTGAGTTGAGCGCCCTTAGAGTGCAAATGATCGTGGGTCCTGGTTTTTTTTTCATAATTTATTACTGACTTGTTTTTTTGTGTGTGGGGCAGGAGGTTTATGTCACAAATAAGAGATGCGTGTATTTGTGAAATAGAGTCGTAGGAGCACGGTGGCTGGGGCTAGCAGGAAACTGACAGACATTTAATCCGGCTCCTGTTTTTGTGGCTATTAAAGTCCAGCGAGGGAAAGGGAGTTGCTGAAGTTCTGCCGTGACCCAGTGATGGAAATGAAGTGACACTTGCGTCTCCCGGTGGACAGCCCTGAGCTCTCTTGGCCACAACCCACGATTCATGCATCACTGACAGCTCAGGTCGGCTGCATCCCGCCGAGCAGGCAGAGAACATTTCCACGAATGCACCTGGTTTCAGCACCTCTCCACTCTGCGTTCTTTCGAAAGGGAGCTCTGTTGCATCTCTGGACTTGTTGCCAGCCAGGAACTGTGAACTGTGTGCTTCTTGAGTGCCTAGGACCAGTCTTAGCTTGGGGGCATAGGGACAAGTTACATATTCGGCCCTTGCCGTGGGAAGTTACTTAGTATTTAGCTGGAGAGATGGGATAGCAGGCACCTCTTAGCACATCACCTGTCCTAAGGGAAGTCCTCAGGAAATGTTGGCTGGTTATTTTTTTCCCCACGCACCAGAACTGAACTTAGGGGCTTGGACATAGGAGGCAAGTACTGCACCACTGAACGGCACCCTTGGCCTTTTTAAACTGTATCTTGGGGCAGGAGCTTGCTAATTGCCCCAGGCTTGCTTGGCAATTCCAATCCTTCTGCCTCATCCTCCCTGGTAGCTGAGATCACAGGTGTGCGCCACCACGACCAGCAGAACGTTGTCTGCTGTTACCCACACATAACAACGGGGCAATGTCACACAATACACGTGAATTTTCAGGAGAACTACACTGCCCGGGAGGGTGCAGATCTGAGTGGGGAGTCCTGGGCAGGACTCAGGAAGGCTTTACAGAGAAACAGACCCAGAACCTGACCTGAATCGTACAGAAGCACATTCATACCAGGGGAAGGAGAGCAGGAAAACCGGCCATCGAGGGCTGATTTCACTCTCCCTAGATCCTTGATGTTGGCAGCTTTCACCCCAGCTCAAGTTCTAGTTTTTAGACTCAGTGCTGCTGCTGGGATCATTATCATTGCTGTCACGGGGAAGCATTTATTTAGTCTCTGTGTTCAAATTGAATGCTCTACAAAATTAGGCAGCCATACCATATGCACTAATAGCTTAACATCGCTAATAAATATTGATGCGGGGAGCATAAGCACATTGATGGAGACAAGCACAAAGAAGGCAGGCAGACAAAACACAGTCGTACAAACGTCCCGGCGAGGGTCAGTGCTTATTGCGTTTGAGCACAGTGTGAAACGTTGCATCAGCTTTAGCTGGGGAAGAGTCTGCCTCTGAGTGCTCCAATCTCTTTACGTTCAATTACAAAATAGAGAAAATAAGATGCTAGGAAGGGATTCAAAAAGCAAGACGCCCGTCCTCACAGCCCATCTCTGCCGGTCAGTGGGTAGCTTTCCTTTTCCTGGAGAATGCCGTGGGTTTATCTATCCTTGTGATGCCCTCTCTCTCTCATCTCCTTTCTCTGTGCCTCTGTTTCCCCTTTCTCTCTCTCCCATCCTTCTCTCCTTCTTTGACCATCAACCCCACTTCCACCCCTGGTGCCCAGGTACACCCTTCAGTCACCAGTGGCTACTGCTCTCCCCAGCTTGGTGGCCGTTCCAGAAACAGAGCTGCCCCGACCCGGCTCGCTCACCAGTGCCTAGGGGCTGGCAGCTCTGACTGAGGCTCTGGCCACTTTCCTCTTTGTCCCTCTGCAGAAGGGGTGCAGTGGCTTTGAAGCAATCACAGGGACCTCAGAATCTGGCTTCCTCTCAAA